GAAAGATACTCTAGGTACTGCTTAATCTATTATGTTAATATGTAGTAAAACAACTATATTGTGGTGGAACTACAGGCTTATAGAGGTGCGCAGGTTTGGTGGGGTGCGGCGCTCGCTTGCCTGCGGCGCTCGCTTGCCACATACGTTATATATATGTCGATGAAGAAGAAATTTCCTCCCAAGATTTGAAATACAGTGAGAGAGAGAGAGAGAGAGAGAGAGAGGTAACAAAGTCGAGAACAAGAAAAATAAAAATGAAAAATCCTCTCCCTCGCCAGAAAAGAAGGGGAAAAGAGAGGAAGAAGAAGAATAAATCACTCCACATCCCCATTCTCCGTCTGATCCAAAGCGACAACCACCTCCTCCATTTCCCTTGGACTCGTAATACCCCAGACGCCCCCGCCCTTGACGGAGCCCTTCATGCCCACCTCTTTACCCACAAGATTCCTGCCCACTTTGCCCGGTCCAATACCCACGTAGCGCCGAACCCTTTCCTTTTCATGCAGATACTTTATGCTCTTCCACCACTGGACCGTCTCGACACAGCTGCGCGCAACCAGGTCCTTGAGCTGCTCCTTGTCGGAAAAGGGCTTGCCCGAGACGTTGGAGATGCAGGGTAGGATGCCGGGCCAGGTGACGATGTCGCGGCCGTCGGGGGATTGGTGGTGGAGGATGTGCTTCATGGTTTCCTGTGCGGGCTGCATGAGGAGGCTGTGGAAGGGGGCGTCGGATTTCAGGCGGACGTGTCTGGGGTCGTGGCCGCCGAACTGGCGGAGGTTGGTGAGCAGCGTGCTGATGCGCATGATGCTGCCGCTGAGCACGATTTGGTTCTTCGAGTTGAGATTGGCGATGGCGACTTGTTGCACTGCAGGGAGATGGTCGTGCGAGTCGGCCTTGGAGCCCAGGGCCAGGAACTCGTGGATGCCGCTGATGAGCGCTTGCATGTGTTCTTCCGACTCGCATACCAGCGCTACCATGCCAAACTCGCCGCCCTCCTCGGCCACGGCCTCCTGGCTGCACCGCGTCATGACCTCTGCTCTTGTGCGCACCATCTTGAGTGCATCGTGGAAGGTGAGGTAGCCGCCCGCGACCAGCGCCGCAAACTCGCCCAGCGAATGGCCCAGGGTAAAGTCGACGCGCTCGCTCGTCGTGAAGCCAAAGTCCCTTTCCAGTATGCGCAGTATGAGAATCGACGTGGCCATGATGGCGGGCTGCGCGTTCTCCGTCTTGGTCAGCTCGGCATTGGTGCCAGACTCTATGACTCTGGTCAGAGGCACCTGGAGCGTCTCGTCAATCTCGTCGAGAATGGGCTTCGCAGTCGAGGGAAAGGCGTCGAGCCAGGGCGCGCACATGCCCACGCGCTGGACGCCCTGGCCTGCGTCTGGGTTAGTATGCTCCTTGGTTTCGGCTGCTGTGTGTATGCAAGGAAGCAAGGTTACCGGGAAAGAAAATGGCAGTCTTGGGCCTCTTGGACGCTGCATGCGGCACGCTGCTTGTCCAGCGCCGAGGGGCAGACGGGTGACTGCTGGCGCCGTGGCCGCATTGCATACACCAGCGCGGCAGACGCGGGGATGCTCTGGCAACGGGCGAGAAGGACGTCGACATGGCGAAGCAAGACATCTACAGTAGTCTGAGATTCATAGCTGGGGGAGCTTCGGTAAGCTTCGCGGAGATGCGGAGCGCCTCGGGGAGCGCGGGGACTCGACGTGGGGTCGCGACAGGCCCGCCCACTCACGCCACGGCCGAGGTCTTGCTTTTCCGGCCCGACGCCCACTGCGCTGGTCCATCCAAGATGATGACGATGGTGATGATCAAGTCAGATTGTACTAGCAGCATCCATGGCCGGTCAATCCCACACAGCCATCACGCACCCTGTATGTTGAACCCAGCGTCCACCTGGATCCGCATGCCCGTCATGCTCGAATTCTTCGCCAGCATCATATACGCCGCCACGCAGTCGTCCAACAAGGTTTCGCGTTTGAGCACGGCTCCCTCCTTGAGTTTTACCAGTCGTTCTGGCGAGTACTTGAGTCCCTGGGGCATTGTCAGTGCTTTCAATAGAGAACTGGCATTTCGTAATGCGCACCCATTCGGTCAACAACAGGCCGGGCAGAACGGTATTGACGCGTATCCTGGGCCCGACAGTCACGGCAAGACACTTGACGAGTTGGACTTGGGCCGCCTTTGTGACTGCATACGGCATGCTGCTTCCTCCCTGGCTGTTGGCCTGTGGCGGATGTTAGTCAGTGCGATATGTTGTCGTCTGTACATGGCATACCGCAATGCTTCCCGTAGTAATCAAGTGGCCACCATCAGGATTGGCCTCGAATGTCGCCCTCGCCTCGGAGAGTAAAGCCTTGGGCACCTTGACGTTGGCACTCCAGCATCTGTCCCACTCCTCTTCCGACATGGACTCGAGGTCGTTCCAGTCGGAGAAACGTGTCCAGCCCTGCATACTCGCGTCAACCAATTTCGCCCCTGTCAAGGCAGTAGGAGACATGGAGAGCATACCACGTTGGAGATGATCAGATCAAGGCCACCCAGCTGCTTGATTGTTTCTTGAACTGCTCGTTTGGCGCCCGACGTCAATGTCAAGTCGGCCTGAATCACCACCGCCTTAACTCCATACTCTTCACACGCTTTCTGCACTTTCTGCGCCGGTTCAATTCGATTGCAGTAATTGACCGCAATATTAGCGCCCTCCTTTGCAAAAGCCTTACTGAGCTCTTCTCCCAGGCCGCTGAGCACACATGGATTAGCAGTCTGCCCCGGCCAGGTTTCCAAACCCTCAAGCATATACACTCACGCCGATGCGCCCGTAATGAGCACGTTCCGATTCTTCAGGTCGTAGGGCATGTTTTGCTGCTGTTTTGGGTGTGCAAAGGCTAATTCGAAGATGTAATTCTTGTCCGAAAACTAGCGTTGGCGGGTCGTCTATGAATAGCGTTTGCCTGAGGTGCCGAGTGTAAGTGCGGGTCAAGAGTCCAGGACCAAAAACCCTGATAACCCTTGGTTGCTCAAGGGTGGGGCGATCCCTACCTAACCCCAATCCTTGCTTGCCCTGTACCCCGCCATTAATGTGTGTTTGCTTCAGTCCGGATAGTTAGCTCCGCACGCTTCATCACACATGCAGCGAAAGCAATGGCAACCGATGCTTTTCCCTATTCACAGCCTCTGTCCGTGCCCATGATAGCAATACACTAAGATATCCAACGACTTAGCGCCGATGCACGCAACACGGACAACAACTCATTCTACATGTTGTCAAAGTCGAGGCCCCAGTCGTCATCGCCTCCGCCTCCGCCCATGTCCATGCTCATGTCCATGTCTATGCCCATTCCTCCCATATCGCCCAAGTCCAAGTCGGGTAGGTTGCCCAAATCAGTGCTCATATCCCCAGTTCCTCCATCGCCATTACCCATGCCAATGCCCGACAGATCCAAGCCTTCAGTACCAGTAAGCTCGTCCATGCTGCGCTGAAGCGCCTTGTTGTCCATGTTTGAAATATCGTCCACCATGCTTGCAGCTGCAGCGTCGTCCATGGCTCGATTCAGGTGATCCGATATCGACTGCGATTGCATGTCTGCAATGTTGACACTGGGCATGTTGATGGCTGGTGCTTGCAGTCCATTCTCTGCCAACGACGCAAAGTGAGCCTCCACACGTCGGTGCAGTCGTACAATCGTCTCCGCTGTCAAGGGATCCGCGGTCACCAGATTAGCTGCACTGTCGAAAGCCTGCTTGAGGATCTCGCGAAGATTGATATGAGTGCGTTGTGGCGTCGGCGCCGGTATAGAGCTTCCTACCCAATCCACAGAAATAGGACTATCCTCAACAGTCGGTGCGCATATCATCGACACACCGACATCGAGCGCAGCTGCCCTATTGCCGGTTTCAGTCTGTGCCTTGACTTCGTCTACAATGGCCCGCAATGTTCGCATCGCACCCAGCATCTTCAGCGAAGCATATACCTGACGATGGGTATAGCTGGGCGGGTTTGGCTGCATCGAAGCAGTCGAAGCCCATTGCGAGAGCTGTGACACCGTGTGCCGTAGAGACGTGTTCAATGTGCTATTCGGCGCGTTGGTCCATTGGTCCAATTCCTTCATGGAGGCATAAACAGTGCGTTCGTAGTGCGCGTGCACTTTGATTGCCTGGATAAAGGGCTCAAGCGTGGTGCGATTTGGTTCTCGCCGCTGCAGTGTGCGAAAGCACTTTTCAAGATGGCTCGACACCATAGCTATGATGGTAGAGTGCATAGCCTGCGCATCCCCAGATGACGGTGTAGAGAGTATGACCTCGTTGAAGATGCGTATCATTGCATCTAGATCATTGTGGGTCTGCAGAAGCGCATAAGAAGCCATCCAGGTCAGGCCGCCGATTAGAGATGGCAAGAGGAACGTCTCTCCCAGATCTGGAACACTCAGTCTGACTGTATCTAACAGGGTAAAATCGCCGTATACTCACATTCCAGTCCGCCCTTGACAGTCTCAAACGATAAAACGCCGGTAGAGCACGCTATCACGGTCTGTTTGAACAGCGTTGGCACTATCAAGTAGAACTCTTGTGGGCGACACGAAGCGAACACATCGTTGCTTAACCCTTCCTTGTCAGAGTCATAAAGGCCTTTGAGCCAGCTTCCGAGATGTCTGCTCTGCTCTTCAGTCATTTCATTCAGCCTTATACTCTCATGTCCGTGCTGCAGGAGCTTTGCGATGAATGCATCGTGGCCAATGCCGATATCGTGGTATGTTAGATCGTAGCGGTATATAAAGGCCATGATGAGAACAATTATGGCACCGAACTCGTCGTAGACGGGCTGATATTCACCTGGTCGTCTTCAGAAAGCAGTGCCATCAGTCTTCACACAGAACTCACCTTGATCGCTATCATAGTGCCAATCGTCGAGAAACTGGCACAAGGGCCGCAGTATGCTGGCTGGCGAGGTAAATTGGAGCATCACATCCATAGCGCGTGGCTTTTTGAAAATGAGGCATGACAGCTGCTTCAAATACATGGTGGTTTGTGTCTCGCAGAGGTGTGATATGAACTGCGACCAGGTCAGCGTGAAGTTTGAACCGAGTGGTGAAGTCGGGCGTACGTCTGTCACAGCGGCAACAATAGCACCAGCATTTCCGTCAAGGTTTTCAAGCTCGTCAATGTAGAGGCTGACTTTGTCGAAATTGGACTTGCATTGATTCAACAATTCCTTCCTCTCATACCTTTTTGCTGGTGGCCCCTGCATCGGGGCTTCGCCCAAGAGACGCTCCACGGTGCCTCCTGGAATCAGGCCATGAAGCACACAGGCATTAAGGTAGTCCTGTCTGACGTCTGAGAGGGAATTGTTACTTCCCATGATATCGTCAAAGCCCTGTGAGAAGGATGGGAAAGCGCTGGGGTCTACGTGATTCAGGGCTTGGGTGATGCACATTTCAACCGTCATTGGAAATATGGAGCCCGAAATCTGCGTCAAGAGTACGGGCACCTTGTTGATCAGGAATGATTTCAGGTAAAACAGGGTTTCAGTAGGTTCACTGCGGTACATGGCGTTGGCGAGAATGTCAAAGGCAGCCGTAATCAAATCAGTTGCCATATTTTGAGGCTCGAGCTGTTGACGGTCAACACGGTCTGCAGGAATACCGGGTGTTGGTTACCTTGTATCGTGTATGCAAGTGGCTAATAATGGTAAAGTCGTCTGTAAGCGGGCGTGCAACAAGCTCATAGCTGTTAGCAGTGGTCAATTTCACGAGCATAACGACCTACCAAGGCGTTCAGGAAGATGTACATGCCAGCTCGTGTGTTTGCTTGTGGCAGCTCCATGACTGCATCGAGCTGCAGCGCAGCGACTTCGAGACCAGCGTGCTCGTTGCCCTCGCCATTGACATGTGACAGTTTTGGGTAGAAATCATGGTGCTTTTGCGAGATTTCCAGTCGGTTTGCCAAGGATAAGGATGTCTGGGAGCCTGATGAATTATTGGAAAGAAACGGAATGAAGGATGAAAGTGACTGCGTGAATGCCTTGCGTACGTCTAAAAGCCTTGTGAGTCGTGGGGCACGGCAGGGCGCCCGTGGGACCGGCTTACCTTTGGCTTTTTCATGGTTCAGGATGCGTAGGATTTTTGAATTTTCAATGACACCAATCACGAGCATGGCGAGGCCTTCGCGCACGTTGATCGACTGCTGTTGGGGTTGCTGTATGCCGGCCATGGCCTGGATCATGGTATCGCTGGTGTGCGAAGTCACCATGGCCTGCATCCAGCGGGTAATGACCACGAGGGTACGCAAACCCTCGACATTGTTGATCGGACGCTCCTCTGCAGCAAAAGCCTTGTGCAAGCGGTGGAAAACGATCTCTTCCAGCTCTGGCGGGTTGCTCCAGGGTGCATCTTTGGCATGCTTGTCGTCGCCTGTCTTGACAGGAAGCCGATCCTTGGAGTATAGGAACGTGATTGTGAGGACATCAGAGGCATCGACTTTGTTCAAGGCCAGCAATTGTTCGAGGAAGCCTATCAGGCGCGGGTCGATGATGCCGGCGCCGGCGACGCGTGGGCGAAGCAGCAGGGCGGCGACCTTTCGGCCTGGCAGTGGAGACTTGGCGTGCAGCTGCGCGACGGCGGCAGCAAAAACATCAGAGTGAATGCGAGCCTCGAGACAGCGATCGAGAAAAACCGACCACTCCTTAATCATGGACTCCATGGTCCATGGGTAAAAAAAATGACGACGACTCTAAGATGCTGAGCTAGTGCTGGGCAGAGAAGGGCAAAGGAAGCGAGCAGCGCTGGTCGCGAACAGAGGTGGCCGGGGGGGGGGGGGGGTGGTAGCTGCTGGCCGAAACTTCTTGGCAGGGACGAGCGTGCGCGATGCGAGCCAGTCGAATGCAGGTGTCCCTATTACTACTCATGGTGCTGCTATGCATCCTACACTACTACTCGTGTGGCGTGCACGTGAGAAGATTCGTCGTGTTGGAATCGGAGGAGTTTTCAGGACATGATGGAATAATACATAGACGCGGAGTATTGAAGAGGGCAAGACAGGAATACTTGGGTTGCGACAAGCACATGGCATGAGATGCGAGCAAAAGTTAGCATGGTATTGGACAGGATAAGAAAATGCTATGTACACTACAACGTGAAACCGAAATATGCGCATCCCCACGTGGTATCGTGATGCATGCATGTATGTATGTAAGTACGCGTTCCGCGCCATTCAATGGCGCATGTTTTCCCCGGTCGCTGACCCCTCCCCAGTCGTCGCGAATCACAGACGCCCCACGTCAGCAGCTTTGTAGTGTCGTACAAGGCAGCCTCGGCCCTAGCGCTTGACAAGCATGATATGTATATACAGTCGGCAAGATGGTACTCGGCACGCAGGGCTCAAGAAGGGCGGCGGCGTGCGTCGAGCTGCTCGTCTTGGGCATCTGGTGCTCGCGGGCCCACCATCCAGTCCTCCATGGCCAGCCACTGACTCCATGTCTTTTCAGCGCCCTCGATCTCGGCGAGCTGCACCTCCTGGAGCGGCTTGAGGAAGGGCACTGACTCGTGAGGCGACATGTCGTACTGGCACTTGACCTTGGCCCAGCCTACGCTCTTTGCGGTAAAGAGGTAGTTGCGGCGCTCGCACTCGTGCATTGGCCCCACGCCTTTTCTCCAGTCCTCGCCAAAGAAGCCGTGCATGATGCCCGAGCTGTCCATTCCCGTCACGACCAGGCGGCGGATGAAGGGGACTAGAGACACCCATGCGGGCGGCGGCTGGCCTCGGGCCGTCGTCATGGGGCCCTGCCGCGGCCAGGGCATGTTGTAGGCGGCTGGGGCAGAGGCGTGAGGCAGCGGGGCAGAGGCGTTGATGAGGGGGTTGGGGGACCACTGGAAGGGCAGGCAGATGTTGATGAGGGCGCACACGGCCTGGACGCCGTTGTCGTGCTGGGCGTGGTCGAGGAAGTAGCGCTGGCAGCTCTGGTAGGCGGGATGCCAGTCGAAGATGTCGAAGTGGGGTTCAGCGGGCGGGTTGGGCACAGAGGGCGATTCTCCCGACGACGAGCTGCCGTGGGCAAAGGTGCCGGCGGGCGTCTGGAAGGTCGGGTAGCCGGCGGCGAAGTTTGTGGTGAAGCCGGGCAAGCTTGCCATTGCGGAGGCCAGGGCTACTGCAGGAACAGGAGCAAGAGAGGGCGGTCGGGGATGCTGGTTGGGCGGAGGCAGGGAAGAGAGGGCGAGCAGCTGGCACACAGCAGATATGGATGGGGGGAGGTCGGGGGGTCCGTGGGTAGGGTAATCGGGAGCATCCAGGGTCCAAGGCCAGATGCGGATGCGGAGGGCGGATGGGATGAATGACGAAACGACTGTGTGGAGTCGCGGTCAGTGGTGGTGGTAATGATTGTGCTGGCGGCGGCGGCGGTGGTAGTGGTAGTAGTGGTAGTGGTAGTATTGGCAGTGGTAAGAGCGAGGGGCGCCGCAAGTTCCTTTATAGCCAGAGGCCCCGGCGGCAGGCGTGTCTGGCGGGCGAGGCTGTCGCGTTGCGGGCTGGTGGTTGCTTATATGGTGGGTGTGGGTGTGGGTGTGGGTGCGGGTGTGGAATGAAGCAGCTGGCGGAGGGCAGTGCCCCGGGCCAATGAGCAGGCCGTGGCCGAGGGGGCATGGATGGATGCAGAACATGGCTGTCGAGAGAGAATCAAGAGACTGATGTGGGTTGGCGTGCGCGCGTGGTCGACGCGGCGTCCAAAGCAGTGTAGCGGGCGAGCCAAAAGCTCTGTAGAGCCCTCGTGCTGATCGCTGCACTGTGCCTGTCTGTGCCGGTGCCGGTGCCTGTGTCAGGAGTGGGAGCATCCATACACCATGGCGTTCCAGCGCCGTGGTAGAGCCCGCCCACGACGCCCCCCGAGCCCGCCCAGCACCATGCGCATGCGTCACGACCTGCCTGTCCACACATATGTATGCATGCATGCATGCATACATACATATATGTGTGTGTGTGTGTGCGAGTCGCTATGGATGCATGGATGCGGGTGGAGAGAGAGGCCCCCGATTCGGCTGGCGGCGTCTTTCACGGCCACAAGCGAGCGGCCCAGGGCAATGATGTAACCAGCCAGCAACCACACGCCCGCGCCCTCTCACGCTCACACACACACGCTGCTCGCGCTGCTCGCACTCCTCGCACTCGTGCTCGCTCAATTGCAGCAAATATATTTGTATCCAAGACACCGCCCGCCATGGCCCCCGCCCCCTTCTCATTGGCCTCGCGCACAAAGGTCCGTGTCTGCAAGACGGTCGCACACGAGGCCGCCCCCGTCGCTGATGCATGCACCAGCTCTCCAATGGCCTGTCCATGCCCACAATCCAACTCGGCGTCTACCTGACGTCCGGGCACGAGACATACCAGGCCGTCCGCTGGGCGCTCGAGGTAGGCAGGCGTTTCTGATCTGGCTCCCGCATCCGTCCCCTCGCATGTCGTCGTGGTGCTTACATGTAGACTGACGCCGCCAGGCTGGCTATCGCGGGTAGGCATGGGCACCCCACCCCTCTGCGCAACACAGCATCCATGACGCGTGCTACAGGGTCGACTCGGCGCAAAGACATTCACTTTACCTCGAAGCTAGCGTCCAACTCGGCCTACGACACGGCCCGCCAAGCCATCCACAGATCGGTCAAGGAAGCCGGCCTGGGCTACATTGATCTGTTTCTGCTGCACTCGCCCTATGGCGGCAAGCAGGCGCGCCTCGACAGCTGGCGCGCCGTCGAGGATGCCATGCGCGACGGCCAGGTCAAGATTGGAGGCGTCTCCAACTACGGCGTCAAGCATGTAGGCCAGCCCTGTTGGAGTCTGTCTTGATGACGGCCTGTGCGCCCCCCATTGACCACACTGTAGCTGCAAGAGTTGCTCGACTCCAACCCCAGCATCCCCCCGGCCGTCAACCAGATCGAGGTGCATCCGTTCAACACGCGCAAGGATATTACTGCCTTTTGTCAGCAGCACAACATTGTCGTCGAGGCATATGCGCCGCTCGTGCGCGCCCTGCGCATGAAGCACCCCAAGATCGTGTTGCTGGCCAACAAGTACGCTTGCACGCCGGGCCAGCTGCTAGTGCGCTGGAGTCTGCAGCATGGCTACGTGCCGCTGCCCAAGAGCGTGAAGAAGGGGCCTGCTCAAACTCGGGCTCGGACATGGTGCAGGTGGATTGTTTGGGTATCGTGGTAAGAACTGAATCGCAAGTATGGACCAGGCGAGGAGAGCAGGCCGAGCAGTGATTGGGACTGAGAGTAGTGAAGCAAGAGCAGACGTCGAGTGGTATATATAATGGGCGCGTGTGAGAGCTAGAAGCGGTTGCCGCTGGGGGCCCGCCGTGGCCGTGAGGGTGTCGAGCAAAGTCGCACTCGATTTCAGTACGTCAGTGGGCGGGCGGGCAGGGCGAGTGGGCGTCTCTCAGTGGTCCAGGGGGCGCAGCAGGCCGCCATGTTGATGCAAACCATGGTGTGCACTTTTCCACTGATAAGCAGCGGGCCAATGGGGGCGCGGGCAGGCGAACCGCGGGGTGTTTGCACGTGCGGCTGGGGGGAGGCGCCCGCTCGAGGCTGGTGGCGGGCGTGGACTTGTAATTGCAGCGCGTCAGTCCACGGGGCGCTGGGCCGTGGCCGACGTCGGCGGGGCGTCGTCTTGTGCCTGTTACGTTGGACCATCACGCAGAGAGAGTGGGAGCCGCGGGCAGCCTGCGCCGATGTGTCGGAGCCAGTCTGGGCGGCGGCGGCGGGCGGCGACATGCACGCGACACTCCCAACACACCACACTACACTACACTACACTCTTCACACACACACGCACAAGATGGCTGCGGGTCATGCAACCCCCATGATAGATCAAAACTAACGCAGTGCCTCTATCAACCATGACCCCAACTCGCCCTCTTCGCTCATGGGGCAGCGCGAGCTTGCCCCTCCGCCACGGCTGGGCCCTCTAGTAGACCCCCACGCCCGCCCGCGACATGTCCCTCTCCACGCGCGCTCAAGGACAGTCTGTGGGATCCCAATCTGTGTCATGCGGAAAACGCCATTGTCAGTAAAGGCAGCGGAATCGGCGCATTGGCGCGCTCAGCCGCTGCGGCAGCCGCCAGTACAAGTACTCACCCGTCACCAGATACTCGTCCAGAGCATCCATGGCCTCGATATCAGCACTCTCAATTTCGAAGCCCCCAACCTGCGCATTCTCCACAATGCGCTAGGAAGGGTGCGCCCATGTTTCCTTCACTGCCCCATGCTCGGTGAACTAACCATTGTCCAGAGCTCGTCTCCACCCTCGAGGCCTCTTCCCTCTTCTCCAAGAACCCCGAGTACAAGAAGGCCCTCGAGGTTGTCTCTGTCCCCGAGCGCATCATCCAGTTCCGCGTCGTCTGGGAGAACGACAAGGGCGAGTGCCAGGTCCAGAAGGGCTACCGCGTCCAATTCAACTCGGCCCTTGGTCCCTACAAGGGAGGCCTCCGCTTCCACCCCACGGTCAACCTGTCCATCCTCAAGTTCCTGGGATTCGAGCAGATCTTCAAGAATGCCCTCACTGGACGTATGTTGCATGCACCCATGGCTTCGGTGCAAAGCTAACATAGTATCAGTCAACATGGGCGGCGGCAAGGGCGGCTGTGACTTTGACCCCAAGGGCAAGTCTGACAATGAGATCCGCAAGTTCTGTGTTGCCTTTATGAGGGAGCTCAACAAGCACATTGGTAAGTCCTCCCTTAGCGCCCTCCCAGAGTGGGGCACACCCCTACAATGCCCTTCGCATGTTCCCCCGATCGCCTGCTCCCCGACTGCACGCACACACAGACGAGAACGGGCGGGTCCATGAGGCCTTATCTCGCCCGTTGGCCCGCTGCTGCCCCGTCGGCAACAGTTGCTGCTTTTTTGGAATTCCAATGGAACCTTTGACTTACGTAACTTGCAGGTGCCGACACAGACGTTCCTGCGGGCGACATCGGCGTCGGAGGTCGCGAGATCGGCTACCTCTTCGGCGCATACCGAGCGGAGCGCAACCGCTGGGAGGGCGTCCTCACTGGCAAGGGAGGTGCTTGGGGAGGCTCCTTGATCCGCCCCGAGGCCACTGGCTACGGTCTCGTCTACTATGTCGACCACATGATCAACTACGCCTCGGGCGGAAAAGAGTCGTTCGCCGGCAAGCGCGTCGCCATCTCTGGCTCCGGAAACGTCGCTCAGTACGCTGCGCTCAAGGTCATCGAACTGGGCGGAACCGTCGTCTCCCTCAGCGACAGCAAGGGTGCTTTGATTGCCGAGGACGACAAGGGCTTCACCCCAGAGGTCATCAACCAGATTGCCGCCCTCAAGCTGGAGCGCAAGGCTCTTACCGCCCTCGAGAACCACAGCTACAGGTATGTCGAGGGTGCCCGTCCATGGAAGGAGGTCAAGAAGGTCGACGTTGCTCTTCCGTCTGCGACCCAGAACGAGGTCTCCGAGGATGAGGCTCAGGCTCTCATCGACGCTGGCGCCAAGTTCATCGCCGAGGGCTCCAACATGGGTTGCACACAGGAGGCCATTGAAGTCTTCGAGGCCCACCGTCGCGAGAAGAAGGGCGATGCCATCTGGTACGCACCCGGAAAGGCCGCCAACGCTGGTGGTGTTGCTGTTTCTGGTCTTGAAATGGCCCAGAACTCTCAGCGTCTGTCTTGGACCGCCGAGGAGGTTGACGCCAAGCTCAAGGGCATCATGAAGGACTGCTTCGAGAACTGCCTGAGCACTGCCAAGGAGTACTTCACCCCGGCCGAGGGCGAATTTCCATCTCTCGTCGGCGGTGCCAATGTTGCTGGCTTCCGCAAGGTCGCTGCCGCCATGCACGACCAGGGTGACTGGTGGTGAACACACCCACACACAACTACCTTTTGTACATCATACCTCACGATACCTCCTTTTTTTTACATTGGCTAATGGCGTTGAAAATTGCTAGTTTTGTTTTGTACATAGATATCTTATGAATTGAATGAACCAATCAATTGAGTTGACTTGCAGCATTAGATGACGTAAAAAAAACTTCAGCTCAATTCCTTATCCGTTGTACCTTGCTGCTCTCCCCTCTAGGTGTACTTGTATCCATGTCACTAGCATGTTTCAAATCCCCTGAATCTTTTCCAAACAGAAAAAGAGATTGTATACAGATTACAGTGTATTTGTACCACACACACACACACACACACACACACACACAAACATAACGCCACATTCGACCCCTTCTTCTTCTTCTTCTTCTTCTTCTTCTTCTTCTTCCTAGCACAAATCACGCCACTACACCTACTCCAACTACACCAAACCACGCCACACGACGCCACGTCTCAAGCACCCTTGTCCTCGAATCGAATCAAACCCACACATACAAAAAAAAGCAATTTAAATGGCGTTACCCTTATTTCCCTGCCTGCCTGCCTGCCTACAGAAAGAAAGAAAGAAAGAAAGAAAAGAAAAAACGATGGGCGGGGATAATAGAGGGGGGAAAGAGGGGGGGGTGGAAAAAAAAAGAAATGGGGGAGGGAGATCGAAGAAGAGGTATTTCCGTGGAATTGGAATGGAAGGATAGTTATGTGGCGAGATGGGAGAACTAGGGAAGAGAGAACTGGAAGGAGGGGGAAGGGAGGAAAAAAAGAAAAGGGGATTTTGGATGTATATACGCAAAAGGGGTTAATGGCTGTGTTGATACTATTGTTACTATGTATATGTGGAAGTGGAACTGGAAGTGGAAGTATATACACAGCTGACGTGACGTGACGTGACGAAATAGAAATGATGTAGGTGATGCGGTGAAAATTTTCCTCGTGGATACTGGATACTGGATACTGGATACTCGGTGTGCTTGATACTGGCTGCATACTTGTAGAAATGCACATGTAAATCACATGACAGCACAGCACAGCACAGCACGTTGTATTAAACTTTGTACATTCTTACACACAGCTAAACACATATATATATATATACTATACCCTGTCCTATCCTATCCTATTCTATCCTACATCTATCCGTTTCAGTCAAAGTACATAGCTAAGCAAAGTCCCTGGCTCTCTCTCTCTCCCTCTCTCTCTCTCTCACACACACACACATACACACACACACACACTTCACAGCCCTAGCCCTAACTCCGAGCTATCTTTTCTCTTGGATTTGGATTTAGTTTTTGGCACCCTTTTTGTGCGATAATGCACGGCTGTATTTACATGTATGTATGTATGTAGAGGTGTAGGTGTAGGCGTATACCCAACCAACTACCTAACTATCTAACTGCCTAACTGCCTAACTAACTAACAACACAGCCCTTCTCTTCTCACCACGCTATATATGCACGTACATACATATACACTATATGCCTGTACGCTCTACACCCACGTGCACCCTACACCTACATGCCATGTCCAGGTATGTGTTTACCTGAAATGTCATGTCAAACGCCTGATTAGCTAGCTAGCTTCTCTCCCGTGGAGTGGGGGGGGGTTGGCGGGGTGCGAGACGAGGCGCCGCCTCCGCCTCCTCTCTCTCTCTCTCTTTTTTTTTCTCAGCTCCAGTCACATTTTCTTATTTGCTGTTTTTTTTGTTTTTTGTTTTTTTCGGTACAGGTGGGGTTGGTTGGCCGGTTGGTGCAACGACACTAGCTGCTAGCTGCTAGGGTTGCGGGGGGGGGTTCTCGTAATTTTTTTTTCTTCCCCCGTCTTGTTTTCAAGTAAAAGTTGGGTACTTAAGGTAAGGTAGTGCAATCTTCGTTACCCTTTTTTCTTCTTCTTTTGTCCTAGGGAGGCTACATGCAGCATTTTCCTAATAATTTTCAGATATAGCGAATTTGCACGTTTGCAGTTGCAGTTGCATATCCCATGAGTTTTTTTTTCCTTTTTTTCTTTCTCTTTCTGTCTCTTTTTTTTACGTTATCGTTTGTTTTAAATAGAGGGGCTGGCTTGGTAGTGGGGCAGTCTTCCTTCTGCGTTTGTGTGGGACACACTTTTTTTTTCTTCTTCTCTCCCTTCGGATATTCAAGGGCGGAAAAGGAAAACCACCAAAGTGGGTTTTTGTCGGGTAGATTAGGAATTCGAGGGAGTCATAACTAATGGGGCTAACAGGAAATGCAGGTTTGTAGTAAGTAAGACGCGAGCAATGTTTTACGTAGACTGGAGATAAGAGCAAGAAACGATTTTCGATTGCGTGACTGCTGGTGGTGGAGAGGATGCGTGCTTGTGCCGCGTGATGGAACTGGGTATGGTGCATGTACGGTACAATGCTACGTTACATATGCACAACTAAAGTTCGCTTGACTGCTACCGTGATAGATAGTTCTCTCATTTGTACAAGGTTGTCCATTCTCGTAACAAGTCATCCACCTCGTCTTTTTTAGGAATCGCTGCTGTCAACGGCATGTGCGTCGTCTCGTGCGTACGATCCCATGATGCGCTGCCACTTTGTTCTATTACTATCATATGTTAATCACAGCTCTGGAAGATGATGGAGATTACTTACCTCCGATCTGACAAGAAGCATCTTGCTTGATAACATCAGGAACGAATTCCTCACCAAAATCCACGTCTCCTGTATATTGCGAGGAATTCTGTACGTAGCTTGGGGAGGCTGAGAGTGCACCGCTTGGGTGCCTGTGTGGTTCGATGGCATCAGGATATGTCCTACCACCTCCAAACAACGCATTGGGCCGGCGCTGTTCAGCTTTTGCGTCGGGACGTGAAGAGCGGGAAACTTCATGCAGTATCAATGGCAATCGCGTTGTCATTTTCTCCTCTGCCGCTGTTTCTTCCACCTCCATCTGCGTTTCTTCCACATTCGTCCGCGTTTCATTTTCCTTTTGTCCGCTGCCAGCTTCGCTATCCAAGAATTGAGCCGGGGCTTTCATCCTCAAGGACTCTGGAGTAATCTTCATCGTGCTTTCGAGAACTACTGTGCTTGATTTTCCAAGTAGGACACGGTCGAGATGGGCGCGAACAGTAAAGTAAGATCCCATAGCTATCTGTTGGTGGTGCGAATGGTCATCTCCATCCGACTTGTTTGCGAGAGCGTGTTGTAGGCGTCCAATGTCTTCCAAAAGGATTCGCACATGCTCCGCGCATTCTGCGAGAGACTCGGCGCTCATTGATGAGCCAATAGCTGTAGCATTCACCATCGAATCAGATACACTGTCTCCGTCTAGAGAGCTCTCGTCATCCTCGATTGCGGTGCTGCTGTCGCTCATACTAAATCTCCGCTGAAGCTCCTCATACTTTTCAGTCGAGCTCTTTTTCTTCTCGATCAACCGCCTAATCCCGTCTCGTTGCCTTGCCTCAGCTTCTCGGTCAAACTTGTTTGAAGCAACCTGGTATGCATGCATAAGCACTTGCATCAAGAGTTGCAATGAACTTTTGAGCTTCTCTATGCGGCTCTGCAGCAACTCGATCTTGTTTTCTCGGAAAGGCAGCGTGAAGCGGCCCATTTTCCCCTTCTTGCTCTTGTTTAGCGTCTTTTCAATGTCGTCGAATACTGTAGAGCACTCGGCGATGGTCTCATTCGCTGTCGCAACAGCCGTCTCTGACATCAGGCTCAATGTGTCGTGCTGCTTGAAAATCTTGCCCAACTCTTCGACAACAAAGCTAGTCAGTTTGATTTCCTTTGCAACTTCCCTGATGCGGCGGTCAGCATTCGCGACAGCATCAGCATACTGATACAAGGCCTGCGAAAGCTTCAGCCCTGTCCCTGCCAGCTGGAGGACGCTGGCGACGAGGCCTATTGCTTCTGCCATGGTGGCGTTACACGGGTATGCTCAACAATGGCCCAATCAAAACGGCATCCATGAACAAAGTTAGAGAGGGTGATCTAGCAAAGGTTATCCAGCGCATCAAGAGGCTGCCTAATTACGGGAAGCTGAGCGGGGCCGGTGCTGATCGCGTGACTCGCATGGTCCGTCACAAAGCTATCCCACCGAACTCTCTCCTGCACACGTCCCGGACGATATACACGCCCTTCTATTCAAGACACACAAGCATCCAAGCCATGCAGGATACCCATGTCATCCCGTGAATGATCACGGGTCGGCTGGCCCCGCCTTTCCCCAAGGAAGCTTGGCACAATCCGGAAACTGGGACTTTGCGCTGGCCGGGTTCCTCCAACATCATCGAGCATCACCATCCCTGTCACCCAGCCGTCTTTCCATTAAGCGCCATGCCACGGCCCGCGCTCATTGGGCGCCACAACTGCTCTGCGCCACAGCACTGCATATGATATCATGGCGTGTAGCAGGAAGAGAGGTCTTGCTTCGATGCCGTCTTCGTTGGGAACTTCCCCGCCGTGAGAGTGGACACGGCTTTGCTTGGATTCACCTACTTTGGGGACTTCACACAAACTGTCCATTTCAATTACCAAATACATCTACTACACTCATAGTCGCGACAACTCACCACTGAACCTTGCTGGTCGCTTGGAACCCACGGTCGTTTTGGGCTTCTGCCGGCTATGGATGACGGTTTCCGGCAGCCTGCGAAACTTCAGAAGCGGAAGAGCCGCGAGCGACAGGAACTGGAACAAATGAGTGGAGGTTCGAATGGTCAGCAAGCTGCCAACTCGTCACAACCCATGGCTGGCTCCCAGAATATGACGTCTACCGAGAAGGAAAAGCGCTCGAAATGGCGCATGTCCAATCCTTTCTCATCAAAGGACAAGACATCGAAAGAAAGTCTCAACCACACCCAAAAGGACGCCGAGAAGGAGAAACCCCGTAAAGACATCGACTCGGCTTACTACAGCAGCGAACGCAGCAGTGCCGACCCGAGCCTCGCAAATCAAGCACGCCCAATTTCTGGCGAACAAAACCACAGCCAGCCAACGAACACCCAGGCACCTCCATTCCATACCACACCGTCCAACGGGAACACCCAAGACACTCTTGTACCGCCTCAGAGAACGGTTCAGAATCGCTCGAGCCATGAGAATGTGGGCAGGGAAACGTACCGCGACGCTGGCACGGGAAACATAGTCACGGTCACCACAACCACGACAACGACTACCACCACCACAACTGGTCCAGGAGGCTCTACCACGGTAGAACAGCCTCATGACAGCGGTAATGGGCATGCACAAAACATACACACATCTGGTCCAAGCCCGCCTGAACCGGCTTCCCCTCTGCCAGATAACCACTACCACCAAGGACCAGGTTTGTCAGCTCAATCAGCTGCACACCATGACCTGACTCCCCCGATACCCGAGAGCAGCAACCCGTCAAGCAACAGGCTCTCTCCCCAAGTTTCCCATGCCGATGGATCATCGTCTCCACCCATTCCAGCGAAGAACAACATACGACACAGGGTAGAGTTGGATTCGGTCTCGCCGGGAGTCCAGCGACCAAATCCAATGGATGACAACGTCAGTCCAATCACTCCCGGCAGTCCGTCGCGCGCAAACTTCTCTTACCCAGCTCGGGCTCCTCCTCAAGGCGTTCCGCGACAGATTGCTGCAAACGGCATGCAGCAACAAACAGGTATACCTCCTGTACCGCCAGTGCCGGAGCAACAGCACCGCGGATCAGGCATTTCGCAAATACCAAGACAGCACGAACAACACCCTGGTATGCCACATTCCATGTCAGGCCAGCACCCAGCTAGCCTACAGTCGAGCGCCGACTCGAACGATGCACACAGGCCAGGCCACGAGCTCCCAAAGCAAAGCACCATGGCAAATCTCAAAGCGGCCGCCGCTGGCATTCACGTAAGTCTTCTTGTACCCCAGAATATCCAAAAAGAAATAAAAAAACAAAACTTACACTTCATCTCAGGGTGCGGGAGAAACCCTCCGCGGAACATTCAACGACACATTTGACCGTCGCAATCCCACCGCCCACGCCAAAAACCAAGCTGTCATCGACAAGGGCCGCTCGGAAATCGACACGGCACGCGCGAGCCATTACCAATACCAGAATCAGGCTCACGCCTCACAGCAGTATGAGCAACAGCAGCCTCCAACGCCGCAGGTCGGAGCCGCCAAGCTCCCCTATGCGGGTCCTCCGGTGTCGGGGTCGCAGATTGAGGGTAGGAGTCACAATGGACGAGGAAGTAAGTTGAGTAATATTATGAAGAAGATGAGGGAGGGCCCGGCGCCGGGTAACGAGGGAGCGGCGCATCATGCGTGAAGAGATGGTTGGGTTACTATGCTACTGTATTGCTGTATTCAGTGGAAAGGCTGCGGGATGTGAGATGAGGGAATGATTTCATGTCTAGATAATGAATGTGGTAATATGGGCAAGATGAATTAGTCATCTGTAGTATTCATCAGTGATGGCCTGGTTTGCTTCACGTTGCATGCCACAGCGGCATTGTAGTGATGTTTACAAACAGAATGAATATGTTCCAGTTTGCCAGAGTAAATTTCAAGGTGCAGAAATAGCGAATACTTCAAGTAATCTCACGCAAGTCAAGTCAATGAATTGGAAGACATTAATTTCATTTGATGGCCGTATAGTAACTACTCATAAAGTCATAAGATGCATCGGGTCTCGGAAAAGCAGCCGCCATGCAGCCATACCACACGCTTAGCCGTTGACAATAGTACCGCCGTTGGCGTGAATGGTCTGACCACTAATGGAGCTGCTGTCGTTGCTCGCCAAGAAGACAAAGCAAGTAGCAATCTCGCTAGGCTGTGAGGGTCTGCCAATTGGCGCAGTGAACTGCTTGATGGCCTCGTCGTTCATGGTGGCAGGGATCAGTGGTGTCCACACAGGGCCGGGAGCAACGGCGTTTACACGAATGCCGCGTCCGACGTATTGATTGGACAGACCGCGGGTGAAAGCGACAATGGCACCCTTGGTCGAGGTGTAATCGAGCAAGTCTGGACGACCGACATAGGCGTTGATCGAGGCGTTGTTGATGATGGTAGCGCCGCGCTTCATGTGCGGCAGGGCGTACTTGGAGAGAAAGAAGAAGGGGTGGATGTTGGTGTCGAAGGTGTGGAGCCATTGGTCCCTAGATACAGTCAGTATACCATTAAAATCTAGGGCTAGGGCCGATACATACTCGGACAGATCGTTAATGTCGTTTACCATCATCTGGTAAGCGTGGTTATTGACCAGAATGTCAATACCACCCATGGCCTTGAGAGCCTCGTCAATCACCTTCTTGCAGTTCTCCTTGGCCTTTAGGTCGACGGCAAGAGTGTGGCACTTTTGGCCTTTCTCTTCAACCATCTTCTTGGTTTCTTGGGCGTCCTTCTCCTCTTCAGGAAGATAGGCAATGAAGCTGTCAGCGCCCTCCATGGCAAACAAGACAGCTATCGAGCGGCCAATGCCAGAGTCTCCGCCCGTGATGATGGCCTTCTTGCCCTTGAGCTTGCCGGCGGCCTTGTACTTCTCCGCACCGCCTTCAGGTGTGGGTAGCTCATCAACCTTGGGCATGGGGTCGAGCTTTGACTGGAGGCCCGGGGCCTGCTGATGTTGAACATCAGGCTGGAAGCCTATAGTGCGGAGTTAGTGTATGTTGATAGCGCGACCTTATGTGCCTTACCCTGCTCGAATTGTCCTTTGTCGGAAGACATGGTGTCGCGCGATGTGCGTATCTGAGAATTAGAGGAGAGAAAACAAAGAGTCTCAACTGGCGTTTAGGGAGAAGGTTGTTGTTGATGCCATTGTGGTTCTCGATCAAAGCGGGACTTTTATCGGCGTCGATGATTTAGAGTGACATCACATGGCGGTCACAGCGAGCTCATGAGCAAAGGTGGAGCATACCCTCGGGCATCGCCAAAAACACTTCACCAAAGGTTCATTCATCGATGATAGAGGAGCATCGGCCGATGGTGTCTTCTAAGTTGCGTGAACTGGTGGGAACACTGCCCGTCGCTTCAGCCCTACCCGTGACCTGGACAACGTTCGCGCACCATACGATCGGCACATGACTCGTTCTAGGGATTGGCCATCGCAATGCTGACTTGCAACATGGACTGAAAGGAAGAGTGCCGATACAAGACATGCTTACGAAGGCCTCGGATTCCAGGTAGCCCAATAAGCACAGCACTACGTCACCCTTCGCCAATGCTGAACAGCGCTCCATTTCACAGCAGGCCGGGCTCATATTGCGAAACTCTACAACATCTCATTTCCTCTTCCATCGCGATCAACAGCAAAACCTGGCCTCGTTGGACGCCCACAATGACGCCCATGAAGCTATTCCGAGATATGACGTAGCCCCCCTCTCGCCCCACTTAAAATCAGGGTCCAGTCACCACATGACGCTATGCCCGCATTCGGCCGTGGCGCAGTTCCCGATCACTATGCCCCAGCCACCGACTCTCTCCATCATGCACCCGGCACCAGGAACACGGCTGACAGATGGGAAAAGCAACGTCATACGCCATCAGCTGCGACGCGTGTGCAGGGTCAACGGGCCTAGACGACGTTGGACGAGTCCCTGCATGACGTGCGCTGGGGACGATCGCAGCTAGGTTTGGCATCTTGGGCAGTGCAGAACTTGATTTCAGCGTCTTGGAGACTTCAGTCTATCAGATATGGAGGGGCTTGGAGAAAGAGATCAGCGCCTTGCAAACGGGGTTCATGGTATAAGATGGAGGGACAGAAGACCATTTGTATCGACATCTTCACAGCACAATCCACCTCCACTTGAACTACAACCACACAAGTCCCAACTACCATCACCAAATACTGTATCAACTACTACAAATACACTCCACAATCATGCCTATCGCACGCCGCCAAGCTCCCCGTACCACCCGTACTACACGCTCTGCCGGACGCCCCTCACTCAAAACCCGTCTGATGGGAGGCGGCCGCACGACACGCTCTAAGCGTACTCCTGGCACTACAACCACCACTACCACTACCAGGACAACCCGCACCACGGGTGGCCGCGGCCGCACAACCGGTGGCTACGGCCGTACCGCGCCCGTCCACCACCACAAGCGCCATGCCACCATGGGCGACAAGGTCAGCGGTATGCTCATGAAGCTCAGGGGCTCATTGACCCGCAAGCCCGGTCTCAAGGTAAGCTTCAATCATAGCTCACGAACACAAACACCCCTCTAACAAGTTTGCTAGGCTGCTGGTACCCGCCGCATGCATGGTACCGATGGACGTAATGCCCGCCGCGTGTACTAAGTCTGTCTTGATTAGAATACCGACATGATTTTCCTTTGTTTGTATAACACTCTGTCACGATTGTACGATAGGAGAGCAGATACCCGATGTCCTGAGCGTTTTGCTTGTAAATACAATATTTGAAGTTGAAAATTTTATTATGAAAGTCTGGTGATTGTTGTGAATGATTTCGTGGCTTCCAGAGTTATTCTAACCAGAAGTGTTCTCAGAAACATACGCATGTTGGACTAGATGTCTCCTGGGCTACCGAAGCCTGGGCCGGCGTGGCAGTGTCAAACCGACTTTTGTGATGCTTGTTTGGTGCCATTCATTAAGCCGCTCAATAAAATTGTCTATGTTTTAGTTAAGGCTTGATTGATATCTGCGCCAGCATATGTCTGGCTTTATAGTAACGAACTAGGTTGAGCAGAAGGTTATGATGTCGACATGATTTGACATACATCTTGACAAGTCCTATTACCATGGCTTGCTTCAGTGGACAGTCTAATGATCGCTCTCCTAGTATGTACAAGTAAGAATATTTAGCCACAATTTTTCTCAAGAAACATACCTATAGGCTACCCTGTGAGACAATAGGACGAGAAACTATGTACATCGCGCAATGCCACAAAATATCAAAGACATGGTGTGGCCAAAGACGGACTTCCTCCGGCTTAACTCCAGCCGATCATCTGCTAGCGCGGGATGCAAACCAAGCAAACACACGCACCATCAACTGATCTCATACACGCATCTCTCCACCACCCAATTGCGCTTTCACACCAATACCAACTACACACCATGCCACCGCCACGGCTCTCTTCCGCCCTGCTGCGAGCGCGGCCACAAGCACGATACCAATGTCTCAGCCGCATAGCGCCCCTCCGCCGCGCATCCACCACACCACCACACCACAACGACATAAAACCCGTCGTACCCTGGAAAACCCCGACGAGCGTCTGGTCGCCAGAGAACCTTATTCCCCCACCTAAAGATGGCGAGATATTGCTGGAGCGCCGGCCCAACCGCGCTTTACCACCGTACGTCGAATCAACTTCTCTTTTTTATTCGACTTCTCCTACTCGTGCCGGACATTGTAATTGTAGAGAGAGAAGACAAAAAGAGGGAATCTCTAGCAAATCAATGCTAACATCATGGATAATACAGCGTCCCACCATTGATATCCCCACAAGTCATACGCACATTCCCCATCTTCATCATCGCAATGACAGCCTCGCTCCTCGCCTTCTTCAACTACCAAAAGCAAGAGTCCTCAGTCGTAACGTCTACGCTGTACGCTCTGCGCACCAATCCGCTCGTGCGCGAGCAGCTCGGCGATGAAATATATTTTGCGTCCAAGCACCCGTGGATCAAGGGCGATATCAACCAGGTACACGGGCGCATCGACGTCAGCTTCTGGGTCAAGGGCACAAAGCGCGCCGGCGAAGTCAAGCTGAGGTGTCGGAGAAAGGGGAGAGGCGGACTGTACTACACGCAAGAGTATAGTTTGACGCTTGATGATGGCACGAGGTTGGAGCTGTATGATCCACAGGGTAATGCGATTGATCCGTTCCAGATGATTGCTGTCGAGGAGTGAGGCCATGATGAACGAGGGAATATGGGATAAACAATAACGGTCATTGGAGACTTTGGGCCAGTGCAATGCTGGAAATGCGCCGACGACTTCTCTCCCAGAGCGTAGACATGGAGAAAGGGAATACCCAAGACATACTGGCAATTCCTCTGTATAACACATGTACAGTTAGCAAGACACATGAAAGCATGAACAGTAACACTAAACATTGCTATGGAAAATACCTCTTGTATCTATGTATGTATGTATATAAAACACCTGCTACGAAAAGAGAGCGGGGAAGTAGAACAAGAAAGAAAAGATTGTAAATGACAGTAATAGTAGTGGTGGTGGTGTTCATCTCCAATCAAGAAGACAAACATGCTCAACAGTAATTCTAGTTTTCCGGAGCCCCCCCCCCCTTACCCGCCGCCTCAGTTCACAACGAAGGACCAATTTTCCCAAAAGAACGCCTTTCTGCTGTAGTTCTGTAGCAGTATGCTAATGCGATTAGAAAAAAAAGGATCGTCGAAAGATCGAAAGAAAGACAATAGAAAATAAACTCCCAAAAAAAAGGAAAGTGGTATCATGATTGTTATGCTCTTCATCCTCCTGCTGCACCTGCTCCTCCGTCCAACTACTCACCAACGCCCTGAACGATTGGCCTAAAACTTGTTGCCAGTATCATAATCGACCTCTGGCCTCCTGACGCTAGGATGGTGCGCAAGGTTTGGCTTGACGAGGTGAGCAAACTGCGGGTTGACGTTGAGCGGATAACTGATTTCAGGCATGCGGGCCGTCTCGTGCTCCTGCTCTTCGCGCTGACGCTGCCAGAACTTCTTCTTGGCGGGCTCGCCCGACGTGGTGCGCGAGTAGATGGAGGAGCAAGGGCGGCGTGGGAACAAGGTGGATTTGGCGGGGGATTGGCTGTGGTATGAAGGGAGGAAGGACTGGCGCGCTGTTCGCAGGGCGCGGATGGGGTTGAAGTCGAATTGAGAGAGGCGGTTTGTGTCGGTTTGCTTGTGGGCTGCTGCCATCTGGGGCGAGCCGCAGTCGACGGGCGGGGTGCCCATGCGCATTGGGGGCGTGTTGCCGTGCATGTTGTTGCGCGACGACGTGCTACCGGTGTGGTGTGTGCTGATGGTGAAGGCCTTGTGTTTAGGGTCGTAGTAAGATCCTGTATGCTGAGACTGCGTCTCGAGGTCTTCATGGAGCGTCATGGCGCCTCGGGAGCGTACCATGCGCGCAGTGATGTTGCGGGCCTTGTCGCGGAAGATGAAGCTAGCCACCACGTTGAAGAAGCCAATGACAAAGGCGAGGATACCCGAAGCAACGAGTAGACGCCAGAATGGCATAGTGAGCGACTTTTGGCTTGTAGCCTCCTTGTTCATGTTACCGAGCAAGTTGAGTCCAATCACCATCATGGCACAGCCTAGAGTGACGAAGCCGTGCGAGGGGCTAAGCAGCGGCCAGTTGCGCGCGTAAAAGTTTCGAAAGAGCGAGCATTCCGAGACGATGAAGAAAAGCCCGGCAAGGGCGGTAATGACGTGGCTCGTAGCATCGAAGAAGAAGAACTGGCAATTGTTGGCTACCACATATGTCTCGGTATAATTGGTTTCAGCATACCTTGGAGACGACGAATGTCTTGACAAGCATTACAACGCTGCTCGCAACCACCGAAGAGAGAGCAATGATGTTCAGGGCGCGAAGGACGTTAAGGATAATGTAGCCTGGCCCAGCCAAGTGCTCTGCTGATAGAAGAGCCATTGCGTATGTTGTGTTTCGTATTTCTTTTTGGTATAGAGACTCGTGGGTGTTGGAAGATTCAAGGTGGGTCGGTAGAGCAATTGGTCTGTCCAGCAGTCAAGGGAGAGAGAGTCGAGCGCGTCTAGCGACAGGTAGGCGAAGAGCGAGAGCGAGAGAGAGAGAGAGAGAGAGAGAGAGCGTATAGGTTGAAGCAAAAAAAGGTTAGGGCTAAGAAGGTAAGTAGAGAGAGGATCCCACGCCGTTCAGGCAGCAGCAGGCCTCTGATGAGAGGGACAATGGCGAACAATAGAGACCGAAGGTGAAGAATGGGAGGGGCAAGACCCAAGTGAAGTAGAAACCTCAGGACAAAAGTGGCCCCTGGCCTGACTTGCTCCATCTCGCGAACCTTACGGTATTTACAGCACGATTCATGGTCCGCGATGTTCCCTCAGCCTCAGGGTTGAGTGGCTGTAATGAGCCCAAGGACTATTCTTGCCCTCATGCTGCCGGCCCATGTGAAACGCTCCCCGCTGGAGTGGGCGGGAACTGCACAAGGGCAACAGCCCAGTCAGTTGTCTGTCCACTAGCAAACGTGGTAGTCAATTTGTCGCACAGCAAAGTCGACGGCCGTGGAGGGGTTATGTCGTCCAGACGATCAGGCGTGGTTCGGTCGAGGTGCCGCCGTCGCTTAGCGATTGGCTTTGGAGGCTCAAAACGCGCCTGGGTAGCGCAGGGATGGTGTTTCAGTTTTAGAAACATGGGCTCGCCTTGGGCCGCACGATCTGCGGGCGGCAAGACACAAGCGGGCCCGTCTATCGTTGGCACGCCCATTTTGTCCATGCGAAGCGCTATCGTGGCGACTTGCGCCATCCAGAGGCCGTTATGTGGGAGCGCTTGTCCGGTTCATGGCGCCACGCGAAAGACTCTTGTCACCACCCAAGTTAAATCGAGCGCCTTCTCCCCTGTGCGTCTTCCATCAAGCCCAGCAAAGTCGCCGCGGATTGTCTTACTCTCGCTCGGCATCTTGACTCGATGCCAGTTTCAAGAATTGCAATTAGTTGCACATCACCGCCGACAAATACACGTGTAGGCAATAGACAATCTAGACAGGTCGTGTGTTTGGTCAATAACAAGGGTATCATGCTATGGTGCGCCCACTCGAGACAACAAGACTCCTCGAGCTGCATTATGAGACTGATGTTGATGACGTGAATTACATGACTGTGAGTACAGCTCCCAGCCTCCTACCAACTCTATATGTGTGCCGTGGTCGTGGTAGCCGGCCATTGATCTATTCGAATAGTTAGTACGTCTGTTTGCAAACATTACACTCGAGTGACTAACCAAAGTCCCGTCCCTGAACGCCAACTCATTTCCGTTATTCATTGGTATAGCATTGGCCGGTAGGTTGAAGACTTCATGTAGAGACCGGCTCCGACCACAGTCGTTTACCAACGTGTCGCCCTTCCACCTATTTGCTTTTTTTCTCACCCCAACACTTTCAGGTTCCCATGCTCCATCGCTTTCGTCATGGATATCCTGTCGTCTGTACCTTCGAACGTGCGCTAATCGTTGGTTTGAATCGAACAGCTCTTTACGTGTGGGTCGCGCTCGGATCTGCGCCGCTTTTGCGGCCTTCTCTTCCGATGTCATTATCTCAATGGGCCGCTTGGTGCTACAAGGATACACATCATGAAAGCTCGTCTCGCGTTTGACCCCAGATGCGAATTCAACCCTGTCTCTTGAAGATGACAATTTACGTGGCTGGGCCTGGCTACGTAGCGGACTGCCATGCGACGTGGCGCTGACTGGTGAAACCATCAAGCTGGAGTCCTGCACTGTTGGTGGGGTTACCGAATCTCGAGCATACGGTATCCCTGTGAAGCCATTTCGCCGCGTACTTTTGGCGTACCTTGTCGGCGCACTTTCGATAGCGCTTCGCAGTCTAGTCTTACCCTGCTGTTTTGGTGTGTTAGGTACGATTTTGTTGAGATTAACGCCAGGCCCTGCAACAACCTGTTCCTGCTTGTCCTGCTCTTCGTTTTGATGTGAAAAATAGGCCAGATAAACTCGATATTCGTTTTGGTATCGAGCTTTGTCCGCTGCCTTGGCGAAACTCCACAGCACACTACCATCATGCGAACCCATTGCTCTCTTGCCACGAAACTCATCATAGAATGAGAGGGTAGTTTTCAGGCTCTTCTCCCAATTACCCTGCCCCTTTTGAAGGTAGGGGAGTTTTTGCGCCAGCCAATCAGTGATTTGTATAGCTGTCATACTCGGCCCGTTCGCACAAGCTAGTGCTATCCTCGCTAATTCACGGTTCGTAGGTCGCTTTTGACATATGAATAGAGTTTCGTCTTCGGTATCCAGGCCAATCAAATTCTTAGGGAACAAGGGTAAGGACAGGGATTTGGGAGAGCCTTTCGACATTATAGTTTCCAAATTTCCTTGCCCGGAATACGGCTTATAAGCGGCTGCATCATCGTTGGTGGGGGCGGGAGGCCGTTGTGGCGGAGAGTGCGTCTGCACGTCATTTTCATTGCGTAATGCAGGTTGTACTGTAGACACTGTTGGTTCATTCTGTGGCTTCGTCCTTAATGTCCGGGTGGAATTTCGATCATCTTCCTCGCTCTGGCGTGCGATATGTGGTGACTGCGTGGGGGCATGACCGAAAGGACTTGTTCGATTTAATTCCGCTGCTTGAGGTGTGGGCTTCTGTTTGATTTTCTTAACAATAGAGAAACCCTCTGAGGTAGGGCCCGACTGAAGGTCATGGAGTGATGCAGCAAATGTAAAGGGCGGCTTGTCATCACCAACCTTCCTCATCTTCGGCTTGGGCGTCACTCGGCTTGGATCAAACAAGGAATGATACTGAGCCTCAGCTACTGGAGACACAGTGGTTGAGACCATGAAATTTGCTGCCTCTAGGCTGCTTTTGATGATTTGTGTGTTGTGAAAAGCAACAGCTTCAGGAGTCTCAGGTATCTCCAACAGTTCCGTTTCTTTGGCTCGCGACATGCTTTGACAAGCTTGACTGCATACAAGTTAGAATTTCTCAGCATCCACGTTTGGAGGTATGCGTACCATTGGGCACTTCCGTCACCAGATCGCACCAGGATTGAACGTTTCTGACACACTGAACAAAGAGCTATTGGAGAAACACACTTCTGCAATGCAGTGGAGGAGTCGAGCACAACCGCCTCATTTTGGGCACGAACATGGTGCGGCTGAGACGAAGAACCAGAACTGTCAGGCTTGCTCAAGTAGCGCGTAGGCGTACGAGGAACTTCTGAAAGGTCAAACTGCTCGGGTTCAGATCGGAGAAATGACCCAATGATATCCTTGGGTTTATTTAAGATTTCTAGTCCCCTTGAGTCAGGTGTGCTAGCACAAAAAGTCTGACAGCCAATATGCCCATCGAAAGTGCTCTCTTTGGTGGGCCCCGATAAGTTTGTGGTCGCAGGAGATTCTGCACCCCTTGGCCTAAAGATGTCTCTCACTATAGAATGTCTAGGGAGAACCGGTTTCGAAGATGAGATGGACCGAGTATGCTTTCTAGCGTCATTCAAGCATGCTGAACATCTCCAGTGTTGCCTTGTATTTTTAGTTTCCGCTTCAAAGACATGAATTATGTAACTCACGGGTCCACTCCTTGGATCGGCGGTGGCTTTCGACAACTATCGTGGTATGATTTAGCACACCCTGGGCAAGTGATGATTGGATTGTAACTCGTGGCCGTGGTCTTGTCACAAACTCGGCAAACAGGTTTGCAAGAGAGCTGTGGCTTCGACAACCGCTCGATGGGAATGAGAGCCTCGCGCAGTGAGGATACATTGTAGCTTTGATATGTCTGCACACAATGGCCAATTATTGGATCTGGTGAACCTGAGGCATCTTCGTCTCTTCGCAACTGCTCATATGCGGTACACTGACGCTTGAGTGGAGGCGGTGATATTGCGCGCAAGCGGCATCTTGGCTCCTCATTTTGGCTGAGATTGGCTCTGTCATGGTGCTTGATATTGCTGCTTGTGTCAAGGTGAAATAATCGCCGGTCGCTGTTGGCGTCTCTCATCTGGAAGCGCTGGAAAGAGGGCGGTGGGACTGGTGCAATATGTGCGGATTAGCTCTCTGTTCATCAGTAAAGGTGTTGGAAGCGACAGCGGTGAGAGAGAATTGCGTCAGGTCTTTTCAGTTTATTATAGAGCAGCATGTCGCACCACTGGAGGCTCCTCCTTTGGCCCCACTACGGGTAGGCACATGTAGGCATGCACTCCCACGATGCACTCTACCCGCGAGCACTGCCAAAGGCAAACCGTCACAATAGTTAGGCGATCTAACCTTTTACCAGTAGTCATCATGCAAACCGGCTATGTGTCAGGTGGCGTGGGTGCAAACTTACTTGCTCTGGCGGCGGAGTCCAGTGAGACGCGCCTAGGATGGGTTGTAAGATGGGCGCAACATGAGGAAAGAGAAGAAGAGAGGCAGAGCTGAAGGCGGCCATACGGACGCGGTAGAATGTGATGCGGGAAAGGGGCGAGACAAAAAGGATCAGTAAAGGGCGGGGCGGGCAACAAATTGTCTTGGGCGCGTGATGGCTGGCGTAGTCGCGAAGAAGCAAGGCTGCTAGGGTGATGGTTGCGGCGCGTCATCACGTGCCCAGCAGGCAGCCCCCCGCCCAGAATGACACGGGGAGTGGGGGCGGGCGCGCATGTGCCCGGGGGTGCTGCGAGGAAACATCGCGACATCTACGCATACGCAATTAACGACCAAGACTACTGCGGCGCCTGCGAGTGCGCGACTGGACTGACGCTGCAACCATGGACTTTCTCAAGTCGGCCGTCGCCTCTGCCATATCCAAGGGCCCGGCATTTGGCTACACGTTTGGCGATCGTGTCGACTTGAACGACTCCATCTGGGCTCTGCACAACGGCACAAAGCGAGTATGGCCCCGGTATCTGCAAACACACACACGCGAATTGCTGTTGACAACGGGCCGCTAGGACGATGGCTCCAAATGCAGCATCTTCTCCTTCGACATCACCGCAAACAAGTCCCGCCTGCCTCTCGCTCGCAATGCGCTTCGCAAGCTGCGAACCCTGCGCCATCCAGGGGTAGTCAAGGTTCTGGACACGGTGGAGACTGAGAGCTACATATACATCGCCACAGAACGGCTCACTCCGCTCAGCTGGCACGTCAAGAGAAGGAGTCTGACCGAAGAGACGACCAAGTGGGGACTGCACAACATTGCAAAGACGCTCAAGTTTGTAAATGCGGACGCCGCCTCCATACACGGCTGTGTCCGGCCGGCCTCGATATTCTTCAGCGAGAGCGGCGAGTGGAAACTGGGAGGCTTTGACGCGCTGAGCTCGGTGAAAGAGGACGATTCCATCATACCAACCTATGGCAGTCTTATACCAGACGCGGCGCGATACATGCCGCCAGAAGTGTCAAAAGGAGGCTGGGAGGTGGTCAAGCAGAATCCAGCGCATGCTGTGGATGCGTACAATTTTGGCGTCTTGATCTTTGAGGTGTTTAATGGCAGCTACAATAGTAGCGACCAGCTGGGGCAATTGAAGAGCATTCCTCCAAGTATGCACCAGTCCTACAAGCGCCTCCTCAACCCCAGTCCCAAAGCTCGTATGAGCATAAGCCAGTTCCTCGACCAAGGAAAGCGTCTGGGCGGATTCTTCCAGACGCCTTTGATTCAGGTCACGGATGACATCGAGAACCTGGGCCTCAAAGCCGAGGACGAGCGGAATGAGCTGCTTGGGTTAGTTCCTTCACAATTCTCCCACCTTCACATATGCTGATACACACCAGAAAACTAGACGCTGTTGCAGACGACTTCCCCGCTGATTTCTTCAAGATGAAGGTACTCCCAGAGTTGCTCAAATCAGTAGAGTTTGGTGGTGGAGGTGCCAAAGTCTTTGGCACAGTCATGCAGATAGGACAGAAGCTGTCAGACGAAGAATACGAAACTCAGATCACACCCGTCGTCGTGCGGCTATTTGCCAACCCTGATCGAGCCATTCGCGTGTGTCTTCTAGACAACCTGCCGCTCATGATCGACCACCTTCCAGCAAAGCTTGTCAACGATAAAATTTTCCCGCAGATGGTAGGTCTCAGTACCATTCCTCTAGCTTCTGTGCTGACAGCCCAAAGGTTACTGGCTTCTCCGATGTCGCCCCTGTAGTCAGAGAACAGACTGTAAAGGCTGTGCTCACGGTAGTGCCTAAACTCTCGGAACGCACTATCAATGGGGAGCTTCTGCGCTATCTAGCAAAGACTTCCAATGACGAGCAGCCCGGCATCCGAACAAACACGACGATTTGTTTGGGTAAAATTGCGCGCAATCTGGGTGCCAGTGTAAGTTCTTTATACGTACAATCACAGCAACGGCATACTGATTCCTTGACAGAGTCGGGCCAAGGTCCTCTCTGCCGCCTTTGCGCGCTCACTGCGCGATCCATTTGTGCACGCTCGAAACGCAGCTCTTTTGGCGTTGGCTGCGACTGCTGATCTGTTCAGCGAAGATGACTGCGCAAGCAAGCTACTCCCGATCATGTGCCCGTCGCTCGTCGACAAAGAAAAGCTCGTCCGTGACCAAGCTCAGAAAAGCGTCGACGTGTATATGGCACGAATTCGCAAATTTGCCGCCACAATGCCTGATACTGCGATGCCGTCTCCAGGAGTTGCCGCTGCTGGAGGAGCCTCTCCGCGTATGGGAACCCCTGCGAACGACACCTCGTGGGCCGGCTGGGCTATATCGAGTTTCACAAATAAATTGGCGGCGACAAGCGGGCAAATGCAGGCCAGCTCAGCAACCAACGGGACAGCAGACCAGAGACCGTCGTCAGTCCCGCCAGCTGCCACGACTCCTCAGCCACCGGTTCCATTGGCGAGCAAACCAGGAATGGTGCTTCATAGTGCTAGGAGTACGGTATCAACACCTACCATTACATCACAAAATCAGTCGTCTGCCTTTGACGACGAGGCAGAAGATTTCGACAACGATTGGGGTGGCTTCGCTGATGAGGAGAAGCCACAAGAGGAAGATGATCCGTGGGGCACGCCGGCCGTATCCAAGCCGGCATCTACAACGACGTTTGACGACAAAGGCGAGCCCGACTTTGCGGGATGGTTAGCAGCACAATCGAACGCAAAGAAGCCACTCAAGAACCCTCTACCAAAGGGGCTCGCCAAGACAACCACGCCGGCGGCCAAGTCAACCAGACCTGCGATCGGAGCAAGGTCAAGTACGGCGGGGTCAGCAACAAGGAAGGTTGTCGCGGCGCCAAAGAAGGAGGTCAAAAAGGAGGTGCCAAAGGCCAACGAGGAGGAAGAGGAAGGGTGGGGTGACGCATGGTAGTCATATAGTGTCTCGTAGACGACGTCGGTTGTTCAGCATAGCGAAGGCGTCCTCTAGGAGAAATTGCTTATAATACACCTCTTTTGCCAGCCGAAGCGTAGTTTCGGACGACAACCAGCCACATAATGATACACTATGTTACATTCGTTACTCTCGTTAGGGGGTTTACTTTTTTTCTTCCTTTTCGCGCTTGCCAAATGTATAGGCCAATCCACAGCCTACAACGTTGACAGCGCAGAGAGCCAGCGATGCTCCTCTTACCACGCCTCGGACGCTGAACTTGTTCCTGACGCTCTGTCGTCTGATTAGCTCTGTAGTCGGTGGTTGGGCCTTGGCCGAGTTGAACGTACTTGGCTCCTTCGCATAGCAAGCAAAGCGTACAGCCCACTCCACGCAGCTGTAATACCCGCCGCGTCTGTCTTGTAGTTGCTGAGGTTCAGATATGACGAGAACAGCAGGACTGGCGGGAACATCATGGGGAAGGCCTGGAAGGGTCGAGCATGTTGAGCTGTGATGAGTGTGGCTATCAGTGTAGGCGGCACCGAGTTTTCTGTGGCAAGTCAGTCGTGTCTGCCTGTGTATACTCAGGCGCCAATTCGTAGAGTGAGGCACGTGAGGCTTGGGTACGAAAAAGAGACGTGATGAACGTACCTCCCCAGTTGCGCAGGGATTGGAGCATGGATTTCTGGGGTGGTTGAGACATTTTGGGTGCTCTGGGCTCTGCGGCAACGATGGAAGAAACAGAGTGCGCTTGGAGAAGCGTCTTGTTCTTGGGGAAACGGTCGCGCCGTGAACCATGGATAGAGAATGGGTGCAGTTCAATGACGTTAGGCCCGGAAGTGGGACCGTCGGCCGTGCCAACCCAGCTTCGGTCAACTGGCCTCGTCGGGAGACTCGCGAACTGCAATAACAGATAACGACTTCAGCCCACGACCCGAACCACAACACCACCACCCACTCCCGGCCGGCGCTTCCGCACAACCATCTTTCCGCGCACCCGCACCCAGAGACTTGTGTCATCGCTCTCCTCAGCCCTCGGCTGGCTGCGCATCGGCCCTTGGCCACGACGGCTGCCCACTAGGCGGCATAATCTACCTCTCCTCCACAAAGCACGCACGCATACCCCACACAAGACACCGCAACACCGCCTCGCCCAACATGTCCGCCAAAGCCTCTGGCTCCGACGCCAAATCGCGTGAACACCATGACGGAAGTGCAGGCCGAGCTTACACCGTCGAGCAAAAAGCCGCCGTAATACGCATCAAGCAATGCGCGCCGACGGCTTACTACAAGATCCTTGGTCTGGAGGAAGTCAAAGCCACATGTTCCGACTCGGACATCAAGAAGGCCTACCGCAAGCTCTCATTACTTACCCATCCGGACAAGAACGGCTATGCGGGTGCTGACGAGGCGTTCAAGATGGTCAGCAAAGCATTCCAAGTGCTTAGCGACCCGGACAAGAAGAAGAAGTTCGACCAGTTTGGATTGGATCCCGACGCCAGATTTGACCCGCGGGCTGCGGCGGGGGCAAGTGGAGGCGGGGGGCCGGGTCCGTTTGGAAACGGATATGCGAGAAGAGGACCGTTTGGCGAAGAAGAGATGACACCAGAAGAACTGTTTAGGCAATTCTTTGGCGGCGCATTTGGCGGACCTTTCGGTATGTCCACCGCACTCTGTGACATGGCTGTTTAAAAGAACAGGCAAGAAAACTAACACATACCCAGGCGGCATGGATACCGGCCCAGGCTTTGTCTTCAACCTCGGCGGCGGCCCAGGAATCCGTGTTCACCAATTCGGCGGTGGTCGACCACGCAGACGCCCTGGCACTGCCGCACCCCCAGGTTCCGAAGGCCAACAATCCCTCTCGTCGGCCTTCGCCAACCTGCTCCCCCTCCTGTTCCTCTTCGTCCTACCCCTCCTCAGCTCCCTCTTCTCCGGCTCATCGTCCACGGCTGCCGGCCCCAACCTCGTCTTCGAAACCCCCCGCGCCCCCAACACACTGAAGCGCGTATCCCCGCGGATAAAGATCGACTACTTTGTCAACCCCAAGGATGTGCACGACTACACGCCCAAGAAGTGGCGGAAACTAGACGAGGTGGCCGAGCAGCAGTACGTCCACATCACCAACACGCGCTGTCAGACGGAAAAGTACAAGCAGAGACAGGCTATGGAAGAGGCCCAAGGCTGGTTTTCCGTCGACGAAAAAGCAATGAACAAGGCCAGGAATATGGAGTTGAAGAACTGTAATAAGCTTAAGAAGTTGGGCCTCGACGTCTACGGCGCCTAACGCTTGTTCTTCTTCCTCTTCTTCTTTTTTGAATCCCACTATGGTTATATTATCCTAGGCATATGGACGCACTATCGTTTTTTTCCTGCTTGCTTGTTTGTTTGCTTCCCTTCTTCACTCCGCCGTTTGTTCGTTGTTGACCGGGTTGAACTGTTTGGATGATGTCGATATACGAGCGCGTTTTTTTTTCTTTTTCTTTTTTCGGAATGGGGGTTGATTTGGCATTCGCAAAGGGGGAGGGAAATCTCTGATGCACGCATGCATGGCGTACACGGCGTTTGATCAAGGCATGCGGTTGTTGCCGCTTTTTCCAGACGCAGCGATTTCTTCTCTTATATTTTTTTCATTCTCCTTCTCGTCAGTGAAAAGTTAATGCCTGGCTTTTCCCTGATCACTATACATTTTTTCTCTCCTCTCTTCTCTACGTTTCTTTATCTCTTTTCCTCGCCATTGCCGCACAAAAAGAATTGCTTTGCATATCTAATTGTTTTCTTTGTAGAGAGGCTATTATACAAGTTATTCATTACAACATATCGGGGATTGTTTTGTTGCTTCCCACTCATGAAAATCATGACATATATACGCACACGTACACACATAGGCGCTTCTCGAGGCCCTTCATCCAATAACACTACAACCCCCAGAATTTCAAGACTCGTGTCTTGATGCCCTCCCAGCTATTCAACTTTGGCCGGACATCCAAGTAAAAGTTGAGTGCCTTGCCCACCTTGCCCTCGTCCTTGCCTGCATAAAAATCAATCACGTACTCAATCTTCGTGCCGCAGCGATCCACAACCCAGTCATGGCGATCAAACGGCGCCTGGTACCCGAGGAAGCTCTTCCAACGGGCTCTGGGCGTCAAACTGGTACTCAGACCCGAAAACGAAGCCAGTTTCGGGCCGCCGCAGGCCTCGGAGCCGCGGCCCTTTTCCCAGTTCTTGATTTCGTGCCATGCGCGCTCGTTGACGGCATTGTGGATGGGCACAATGGTGCGCATGTCTGGGGCAGAGGGGTCGTAGGCTTTGCGGCGCATGGCATCGAAGAACATTTGCTCAGAGGGGTATATCCAGTTTCCCGTCTTCTTGTCGGCGCCCGTGTCGCGCTCGTTGTTTGCGGGTCTTGCTGAGGCGGGCGCAGCATCGTCGGGTAGCGCGCGTGGTATTGTGCTCACTTCACGTTCGGTGCCAAGCCGTATTTGCGAGAAAATGCCTGTGCTTGTGGGAGGTGGAGACGATGTGCTTTGGTCGAGAGAGGACGAGTCGCATGATTGCTGTACAGCTGACTTTGCGGTTGGCCGTGAGGATGCTGCTGGCGGGGCGTCGGGCGTGGGTATGGGTGTGCTGTGAGGGTTTGGGGGTGCATTGGCGTTTTGTGCGCGGGCCTGCGCAAGCCATGCCTCGCGGGTCTTGTGGTCAACTGGGCAGGCTGCCGCCGGATCGTCTTTTGAGGACATTATGGTGGTGAGATTCTTAATGTCGAATGAGATTCCGATAAGTTAGGCATGGTGACGGCAGCGGTTGGAGAAATGTTGCGCACGGGCCCTGCGGAAGTCGGTCAATTATGATTGGCTGGGCCGCGTACCATGATAATGTCCCGTAACAGAACGCCATGCCAACACATGAGTTGACGCATTTCAGTGTCATGTGGAGTCTCTCTTGTGCACAATCCGGGTTATTCCAAACATTAATGGTACGCCGATCCGGCTTTTCCCCCCTTGGGCCTCTTCGCTCGCACTCTCTAGTCCGCATCCCACTTAGACCCTGCATATAAACAAGACCCCGCCAAAACCTTTCTACTTTCACCGCTGCATTCCCCCCTTTTTCCCCTCGAGCAACTAAAACCACAAGACATACATCGAAATGTCCGAAATCCACCGTGCCAGCACTACCGCCCCGGTAAACATCGCAGTCATCAAATACTGGGGAAAACGCGACCCAAAGCTCAACCTTCCCACCAACTCGTCCCTTAGCGTTACCCTTGCGCAGTCCGACCTCCGCACCCACACCACCGCATCGTGCTCGTCCAGCTACCCGAAAGAAGACACGCTCCTCCTCAACGGCCAATCGCAAGATGTCTCGGGTGCCAGGACGCAGGCATGCTTCAGGGAGCTCAGAGCACTGAGGAAACAGCTCGAGGACAAGGACTCCAGCTTGCCCAAGCTCGCAGATCTTCCTCTCCGCATCGTCTCGGAGAACAACTTCCCTACCGCCGCTGGACTGGCGAGCTCAGCTGCTGGCTTTGCTGCGCTCGTTCGCGCCATTGCCAACCTCTACGAACTCCCCGCGTCGCCGACAGACCTCTCTCGCATCGCTCGACAAGGCTCCGGCTCAGCATGCCGCTCGCTCTTCGGCGGCTACGTAGGCTGGGAACAAGGCTCTGCCGCTGATGGCAGTGACAGCGTGGCTTTCCAGGTCGCATCTGCGAGCTATTGGCCCAACATGCGCGCCGTCATCCTGGTTGTCAGTGCAGCAAAGAAGGGCGTATCCAGTACGACTGGTATGCAGACCACAGTCGCCACGTCCAGCCTCTTCCAGTCAAGAGCGACCGAGACTGTGCCCAGGCGCATGAAGGAGATGCAGGACGCTATCCAGAACAAGGACTTTGAGGCATTCGGCAAGGTTACCATGATGGACAGCAACTCGTTCCACGCCACTTGCCTCGACACCTTCCCGCCAATCTTCTACCTCAACGACGTTTCCCGCGCTGCTATCAAAGTTGTTGAAAGCATCAACGCTGCCGCTGGAAAGATCATTGCGGCGTACACCTTCGATGCCGGTCCAAACGCGGTTGTGTACTACCTGGAAGAGAACGAGAAGGAAGTCGCAGGTCTCTTCAAGACCATTCTTAACGAGAAGGATGGATGGCAGGGCGAGCGGGGACAGGCTGTCCAGGCAAACGCCGAGGCTCTCGAGAAGGTCAAGTTCGAGGCGGGTCCTGCTATCGCGTTGTTGGAAGAGGGTGTCAGCAGGGTCATCTTGACGGGTGTTGGCGAGGGTCCAGTCAAGACTGACGAGAGTTTGATCAACGAGAAGGGCGAGCCTGTCAAGAGCGCCTAGAAGCAGGGCGCCGAGTAAGAGTCCCAAACACGAGTAAATACCCTAATACAAAGCACAATATCATCGTTTCCAGCTACCGCAGCATCAATGGCTACATGCATGTACAGCATGTGACTGTCTCAACCCCCATGCTGAGCTCACCCGCTCTTTACTCCTCACATCGGTCCGTTCGTCTTGGCCAAACAGCATGACTTTGAAAAATGCAACGTTGTAATTAGGTGGTTAAACTGTACAGCCGATATAGCGCAACCCTGCCAGACCACGGATATCTGCAAACGATAATGCTAACGTTACGCCGTGGTATCAGATTTCTTCCAATCATACAATTCAACGCCTCCAAAGACACACAAGGAAACGATCGTTTATAGAGATGCTGCGTGCATCGTCTTAGTCCAAGACGACAGCAAGAATGATGATGACCAGGACAATGGCCAGGATAAGCAATAGAATGCACGCCGTACTCCTGGCGCTCTTCTGGTAGTTGCTGGCCTGCTTGAGATTTATATGCGCGCCCCGCGACGCATCGTGTGTGACCTCGACATTCTCTTCGATGATGTCGAGTTGGGCGCCCTGCTCGTGGACCATGTGCGCGACGTCGCGGAACAGCTCGTTGAGCTCGCCGACGGACTGCTCGATGTTGCGAATCTCCGACTCGCGCTCAATGATGAGGGATTCCTGGAAGTCGACCTCATCCTGGTTTGCCAAGCGCAGCTGCTCCTGCTCCTGCTGCTGATGCCCCCCAAAGTCTCCCCGCTCTTCGCTTGGCGATGATGCATCCTGCAGGGCTGTGCGTGCCGCCTGTGCCGACTGCTTCTCCTTCTCCAGCGCCTGCTTCTGGAGTTGCTGGAACTCGGCGAGCGAGGCTCGGAACTCGCGCTGCAGCTTCGACTGGGTAAACTTCTGCGAGGGCTGCGATGCGTTAGCTGCTACTGCTCGTGCAATGAGAGACTGGCTACCGTACCCCGACATCGGGCCATGTCACAATCTTCTTGAGGTTCTCGCCAAGCTCCTTGAACTTGTCCGATGTTTCCTCCACCGTCGTCTTGACGCGCTCGCGCACACGGGGCGTCTCATGTTTCGTTCCCAGTTTGGCTGTCTCTTGCGACAGACGAGCGACATTGCGAGTGAGGGCAAAGAGATCGTCGGAGAGCTTGTCGGCAAAGTCGCGGAACTCGGGGTCGTCGGCATACGCTGCATCGTCTTCCCGCCGCCATGTCGTCGGCTGCGATTCGAGGGCGCTGGAGCGTTGAAACGACATGCTGCTGGAAGGGGAGGCGCACAGGGCTGCACAAAACGTAAACGGCGCCTAGGGGCAAGCGGTCAGGTAGATGGTTGCGAGAGCTGGTGGTAGAGATGCAATCGCCGGTGCCTGGAGGTTGGGTTGGACTGGCGCTGCGTCGGTTCCCGCGGCGATGACGATGGGCCGCGGTCGACATAGGGCACGGGGCGGGTCTGTGATTAGATAAGCAGGCGTGCAGCTGTTCGAGCACGGGTCCGGCCACCAGCTCGTAGCTCCGGCGATCAATGTTTGTTTGACGAAAGGTCGCCCGTCTTTGGTCTTTCTCTTGGGTCGCTGCAACGCCTGCAAACCGCGACCGACTGCATCCGCCCATCGTTTCCCCACTGGCGCGACGCCGTTTCTTATTTCCTGCTATGATATAGCTCTCTTTTTTCCTCACTCATACATTCTCTCCAGCCGCAAAATCCGCTCCCATGGCGCTCGCTCCGCTCGGCACCCAGGTGCGCCCATACAGAGACTACCTGACGCCAGCTCTCCACCGGAGATTCAACAGGGCCAGCAGATACACGCTGCTGCTGTGCTATGCGATCGCGTGTTGGATGGGCGAGTGGGACAACCGTACGATGGCTATTCCGCGCCTTGCACACATGTACTGATTCCTATACAGCTCTACGGCTATGCTTTCCCCTAGGCCTCACCGGCATCCGGACCCTTCTGCTATTCGTTTCGGCCCTCTCCATCTACGTCCTTCGCGTGGCCCAATGGCATGTCGGCCGCCGCCAGACGCCCACCCAGGCACAGACATTCACCAAGTACTTCTTCCGCCTGTCCACGGTCGTCACCCTCATCGCATACTCTTTTTCGGCTATGATGTTCGTCGAGACATATATCTGGTCGCGGGGCCCAAAGGACAGACTCGCCTTTATCGAGGCCGGACGCATGCACGAGCGCTTCAGGCTGAATGAGAGACCGCTCTACCTACGCTACCTGTTCTACCTCCTGGCAGCGGCGCAGTCGTGCGTGCACCTGTGGCATGACTACGACAAGATCGAGGTACCTGCAATGAAACCCAAGAAGGAGCGCGGAGATGCTGCGCCAGCACGGCGGTCACCCAAGCCCCGACACGTCCTCACGAAACAACTCAAGGGCATGGCCACTCAGTCGAGCTCGCTGGCCGCAACTATTGCCCTTGTTGGGGTGGGAGTGTACTTTGTTATTGCGCGCAATGTCATCTGGGGCTACTACTACAGCTTTGGTCGCTATCTGTGGAGTCTCTCCAAGACGTCAACACCCACAGGACTGGCGCCATTCCTGCCTCTGTGCTTCATGTTTGTCACCGAGGGAACGCTCCTTGTCGTACTCTGGGAGTTTGTCAACAAGACGTTTGACGTGTATATTGCGCAAGAGCCGCTGAAGAACGACCACCCCATCACAAACGACTCAAAAGACCCCAATGGCTCGCTCTTGAACGGCCTCAAATCCAAGAAAGACACTGTCAAGGTGGGATGACGCAACTGTTTTCTGTAGCAATTTCTAACTGAATCCAGGCAATCGCCTTCTGGGAGCTTGCCCTCATAACCGACGCCTTTGCCGACCGCCGCAAGACGATTTACAGCGAGATGGGGCGTAAAAAGGCGCCGACGCATCAGCAGACGACAGACTTGTGTCTTGGAGAAGTCAAGTTTCTCATTGAACGCGTTAGTCTTGGTCTCGACCCTGCATACAACCCCGGCGCTACAGATGGCAAAGAACAAGCTGCCGCACCTGTCAAATTGGTACCGCGGATTGCACAACCTCTAAAAGATGACAAGCCAGTCACTGCCGCGCCACCCAAGCCAAACACTAGACTGGAGCACTTTGAAGCAGCGACGGCCAGCCTTGCAAAGTCGCACAGTGCTCCTGGTAATGCGCAAAAAGCATACAGCCGCGAGGCTCTGAACAAGGGCATGAGCAAGGCACAAGAAGGGGCCAAAGAAGCAGAGTCGCTCTTTGCGACGTACTGCAACAAGTTTGTGTCGTCTTCGGTCGGGACATTGTTCAGGCAAACGGTTCAACGCACAGCAACGATTGTTGTCCTCGGAGCGCCATACTCTCGGATTTCACTCGTCTGCAATGCGGTCACGGCTCTTGCAAACCTTTCCGTCTTCTCGCTCAGCGAAGACTCGCTCGGCCGCTTCCACGAAGGTGTGCCTGCCATGGTGCGCGTATTCACCACGGCACTCAACAAGATTGACGAGTACATGGAGACGGTCCCAATCCACCCGAGTGACACGGAGACGCTCGCGAAACCAGAAGCAGAGAGGCGGAAGGTGGCGGAGGTGGATGAAGTGAGGGAATGCCTCCGCGAAGGACTGGAGCGCATCCTGGGCAGCTTCAACGAGTACTTGAGCGGGATGGGGCTCAGCAGGCTAGAGATTATGGAGGCGAAGAAGGCGGCGAGTGCCAAAAAGGCCCCTGAGATGGTGCAGGCGGGCGCAAGGCAATGATGGCGTGTCTGAGCATGGCGCATAGTGTACCGATAAATGTAGAGTTTGATATACCCACGCTGAGCCAGGACAATGTAGAAAAGGCGGACGTGCAGGCACCCGGTGGCCAACCATAGGACGTGCTGTCTTGACGTGCATTTACGGGCCGGGCGAGCCACCAGCGATTGGGAGTAGCAGCGGGATTTGCATGAGCCAAGAGCAGCTACGCAGGCAGATGACCTCCAATTGCAGCCAGGCCCAGGCCCAGCATGCACAAGCGTGTCAGATGGAGGGCCTAGGAGGGCGCGTTTCACGCATGCCGTCCCAGAGTCTTGGTATGGCCGGCCCCCAATTCCAGGGGTAAACCGCCCCTCCCCACCTCTAGTCTGCTTTGAGCTGCTCTCACCATTGTTACGCCACCTTAACCCAGAAACGTCATGATGGGCGACACTTGCATGGCGGCTGACGAGGCCCTCGGGAGCCCCGACGAGCGGCCAACCAAGGCGTGCTATCGCTATCATCCTGTGCCATCCCGTCTTTGTTGCTTCTTCTCTTTCACTCGGTCCCCCGTTCTGCTCGCACTCCCACAATCCGTGCCTGGCTGCCCGTGGACTCGAGGAAGCGGGATATAACTGCGAGCAAGGCCTACCCTTGGACGGCCCTCTTACCTGCTTCGGCCCTCAGCCTCAGCCTCACTCCGCCTCTGCAGGGAATACAGGAAAAAAAAAGAGGACCTGATGGATTCGGCCTTCTTGTTGTGATAATTGTTCTTACTCCTTTACCTTCTTCCTTCACCCGACGGCGCCCTTGGACTCCGTGTTTCCCCGTGTTTCTAGTCCCCGGGACTGCTGCGGCCTTTTTTTTTTGTCTCGCTGCTCGAGTCACGCGTCTTGTTGTTTGCGAACGCGTTCGAGGCAAGAAGCGCTTTCGATTCGCTGGGCGACGATATCGATTGCGGTTTGGTTAGGCCAAGGGAAAACGAGAAGGCGCCGAGAGTACAACATAGTCGGGAGCCAGCTGGGTATCCGGATACCGCTGATTACGAGCTTACGCGCAGCGCAATGCACACACCACTATCCGCATGGCTTGCTCTGTCGGCAGCAATAATACCTGGTGCTACGGCCTTTTACCCATATCACTATGCTGGCGACAGCGGTTCCTCGTCGCAGCCGTCGCGACGCACATCTCGGCCAGTTTCCATCGATAACGCGCGGTTGATAACGCTTCCTCTCCGTCGGATCCCTACCAGTCTGCAGTCGCGAGAGAATGTGTACCAGATTGTTGCGTCGAACAAGCCGAGCCAGGAGAACAGCGTGGCAATTGACCAGGATGGCAAGGATTTGAGCTATATGGTGGCCGTGACGTTTGGCGACAGCAAGGAGGAATACCACATGTTGCTGGATTCGGCGGCGAGCAACACATGGGTCATGGGCCAGGACTGCAAGAGCGAGGCGTGCAAAACGCACAATCTGTTTGGTGCGGGCGATTCGAGTTCGCTCAAGGTATGCACTTCACTTTGCCTGAAAATTGACCGTGAACAAGAAAAGCTAACAGCCATGTCAGACAGATACCAAAAGCTTCAGCATCACCTACGGCACCGGCTCGTCCAGCGGCACCCTCGCCACCGACACCGTCCACCTGGGCAGCCTCTCGTCTCCGCTGACTTTTGGCCTCGCCACCAATGTGTCTGACGAATTCCGCGCCTACCCCATGGACGGCATTCTGGGCATTGGCCGGGGCTCTGGCAGCGACGGCGACATTCACGCGCCTCAAATTATGGATGTGCTCTCGTCCAACCGCCTGATCAACGCCAAACTCTATGGCATCCACCTCAGCCGCGCCAAAGACGGCCTCAAGGACGGTGAACTCGATCTGGGCCAAGTCAACCCCAAGCGCTTCACCGGCGACATCAACTACATCGACTGCGTGGAAAACGACACGGGGTTCTGGGAAATCCCGCTGCAAGGCGCTAGTGTTGATGGTGCCGACGCGGGCCTCAGCACTGCGGCTCGCACCGCCATCATGGACACGGGCACATCGTACATTCTGATGCCCAAGGACGACGCTGTCGCCATCCACGCCAAGATCAAGGGCCAGACGCAGAACGGAGAAGCGTTTTTCGTCCCCTGCGATACCACGGCCGTGGTGCAGTTTGGCTTCAACGGCCAGAAATACAACATCTCGGCTGCAGACTGGATCGGCGACCAGGTGGACCAGAGCAAGAATCTGTGCCGCAGCAATATTGTGGGACGCCAGACGTTTGGCGCCCACCAGTGGCTCGTCGGCGACGTGTTTCTCAAAAACGTGTATTCGGTGTTTGACTTTGACAAGTCGCGCGTCGGCCTGGGTGTTGTGGGTGGTGTTGAGACGACGAGTACGGGTATGTAATTCCTTCCACGCCTCACACAAATACTAACAACCCCATTCCACACAGACTCATCCTCATCCTCTTCTTCCCCATCCTCTTCCCCCTCGTCTTCGGCCAGTAACGTGACGGCCGCCGCCACGGCCCCCAGCACGACATCTGCGTCTGAAAAGACGCCTTCGGAGCAGCGCGGCGGCAGCGGCGCCACGGCCACGCAGACGTCGTCGTCGTCGATTGTCGCGCTGGTGGTGGCTCTTGCCGCCATTTCAATGTACATATAAAAAAGTCTTTTTTTGTTGTCTTGTATATATGCGATATGTGAGATGCGATATGCACGTATGGTATGCCGTATATCGACATGGATAAAGATACATGGTGTGTTAATACGACTGGTGTGGTGTGTCATGATTCTGTGTACACTTGCAGGTTTTCCACACCATGTGAATGAACGTGATGTTGTGAATGGAAATCGTCATGTAGTATAGATGAAGATATCTATACATACATACATAGCCATGTTGCATGATCCAAGTATATTCAGTATATTAGGTTACTGCTTCGTGGAAGCCAAATGCAGTTATTTAGTTCGACTATCCAACCATGCATCTACTCGACCCATGTATTCTACCATGATTTCCCCTGACTTGTTTTTTTTTGGGGGGGGGGGGGGTTTCCTGGGAACGAGCTGGTATGTCACTATGTATGTACCCGTGCATTCAAGTAAATATATATATATATATATATATATCCAAGTATCTATCTATCTGTCTATCTGATTCCACTTATCAATCCATGGAAATTGTATATTGTACAAAATACGCAATCCAAAGATTTAGCCATCGCTCGTTTTTGGAATGGTTATAACTACTTTCTTTGTCCATTACGTTATCAAGCCATGTATATATCCATCTCTATCTACTCATTCACCACACCATTGTCCCTTTCCTTGTTATTTCCACTAAATGAAAAAGAGAAAACGAGTTTTATCTGTGGCCAATTCCAAATCACTCTTGTTGGTATTATGGTGTCTTGTTTATTGTAACCTGTCATTGTAACTGATTGTACCTGCTATTGTTCATGTGACAGTGGTTAAAGTATGTGTCATTTGTCACTGACACATTTGCAGGACGGTAGGTTGCTTTGGGACATGGGCTTAATAACATCACAGATAGTCATTAGCAGCTTTAAAAAAAAGGCCAAGAAAAAACAAACAAAGACATAACCCAAACTATGCTCAGCGATTGGTGTGGAAGCGGTTTACAAGGGAAAGCTGCCAAGTGTGTAACACGGGGGGGGGGGAGTAGAGAGCAAAACAAGCACCGATTATTAGAAAGATCCTACCATTTGCTCAATCTCGATTTCCACACGCTTCTGAGAAGATAACCCCCATCATGAACTACCCCAAGATGATGTACGGTTCCAAACACACAAAAGATCCAGCACAGTAAACGCCTCGTGTAGGTGCCATGAGAGAGAGAGACAGAGACAGAGAGAGAGAGAAAGAGAGACATGGGGGGGGGGGGCTGTTAGCGGCCTGGAGAGAGGCGACTCGCGTGGGGACCTCAGCGGCCATGTTCATGTCTTGCCCTCTTTCTCGGATAGACGACTATTACACACCCGATGGTCGCCACCTTGTTGCTTGTTGTGCAGGCTCAACAAGGGGCGGTTGTGGCGGAGAACCACCTTGTAGGAGGGAATGCCGCGCTTACAAAACCAGGCACTTCTTGGTCTTCTTCTCTTTCCGGGTCAACAGAGCGGCGCGGGTGGCGTGCTCAAACACTTCTCGGACACCCTCGTTGGTCTTGGCTGAGCACTCGAGGTACTTTTGAGCACCAATCTTCTTGCGGACATCCTCGGCCTGCTCGGGGAGTTAGTGACGATGACGAGAGTGATGGCGGGGATGGCGGGCCATGGCCATGGTCATGGTGGGCGGGTGCATGGTGGAAACTGACCTGCTCGGGCGTCACGGGCTTCTGCGACGTCTTGTGCAGCTCCTCAATCGTCTTCTGGTCAAAGCGCAAGTCCTTCTTGCATCCAACGAGGATGATGGGAAGGCCCTGGCAGAAGTGCAGAACCTCGGAGATCCACTGTGGGTGCATGTCAGTTTGGGGGCGGTGATGGCGATGACGAGGCTAGAGGGAGGTACCTTTTCCTGGACGTTGTCGAGCGAATCGGGCGAGTCGACGGCGAAGCAGATGAGGATAACGTGCGAGTCGGGGTACGAGAGGGGACGGAGACGGTCGTAATCTTCCTGGCCAGCGGTATCCCAGAGGGCGAGCTCGACGTGCTTGCCGTCTACCTCGACGTCGGCGACATAGTTCTCGAAGACGGTGGGGACATAGACCTGCAGGCACAAGTGTCAGCGGATGGGCTCGGGGGTACGTGTGCACAATGCAGCATGCGTGTGATGGCGACGATGACAGGCGACGTGGTGGCGGGTGCTGTCGTCGTCGTTGTGATGGCGGGCGTGTTGGGGCGTGTTGCTTGTGCACATGGGGGACGCGGACAGGCAGCTAGGCTGACGCGGCTCAGGGATGGCGGGTCGAGGTTGGGGAGGTACTGACCTCGGGGAAGGTGCCCTTGGAGAAGACGCTGTCGACGACGTGGTTAGCAGCTGTGGAGCAGGGCAGAGGCAGGTGTCGCGGGCGGCGTCGACGGGGCGAGCGTGGGAGTGGGAGCGGGCACGTACATGAGCAGACACGTCTTTCCACAGGCGCCGTCGCCGACAATAACAAGCTTTCGTCGAATCTCGGCCATGGCGGAGTCTGTGTGGTTTTTGGGGTTGGGGAGGGATGTGCGGTGGCAGGTGTCGGGGGATCTGTAAGCAAAGAGGTGAGTATTTGGATGGAGGACTGGCGGTGATTGAAGTTGGACAACAGCGGCTTCAGGGTGTTATGGCTAGGCACCATGACCGCAACGGGGGTCGTGCTGCAACGACTGCGGCTGAGTTGCTGCTTGCGCCACGCTGCGCTTTTGCCATTGCGGACTAGGCCGGGGCAGGACAGACGGGGGGCGTGGCTCGTACCTGGGGGAGAGCGAGCGAGCGCGCGCGGTGTGTGTGTGTGTGTGTGTGTGTGTGTGGTGTGTGTGTGTGGTGTGTGTGTGTGGTGATGGGGGGTGCAGCAGCAGGCAGCTAATGCGATGGGGGGAGGGGGAGGGGGGCGGCTAGTTAGTGTGTAGTAGGGCGATGGTGGTGGTGGTGGTGGTTTGGCGGCAGGCAGGGAGAGGAAGCAGACAGGTGGGTTTGATGATGATGGCAGGCGATGGGCGGCGGTGGGTTAGTATGCAGCGGGTTAGTGTGGCCGGGAGCGAAAGAGGAGAAGGCGCGATTAGCTATCTCGCAGCCTCTCCTGGCCATGACGCCCTCGGTCGCGCCCCCAGTCACTGCATCCACATCCACTGCATTCACGGCATTCACTGACTGACGGCGCCCACGGCCTGCTGCACCCACTGCACCCACTGCACATGGCGTCACATGGCCTGCATGCATGTGTTTGCTGCCACACGCCGAAGCGCGACGAAAGAGCCGGCAGCAAGCAGCAGCAGCAGCAGCAAACAGAGGCAGAGGCAGAGGCAGCACAATGGCTCGGCGCGGCTGTATTTCCGCGGCTATCTCCGGCGCCCCCACTCTCGACGCCATCTTGTGCATGGTGTTGAGCGCACTTGGCCATGGCCGGCGAAGAAGAAAGAAGGCGGCCGAAAAGGAAAAAGAGGCGGCCGTGTGCTACAACGTGTGTGCAGCCACGGCGCGAGACGAGATGCGTGCAAGCCCCCCCGGCTGCCTGCTCTCGCTCGCTGCTCTGGCCTGCGCACTGCACTCTGCTCTGCTCTGCTCTACATGCAAGTACTCTGTGCCTGTGCCGCGCGGGACGAGGCCAGTCGAGCCGGGTATCAGACCTGAAACGCGTTGCTGCGGGGCGTGTTGGCTGTCGCTTGGAGCTTGGAGCTTGGTTGCCAGGGCGCCGTCGAGTCGTCGTCGTCGTCCTCCCCCCCCCCCATGGCTGACTGACTGTATCCAGGAACAGGGCACGCAACCCAAGGCCGTCCAAGGCAGGCAGCAGAGCCGTGCCGCGCCCAGCCATGCGATGGATGCCATGGCCTGCCGACGGTGCGCATCGACAATTTCCAGCGCGCACGTGACTTGGCGAGACAGCTGCCTGCAGGGCTGGCGGCGGGGCAGGCTAGCCGGCTGGCGGACTCGCAGTAGCTGGTTGCAGCAATGGTAAGTAGCACTGACGCAGTTCGCGCACAACTACCACTACTAGGCTACTACACACTGTCTTCACCACCACCACCACCCCCGCCATCACTACCACACACTACCACATACTACCGCCTCACACCACGCCCCGCCTGCCCCCGGCGCTTTGCATTCTTCCGCCCTGGTCCTCGGCCTGCCAGACCACCCCCCCAAAGGCCACGCTCGCTACCGCACACGCTCGCAGCCCCCGCCTGAAGCCCGCCGCGGCTCTCGACCACCGCCATGGCCGACCAAGACGCCCAACAACATGCCCAACAAAACCACCACGAGAGCGCCATGCCCGATGCTGCCCCGCCGCCTGCCCCCGCCCCCGATGCCATGTCAGATGCTGATAAAGTGAGCTCGTCCGAGAGTCGCCCGCCAAAGAGACCCGCTGACGACCACATCTCTCAGATCCGTGCAAAGCGCCTTGCAAAGCTCGGCGGCCCTCCACAGCAACCCCAACCAGCCCCCGCTGCTGCCTCGTCGGCCGCCCCGCCCCCCAAGCCCGCGCAATCTCAGCCGCCGCCGCCGCCGCCGACGCCCCAGACCCAGCCAAACCCCTTCGCACAGCTCGGCGTCAAGACCACTGACGCGCCCAAGAAGCAAATCACCATCAAGCCCGCACAATCTTCCAGCAATGGCGCTGCCCAGAAGACGCAGGAAATGAGCATAGAGGCATGGCAGGACCGCACCCTCAGCAACATCTTCAGGATAACGGTCGACGAGACCCACTCGCGAGACGCCCATGGCAACTCCCTCTACCATGTCGCCGGCGCAAAGAGTGATCTCGAAGACGAGGGCCGCCCGCTCCGCTTCACCACAGACATGCTGGATTCGGTCATATTAGAGGCGGCCTCCAGCCACGCCCACGGCACCGCAGTCGACTATCTCCTAAGCTGCTGGAAGCGTGTGACGAGAGTGTTGAAGACCTTGGCCAACAAGACGGGCCCGAGATTTGACGTGGTCAAGGAAGCGCGCCGGCTGTGCTTCAGCTACTGCATATTCGCCTTTACCATGCCAGACATGTTCGGCGAAGATGCGCCCGCAGACAATGTCCTCGCAGACCGCTTGCTTCTTGGGCCCGACGACGAACGCGGCATCTGCTACGAGTTCCTCACCGAGGCGAGCCAGCGCATAGCCGAAGACGATTCTATCGCGGAAGCCCTCGTGGGCGCCATGGAAGATGTGAGCCGTCGCCTTGCCACAATCTCCATGAACGGAGACTACAGACAGCACATGCTCATCTTGCGGATATGCGTTCGTTTCCCCCCTCTGGTCACGGCCCTTGCCCAGTCCGACTCCTTCTTGCCCGCCGACATTGAGCCTCAGCACATTGAAACCCACAGCTTCCTGGGTCCCTTCTTCCGTCTCTCGCCGATGCAGGCCGAGGTGGCCATGAACTACTTTTCCGGATCGGCGGCTATTGACAAGGGCCTCATTGCGAATGCTCAGCGGGCGGTCCGCATGACCCTGCAGACGCATCAAGACGAGTTGTTTGACATTACCAATACCTTTATCAAGAACAAGGAGTCTCGCGAAAAGATGCTCAACTGGCTGGCCCTCACCGTCAACAAGAACCACAAGAGGCGTGCTTTGCAAGTCGACAGAAAGACCGTCTCCTCTGACGGCTTCATGGTCAATGTCACCGTCATTCTCGATCGCCTCTGTGAGCCTTTTATGGACGCAACCTTTTCCAAGATTGACCGCATTGACATTGACTACCTGCGGCGGTCGCCTCGTATTGACATACAGGATGAGACTAAGATCAACGCCGACCAAAAAACTTCGGACGAATTCTACAGTACCCAGGTGCCTGGCGTCAACAACTTCATTAGCGAGGTTTTCTTCCTAACCGTCGCTGCCCACCACTATGGTCTCGAGGCCGCAAACTCCACGTTGAGCTCGCTGCAAAAGGACGTTAAGTGGCTGGAGAAGGAGCTGGCCAAGCTGGAGCCCGAACGACCAAAGTACATGGCAAGCCCCGCCCAGCTTGCTGTCTTTGACAACCACATCAAGAAGGTCAAGGACCAAATCGAGCGAGGCAAGTGCAGCATTCTGGCCATTCAGGGTGTTCTGCTCGACGAGACGACACAGGCTCGGTCTATGCAACTGATGCGATATGTCATCGTTTGGCTGCTACGTCTTGCCAACCCTGGGACTTCGTTTCCCAAGACGGAGCTGCAGCTGCCCCTTCCCAAGGAGCAGCCAGTGCAGTTCAAGTGCCTCCCAGAGTACTTTGTCGAGGACATTGTCGGCAACTTCAAGTTCATTACCCGTTACATGCCTCACATCATCACCACCACTCAATGCGAGGAGCTGGTCAAGATCTGCATTGCCTTTTTGCGAAGCTCCGAATACATCAAGAACCCATACCTCAAGTCCGGACTCATCACGATTCTCTTCCATGGCGTGTGGCCGATTCCTGGGAGATCCAAGGGTGTGCTTGGAGACACGTTGTTTGCGCACGACTTTGCCATGAAACACCTGCTACACGCGCTCATGAAGTTTTACATCGAGTGCGAGAGCACAGGAACACATACGCAGTTCTTTGACAAGTTCAACATTCGCTACGAGATTTTCCAAGTCATCAAGTGCATCTGGCCCAATCCCATCTATCGCGAGCATCTCGCCACAGAGGCCCGCGTCAACCTCGACTTCTTCGTCCAGTTTGTCAACTTGCTTCTCAACGATGTAACGTTTGTCTTGGACGAGTCATTTGGAGCCTTCAAGGAGATTCACGACCTTTCACGAGAGCTCAAGAATGCGCCAGCCGACATGGATCAGACTGCGCGCCAAGAGCAAGAAGAGAAGCTGTCGTCTGCACAGGGCAGAGCAAAGAGCTACATGCAGCTGACAAATGAGACTGTTGCCATGTTGAAGCTCTTCACCGAGACACTCGCAGACTCGTTTACCAAGAAGGAAATCGTCGTGCGACTGGCACACATGCTCGACTACAACCTCGAGGCGCTCGTGGGTCCCAAGAAGTCGCAGCTCAAGGTTGAAAATCCCGAGGAATATGGCTGGAATCCTCGCAATATGCTTGCAGAGCTTACCGATGTCTACCTCAACCTAGAGGGCAAGCAGTCGTTTATTGATGCCGTTGCAACAGACGGGCGGTCCTATCGCCCAGAGTACTGGGATGAGGCCTACAAGATCCTGCAGCGCTTCAAGCTCAAGACACCCGAGCAAATGGAGCAGTGGCAGAAGATGGCTGTACATATCCAAGAGGCCAAAGACCAAGCCGACATGATGGAAGCCGATCTTGGCGACATTCCCGAGGAATTCGAGGACCCGCTCATGGCATCGCTCATGGAAGATCCAGTCATTCTACCCATCAGCAAGCAGGTTGTTGATCGAAGCACAATCCAGTCGCATCTTCTCAGCGACCCACACGATCCGTTTAACCGGACGCCACTCAAGATTGAGGACGTGATTCCCAACGATGAGCTGCGACAGAAGATTCAGGACTGGAAGCAGGACCGCCTCGCCCAGAAAATGGCTGAGCGCGCCGCCGCCGCCGCCGCTGGAGAAGCCATGGATACTTCATCTTGATAGGGGTGGAGTTTTCTTTTTTTTCTTGTACGAAGAAATGTGAATGATTGACGGTAGTCATGTTACGGCTTTTTGGTCATTTTTGGAAGGCGTTTACCAAGGCTTGCCTGCATGTGCTTATATAGACCTTGTGGCTAAGGAGGGTGGTGGGGGTTTGAGGGGGCTTCCTTCTTTATACTTGCCGTCTGCCAGGTAGCAGCAGCAGCATCTATTTCATCATGCATACATGCATGCATGCCAGCATGAGCTGGAAGAGGCATTTACATAGCGTTACGTTTTTTTTCTTCTTTTTTTCTTACACCGGGAAACGGGGGAGAAAAGAAATGCATAAATAGATGACGGCGGGGCTCAACCACAACTCTTCATTTGCATGACTGACTGAAATGACTGACTGGTCTTTGCTCAATGAATGCATCAAAGGGGACAAGATGTTTTTGCTGAAACTTTGCATGGTATTACTATTTTATTACTATTTTATTCTTCTTCTTCTTCTTTTTCCAGTATGTGCCCAACTACTACTTACTCACAACGCTCCATCCATGTATTTATCTATCGATTCAAACTCAACAACTCCTCAACATACCTCCTCGCATCAATCCCAATACCCTCTGCCAACCCTTTAGGACCCCACCCGGCCACAGCGCCTCCCATCCGCTGACTCTGCGCACTCTCAGTAACACCATTACCACCACTGCCACTGCCACCACCGCTACCGCCACTGCCACCGCCACTGCCACCGTTGCCACCTCCAAGCCCCAAACCATTCCACATGCCGCTTACAAAGCCCCTGCCATTACTACTTGTACTAGCGCCACGCACGCTCCCGTGCGCAGCATGTCCGGATGCGGCGTCGCGAGCGCGGCGGACGAGAAATGCTTCTCGGAGGTCCTTTGTGTTGAATGGGGCGGAGGACGAGGCTCCGGTTGTAGCCGAGGAGCCTTCTTTTAGAGTTGAGGTGTGGGATTCTGCGTCGTCTTCATCTTCATTTTGATATTGATGTTGATGTTGTTGTTGATTTTGCTGTTGTTCGCGTTCTAGGTCTTGTTGTTCGCGTCTCCGTTGCCGCTGCTGCTGCTGTAATAATGCAGTGTCATCGACGTCGACATGCGAAGGCGGCAGCCGCATCCAGACGACCCACCACGCACGCGACGTCTTGCATGTGCGCTCAATCTCGGTGAGGTTGCGCCGTGTCGAGGCAATGGTAGCCAGGATCTGCGAGTGCACGTTGAGGGCTTCGATGCGCGTCCAGCCGGGGGCCGTGGCGCCGGAGCTGGGGCTGGGACTGAGGCCTTCGGCGAGGAGCGTGCCCGGGTCGGGGATGTTGGGCACGCTCGAGTGCACCGTGTAGGTGCGGGGGTCGAAGACGAGGTCGTAGATGGGCTGTGTGTTTGGGCCGGCGTGGGGGCCCGAACCGCCTGGGGATGCTTCGGTCGTGTAGTGTGATGAGACTGCTTGGAGACGCGCGGCGACGTTTGTGGGGGATGTGGATTTGTCGAGGGAGCGGTGCAGCGGGGAGAAGAAGTTGTGGATGTCGCGGTAGAAGGATGCCACGCCTAGCGAGTGTGTGCGGTGCCGGAAGAGAAATGTGTAGATGAAGGGGCGGTGCTGTCGGCGTGGTTAGAGTGCTGTTCCATGTGTGGGAAGAACACGCTTCAACTTACAATGTAGACCACAGGCCTCAACCGGGATAGTGTGCTTGTGGCTGTGGACGGTATGTTCATCATCTTTTCGTATGGTGGAGTCTCGTCGGAATCCGCGCCAGGCGAAGTCCTCGACGAGGCGTCTTCGTTCTCAACCTCGACGTGTATGGTTCGCAGTGGTATGCGGTTGTTCCAATCGCCCTCGTCGTTTTCGTCGTCGAAATTCAAGTCCTTCATGTCTCCCTTGAGCCCCACTAGAAAATAGCCGTCGTTTTCCAGTCGGATTTGTAACTTCATCCTCTCTTCTGCGTGGTCCACGTCTGGCGTTGGCTCAACGTAACGCATGGCTTCTGGCGACGGACTTCGTTGTCGTGCAGGAGCTGGCGCCGGTGCAGGCGCTGGTGTGGGCTCTGATGCTGGAGCAGCCTCCTGAGGGCTCTCGGTTGTCTTCTTTCCACCCCATGCTGTGCCATAACCAAGCGTCATGTATTTTGTCCACGTCTCAGTGTCACCCAGAGACGCCAACATTGACCTGGACTCGGTTGCTGGTGAGTCCTGTCCAGGTTTCTTATTGTCGACAGCAGCCGCAGCTTTATCAAGAGAGCTCTCGACTGCCTTGACTATGGGTGGAGGGATGCCCAGGGGCAGTGCCGAATTCTGGCTTGACGTTGTAAGGCGCGGCCTTTCACTTCTTGCAGGGCGAGGTGGCTCTGGTGCGGATTCCTCTACTTCAGATACTGACTTCACGATTCTCCTCTTCCGTCTTTTCCTATCCGACGTGGGATTGTCACGCACACCATACGCATACTCGCCGTAGCAGTAGATGCTTTCCACCCAGTGCGACAAATCTCGCAGTGACTTTCGGCTTACCGCCCCAAGACCCGAGAAGACGACACCGTCTGCAGCTTGAACGTGCCTCCCGGCCCCGACCCAGGGGTCGAGCTCAGAAAACTCGAGCGTCTTCGGGTCTGTGGACGTTTTGGCGTGTTGCAGTTGGGATGCCTCGCCGAAGCGCGACACCATGACATCGACGAGGCCCGGTGTCCTGCGGGCAAAGTCTTCCAGGACATCGCGCTCGCTGCTACCCCATTCCTCTTCGCCAACCCCCATGCCCAGCTCTCCGCCTGCCGCCAGCTTCATGCCGCCATAGATGTCTACCGCAGGGCTTCCGTGGAGAAGGACATCCCAGTTGGCGGCGAAGCGAGACCAGTACTTGTCAAGTATGCTGCAGAACTTTGTGCGGCCGTGCTTGGCAAACATGCCCTCGAGTGGCAGGCCATGGTGGAGCAGGAAGATGGACTGGGCGCGGACGAGCTGCTGGATGAGGAGCGCCGGCGGGCTGACCTCGCGCGACGAGTACTCGATGGCGGGCTCCAGGGTATCGGTGCCGGAGTCCTTTCGCCACGGGCCAGTGGTGGGCAGTTGGGTGAGGTCAATCGACTGCGGCCGTGTTAGTCGGCGGGCGCCGCAGCATGCACAGGGACAGACATACGGCCAGCATCCACCACCCGTCCTCGAGCTGGTGAAGGACAATGCGCGACTTGTCCGTCTCGACCGAATCGACCGCCTCGCCTTTGGAGAAACTCCTGTGGGTGGATTAGCGCCAAGGCGTCGACAGCGGTGCCTTTGTTCGAGCGCCCTACTTTGCAAAACCCACCATGCCCTGTGCTAGGCCGACCTGACGCAGCTTCTCGTTCTCCTGCTCGCGCAGCTCTTTCTCGCGCTCCGTGTCGCCATGCCTGAGGCGGGAGCGTGTCCGTGCGGCCTTGGAGTAGTAGAAGACAATCTGCTGGTCGAAGGTGTCGTCCGAGGGGCCCAGCGAGGGATTGTAGATGGCCAGAAAGGACAGCTGCGCCGGCACGACCTTGGGGATGGCGGTGGACGACATTCGTACTGCGCCCGTGTGCGCGGTCGCGAGGCGCGTGGGCCGGTTGGGGAGAGAGGACGTGTTGCGTCACACGTGCGTAGATAATGTAGAGACGACGTGCAGTCTGCCCATCTGCATCAGCGCCTTGCCAGCCACCACGCGCCCAGCAGCGGCCGCCCGACACTACTTATTTGTAGCCGGCCCATGGCGATATGGCGCCGAAACAGCCAAGCATGTGGCCGCTCGCCGTCGTGGTGGAAAGATGCCCCACGACAATCGCGATCGCAACGTCGCCATCAGCATCTCGCAGGGCGCGGCACTTCCCGCTGGCCATCCTCACCTCCAAACCATGCTGCGGCGGCTGCCAGGCCTTGCTCGCCCTCTGCTGTCTCCATGGCGGCGCCATTACACGGCCGCGACCACGCCCGCTGCGGATGCTCGCCCGCTGCGCATCCTGTTCTGCGGCTCCGACGCCTTCAGCATCGCGTCACTGCGCGCCCTGGTGCATGTCCAGCATGGCGTGCCCCGGCTTATTGACAGCATCCATGTGCTCCACCGCCCGGCCAAGCCCACCGGGCGAGGGCTGAAGACGTTGCGGCCAGGTACATGCGCCTGCTCGCGTTCCCCAGACGCCCCCGTTGACCCAAGACAGTTCCCATCGAGCAGGTGGCGGCCCACGAGCTCAGCCTCGCGACCTCTGCTGTCGACACCTTCACCGGCTGGTCGCCCCCGGCCCCGGTAGACCTCGTCATTGCCGTGTCGTTTGGCCTCCTGGTTCCGCCTCGCATTCTCGGCCATGCGCACTATGGCGGCCTCAATGTCCACCCCTCTCTCCTCCCGGACTTGCGTGGGCCCGCCCCAATTGAGCATGCCGTGGTCAAAAGGCGAAAGCACACGGGTGTCTCCGTCCAGACGCTGCACCCACGGCATTTTGACCAGGGCATTGTCCTCGCTCAAACCCCGCCACCAGGTATCCCCATCGCCCCAGGCACCACGTCACGGCAGCTAGAGGAGCAGCTGGCGCACGTGGGCGCACAAATGCTCGTCGACGTCGTCAAGTCACGCACATTCGTGCCTCCGCTCCAGGATGCTGGATGGTACGCCCACTCCAACTACCCCACGGATCACGCGCCCAAAATCACCAAGCGTGACCGCTTCGTCGATTTGGAGACGGATACGCTGCAAGACATTCTTGCCAAGCAACGGGCATTTGGCGATCCATGGTGTATATTGCCGAGTGGTGACCGCCTCATACTTCACACCGTCATTGATGCTGATATCGCCGATTCGTCTGGTCACAGGGCTGGTTTTTTTGTAGGGCCCAACGGCAAGGAGCCCTGGTTCCGGCCAGCCTGCGGAAGAATAGGCATCCTGGCGAAAAGCACGTACGAGGGAAACAAGCAAGGTCACGGAAATGCAAAATTGGTTCGCATACTAGCCCAGGGACAAGCGCCGGGATAGCCCTGCGCTTGCAAACTGTCAATAAACGGCTAGCCGTTACATCAGCTACGTTCAATTGCCCCTCACATGATCCTGCCAGTCGTCTTTGGTGTCCTGAAAGTCCTCAATCTCCTTCTTCACCCTGACACTCTTCGATGCTGCTAGGACCCGATCCAAAGCAGCCGGCAACCCCACTAAATCTGAAATCTCATAAAACAGTTGCCGCACTCTCTGGCTACTATCCTCCACAGTCTCGTTCAGTGTCCTCAAAATCTCTAAAAGCCCAGCATCAGAATTTGCGCTAAGCACTTCGTGTTTCACCAGAAGAGAGAAGCCCAGGGACCATTGTCGAATTTCGCTCTTCAGCTCCTCCGTTTGCTGCTTGCCCTCGGGCTGGCCTCCGAAAAGGTACGGTATGCATTCGTGGAGCTCCTTGATGTTTGGCGTGGCAGCTGTCAAGAAAGACGGCTTCGACACCTTTTTCGGCGGTGCGTGACGCTTCATGAAAGCCTCATACTCCTTTGCACCAAAAGCACGGCGCCTGGCGTTGAGTTCAGAAAGCGATTTGTCTGAGGTTCCATTTTCGAGGTTCACTTTCTCCGGGAGTTCTCTATTGGATGTGGACGGTATTGGTATGCTCGCATTCATACGGACTGATGGCACTGGGCCGTCCGCCGCAGTACCAAGTTTACCAATCGACAGTGGTGTGCTTACGGAATACGCAGCGATGAACGTATTTGACGGCATCCCTCGGCGCAACACGTTGGGTGTCGCTTGTGCAGCAGGACCTGGTGGTGGGAAATTCTTACGTATTTCTTCCAGCACGGTTTGTAGTGCATCGTCTGCTTGTGGCCTTTTCAACACTTCGTCCAACATCGCGTGCGTCTTCTCGTGGCTTTTCTTGCTATCGTCGTCTGCAACCACTGAAGTCGCCCTGGAAATAAATCAGTCTCGGATTGACTTGATGGTAGGGGTACACACAGGATTGCAGAAGTCAGTATGAGATTGATCGCATCCGTGTGCGATTTGAGCTTCTCACGATACTGCTGCAACGAATGCTTCTCATAGTCCCATCGTATCCTCCGCCAGTTGATGTGCATGCTTTTCTTCATGTTTTCTAGCGCGTGCATCTTTGTCTTGCCTTTGCTCGGTTTTGCTAGTTCTGTAGCCAGTTTCTCAGATGAAAGGTACTTCTCTGTCACTGACTCTAGCTCTTGCAGAGTCGTCGCACATGAGCTTATCATCAAATCCAGGTTATCTTTGAATCCGGGCCCTCCGTATTGGAGCCCTGGCTGATCCAGTACATTCTTGGAAACATCTTTGAGATGCGCCAAGGAGCAGTTTAAACTGAAGAGTACATCTCTTAGTTCTTCCAGGTCGCGCGATGCTGCTTCCCTTCCAGAGGTGATGCTTGAGTAAAGCCTGTACGCTATCTGGCCGAGGAGAACTTGCCCAGGTTAGCGCTCTGTCCTCGTACAATGCAATCTGCCCACCTACTTATATCGCCAACCGAAAAACCAAACGACATTTTTTTTCTACTGAGAGGCGAGAGCTTGAGGAGGGAAGAACAGCTGACAAGGCTGAAAAGTAAGAATCTAGGCGCACATATGCGGCTGGTACGACCCCGCTTCAAAAGGGAGGCCGGCAATCAAGAGAGCTGAAACTAATCTTCAGCCTAGCAGGCTTCGCCCCCTCCACCCGAAGCTTATAAACCCTTCAGTATTCCTCTTGCTATTGCGTACCTTGACATTCTCATGGCCTCCGCCATGGCACCAAGTAAACCCACAAATTTGTGCACTGTAGTTATCCAAGGCCTGCAAAAGGCCAAAGATGTCGAACAAGACGGCTGGCAGGCGACGGTTGATGAGGACTCTGGACTCTTCAAAGTCTCCACAACCTTTGGTGAATACGAGCCTTTGGACGCACTATGGAAAAGAATCCAAGGTAATCTAGTTTACTACACCGCCATCATGTGTCGTCTTAACCGTGAGTAGACTACGGTTTTCAGACGCCTTCGAGTCTGAAAAACGGCGATGTCAGATTCGACCCGTACAGGTCTACACAACTGGTGAGAGAACACGACGAAGTCCGCGTAGTGGCAGAAGACGAGGCGTCCACTCCTACCACCATCAGAATCAATGAAACACTCAAGTCACACGCAAATACACATCATCCCAATGCTCTCGAGTTCAACATCGATGCATCGGAATCTTCTCAGCACTGGCTGGAGAACAAGCATGGATTTCGCATATCTTTTGAACGCACAATCAGGATGCCCGACGATAACAAGCTCCACCAGCTGCCTGGTTCACTAGGCCAGTTCGAGCTCTACAGCGTCAACGCATACTCGGAACGTCTGCCGAGTCGCATGAAAGATGCAGGAGGCGTTTTCTTTCCCATGTGGCAGAGAGAGGCCATGTGGGTCAACTTTGAACAAGGCCGATACAAGTATGCCGTGCGTGTCTTCATGGGCCATGTGAATGCCGTTAGTGGACGGCAAATGAAAGAAGGTCCGGAGACACAAGATGGAGTCGACGCTCAAGACTACATTGTTGTTCCTGGCCAGGACTGGCTGGATGGCATTTGTGTAGCACCTGGTGTTGTGCGTCAGTTCGTCGCTATGCCATGTAAGTACCAAACATTCTCTAATGATCATTTGTATCATCACACTACTTCATGGCTGATACTAACGCTGGCCATAGTGGGCTCCGGATACACAGTCGAAGGTCAAAAGACGTCTGAAGAAAAGCACGGGGGGCTGCAGATTGAAATTACCCCAGAGATGCTTCCAGACCTGCGCTTCTGGTCTGACGCGAAGCAGAAGTACATCACTCTAGGCCCTTACCGAAGCTTAATCGACGACCTGGATGAATCGGATACCCCTGAGGAACTCGGCTACAAAGTCGGGGATGTCCTGAGATCGTATCCAACCGACGAGGCTTACCACGAGCCGTTTCGCGTGCGAGATTTTGTCATGTCCAAGACAGGAGAAACAGATGAGAAAAGCACGTCTGAAGACGTCGTAGTACTGGATGCGATCTATCGCAGACTGCCGACTTCCAGCAAGCCTGTTGGCATGGCCCCGATTCGGGATAGTTCGGGGGCGACGTTTTCAGACTACCTTAAATCCGCAAACCTTTTCTCCGACGGAGATGGATATGGAGACAGCGGAGCGGTGAGATTTGGGGTTGCACCTCCGGCTCTAGAACATTATAGATGCTCTTCACCGGAAAGGTCATCAATGGACCAGATCATGGCTGGCCAAGCACAGGCGCCGGATGAGTCGTACGAAACTGAAGAACAAACCAGGGAGGCCGAAGAAAGCACCAACACTGACGAAAAGGCAGAATTCGAAACAAAAGATATCAAGGCCATGGGCTTGGCTGCCGGCGGCAAACTGAGTACATCTACCCTTCCCCTGACTTCACTTGACTAACAAATAGTACAGTCCAAGACATATACAAAGACCCGTATCCAGCCTCGACCTGGAACCACGCCGCAGCCCGCATCCTCAACGTGCACATGCTGGACCCAGACAGCTTCGAAAAAGTAACGCATATTGTGCCACGGCCGCCGCCCATCGACGTCAGTGAATACGTCGAGGCGGGCGGCGAGTTCTACGTCGTCGACGAAAAAATCGACGAGCGCCTCGACGGCGGCGACTTTGATAACGTCAAGAGCGTCAGCCACATGGACCAGCAAGTCGGTATCACCACGGACCCTGAATTCGATCCTGCAAAGCCCAAAATGTGCTCGACGTGTGAGGTGCGCTTGTGCGATTGCATGTAAGTACTCTCTTATCTCCCTACCTATCCCATTCTCCCCCCCCCCTTTTTTTTTCTCTCCATCCAATCGTGCATGGATGTTGATACAGAAACTCCAGTGTCCGCCCCTGCAACCATCAATTCTGCAACATGTGCATCAAGCAGCTCGCGCAAAAAAAGGGCGAAGGGGCAGAAGCGAGCGCGCAGCAGCAAGGCCACTGGACATGTCCGCGATGCGACAGCGCAGTCGCGCACGTCGCAGGCTTCTCGGCGCCTATGAATCTGCCGGGTGAAGAGCCGCTGCGCACCCGGGTTGCCGTGCATGTGCTCAAGATTGAAGATGGACGCCTGAGGTTTTCGAGCATACAGAAGTCGAGAATCTAGCTGTTTTGCGGGGGGGGGGGAATACTTGGTTTGGTAGGACAACAGAGTAATTGATAACGTCCTTTTTTTTGTAGTTGTCTTGACATGTTATATATTCATGTCTCATTTAGTAATTGCGCTTCTGCTATTCTCTAAGAGAGTCAATTTTCCCAAGCTTAGCGATGAGAAAACTAGTTGACAGGACATGAGAGTAAAAGTGTTGCAGTGTACATGATCTCTAGCCAAGCGATTCTAGAATGAGTTCTTTTTATCTGTTTGACAGTAAAAAGCGTCTTTTCTGTAGTTACTCTGAGATGGTAATATTTAAAGTGCGATGCAGCAATCGTGCATATGCTACTCAACAACCAACGTAAATTTCCCCAAGCCTTCGCACCGCGTAAAAAGCAGTTCCAGAGTACTTGGTGCAGTGACTCCAAGTTCTAGTGTCGCATCAAGAAACAAAAAGTCTACCAACCCTGACGTGTGATGCTAGGATTCTTCACTGTACTTCATTTACATGAATTATGCCAAAAAAAAAGATCGAAAAAAAACCCAACTCCCCCGGAAAGGCTCGAACTTTCAACCTCCTGATGAGCTACTTGATGGGTAATTCGGTAACAGTCAGATACTCATGCCTTTTTACGACTAGACAATGTACCATTAGCCATGTACATCAAACCGGAGACGCAAACATCCGGACTGATAAGCACATGAGCAAGAAAGCGAGAGAGAGAGAGAGAGAGGAAAAAACACCGCAATTACAACCCAAGTCATGATCCTGGAGTAAAGCCGTAATCTGCAATAAGCAGTCACTCTCTTGAATCATTAACCTCCGAAACGATGAACCCCGCTTTTATTCCCTGCACCATTCTGATTCGTATCTCAAGACCTGTCTCCACCACCGGCGCATTTTGATGGGGGCAGGGGGGGGGGAGAGGGGAATCCTCTGGCAATCACCCCGTCCATCTCTCACCCACAATATGGCACCATGTACATATTTAAACTAAACTCGGCTTTTTTGCAACAAATCCTCCGTGGCGCAATTGGCTAGCGCGGCGACTGTCTAGCTAGTTTGTTCACGCCGTCACCTCAACGACCTCATGGGTACAAATGCATCTTCCTGGTTACTTTGGTCATAGCCATAAGCTGTGGATACAAGTCCCACTTCTTCCTCTGCGTGTCCGCCTTCGCTCGGCGCAACTTTGTTCGGGTCTTCCTTGTGCATTGCAACGTAAATGGCAGAGCCGAGGATAAGGGATGAACCGACAATAGACAGCGCACCAGGAGTCATGCCCCAAACTAGCTTGTCAAATGCAAGCGCGAACAACATCTGCATGTACAGCATGTTGGTGGCACGAGACGACTTTTCATATTGTAGCCCCGCAGCTAGAAGGAATTGCTGATTGAAGTTAGTCAAATGACACGGGCCAAGACTATTACTACTCACGGTTGTAAAGCCACACATGCCCAGGAATACCAGATAGCACCAGTCTTTGAAACTGTTGGGAAGTAGGAAACCGACTCCTGGCATGGTAGCCATGGCGACGGTGCTGACAATGGTACACCAGACGGCAAAATAATTCACCGAGATGAGTGGATGTGCCCGTTTCCCAATCCAGCGAATAGTTGTATAGGCGCCAGTAGCTCCAAGTACGCCAATCATGGCTATCCCTACTGCCATTGCTCGTTGTGTGGGTGTTACAGAATCGTAATCGGCAGCAAGACGGTCGGAAGCGGGAGTGGTCATATTCGATAGAACCAGGTCTGAGTCGGCACTCGCAGGAGGCACGGTCTCTGTATGAGAAGAGCAGCAAAAAGGGAGACGGGCCGGGCGATGAGGACAACGCCAAAGAGCGAGACGTAGGCTGCAATCTGCTCCATACGTGTGAATGGTTCATTGATGAGGTAGGAGCACGCCCAGCATGCAAGACTAGGAGCGAGGAACGTAATGACGGTTGCATCCGAGAGAGGGAGGTACAGCAGAGAATCCGTGACAAGTCAGCATGGCGAAGTGTGGATAGGCCCGGGGGAGGTACCGTACAAGTGCACAGTAACCAACCAAGGCTATCAGAACAGCCGTAGACGTTGAGCAAGCCACTGAACACATGTACGGCCCACGAGCAGAGCGCATCACTTACAGTACATTCCGAAAACACCAAAGAAGCCAGTCAAGCCTCGGGCTATCAGCAGTGAACGCACTTCCTTCATGCCAAAGGGAAAATGCTCCGTCTTTTTGTACCACATGTACGTGGACGCACAAATGACAGTCAAGATCATCCTGGCGAACAAGATGTGGAATGGATGGTAGCCTTTGCCTATGGGACGATGAGTCAATATAGCGACATTGCTTCTAGAAAGCGCCTTTTACCATGATTGCCTTGTACTTCCAGCATCCGCGTCGTGACATTCATCAGCGTGCCAAAGAACTGCGCCATCAAAACGAGAGCTAGGCCCTTGTTGGCTGTCCATGAGGCTTGTATCTTGCTTTTCAGGGTGCGCGGGGGAGCAGGCGAGCGAGAAGCATGTCTCCCATGATACAGAGGAACATAGTCTGGGGTTCGGCCAAGTCGTGCAGCATCGTCTATGGATACGAGAGAGAGGTTTGGGGACGGCACACGGATGGCCCCGCGAACGACGGTTAGTGTGTCTTGGGCTTTATCGCCGGGCTTAAGAGAGGAAGCAGCTACGCGCTCGCGGCCGTGAAGTTGGGGGGCGGATTTATCATCGTCTTGGAGCAGGGTTGGGGGCGAGGGCTGGCTCATGGTGGGTCACGCAGCAATTGCGATAGAGGAGCGGGAGTGGAGGCTGGCAACGAGGACGTGGAGACATGGTGGGAGTGGGAGTGGGAGTGGGAGGCATCACAAGCTGGTGGCTTGTTGGGTGCTTGGGGTCGCCACGCGACAATGAGGAAGGCGGCAAGTGGACGAGTCACAGCGGCGACAGCGCTGCAGCCCCCACAGCGCCCCCTCATTCTCCAGACGTTTGTTCCCTCATAGACGGGCGCAGTGCGGGTTGAGGCGCCATAGCGGGCTTTGTTGAGGAGGCATCGAGCAGGTTAGCTGGTCTAGTGAACCGCTGGCGCCCAAAGGCCGTGTCCGTGACGGTGTACAGTAGTTTGGGATGATGTCTCGAGGATGACGTCTGGCGGGTCACGTGAGGTCACGTGGCGCATGTACGTCAGTAGCACACCTCACTATGTGTATGGATGGCTGTGCGGCGCCTCCACATGGACAGGGACGCCGACGAGATCCTATCACGCCTTGGCCAGCGTACGGAAACGGAAGCCGTTGGACGGCGTTTCCGATGCACAGAACAGGGCGTGTGTGTGTGCATGGGCGGACCCCCGTGCAGACGTGTGAGGTTGGGTGTAGCGGCAGACGGGCGTGTGTGGGTTACAAATAACAATCTGTCGACAGGATACGGCGGTCGGCGAGGGCGATGCACGCGGCAAAGTTAATGCCAGAAGCAGCAGCAGACGAGATTATTGGGCCGGGGCCAGGCAGCGCAATCTCAGGCTTGGATGGATGCACGACGAGACGAGACGCTGGCCCTGACTCTACCTTTGGCTTTAACCAAACTTTGGGGCGTGTATACTGGGACGCGGCGGCGGGGGGGCGTGAGCCTCGTGCGAGCAGCGACGCCAGCCGGCCCGTCTACTTGCTATACATTCATTACAGGAGCGCGAGGGCAGAAACACACTTTGGCAACGTGCCAGTTTGCGCCGAGCACCCCGAGCACCCCGAGCACCCCGAGGCCCCGCGCAGGGCCTCTCTGCGGCTTCTGGCGCCCCCGTCTGGCGGTGGTCTGATTTCTGCCCGCGATCGACGGTGGTTTTGCTTCTAGATGGCCGTGTCGCGCGCGCAGAAGCTGCGGTATGGCTGGGAGGGGATGACGCCGCCGTCCCTGCAGAGGCAGAGGCACAGCCGTGTCCGGGGTAGCAGGCAGCTCTACTGTACATGTAGGCATCGTGGAGTCTCAGCACACCCGTCCCCTCCACATCCACATCCACATCCACATCCACATCCACATCCACATCCACATCCACATCCACATCTGTGCCCGCCCAGCGTGAAGGCGCAATGCATGCACGACGGCCACACCGATGAGGTCTGGATGGCATCTCGCTTATGGCCCTGCCTGCGACGCCGTCATGGCCGTGGTGGATACGAAGCATCACTTGGCAGTCATGCTGTCAAGCCATCGTGGGGGGTTTCAGCGGACACCGGCACCGGCATGGCGCGCCCTGTGCCAAGGCTACGCCTAAACCAGCCCTGACATTCTGGCGCTGGCCGCTCCTGCACCTCGTCACTCACCTATTCCACCCACGCTGCTCGTGCTCGTCTCCGCCGCCACCCGACTACCGCCATCCATCATCCATCATCACCGTCATCACCAGCATCACCATCATCATCATCATCATCATCATCATCCATACTACATACACTCATGGCAATAGCACGCTGCTGCTGGCCGGTTGCCTGCAAACCCTATTTGTTCACTGTCCACCGCAGCTGAGGCGCACACCCTGGCCTGTCAATTATACGTTTACTTCCGGGGATCGCGGAGCATCAGCCTGGGGGGGGGGGCCTTCCATGGTGTCACAAGTAGGCGAGTATTGGGCATAACGGCACCTGTCAGCGGCGGTAGGCGAGTCCCTTGCACGAACTACAGCAGAGGCGGATTGACGACTACACCACCGCCGCCGCCACCACCACCATCACACAGGAACCCCGATTCGGATTCGGCAACAATCAAGCACGCGCTTTCGTATCGGCTACTACTGACTCGTGGCTTACTTCGGCACTCCAGGCTCGAGAGCACGGCAGTGGGCGCCGCGCTCAAAGGCAAAGGCACTGTGAAAGTGTCTTCGCCGCGCCGACACACGGCGTCCAATCGGCCAGGTCCTTTGGATTGTACAGCGAGGCCCATGATAAGCGGCATTTCCCCTTGTGGCCGATCTGCCTCAGGGGGGTGCGTCGAAGCAACCAACAAGGTTTTGCCGCAATAGTCGACAGCAACGGGCAGCAGCGGCGACAGCGACGTCTAGCCTCGACCTCCAAGCTTCGTAATGTCTCTTTCTCTGTACTGTACCCGGAGCATGACATCATTCCGCCGAGAAGCAAAACTCTAAAAATTTCGGGTTCTTTGCCCTGCACACGCCGGGACGCGACGGAGCCATTTTCCTCCAATATGGTTGCGCGAGCGTGTGCGTCTATTCCTCGGACCCCGTACAGGCCCCCCGGGCATAAGACGACGACGGTCCAAAGACCACACATTACCCGCGTTTCAGGCCCGCCACGAGGGGGACGCTGGCACTGGCTCTGGCACGGATCCATCGCAAATCTCCCGCATACACGCACCCCGCGGGAGCGCGCGTAAAAAGCAAACCACCATGCTTGGCATGGCTCCCCGTCCGAGAACATGGCCCTCCCTCCCTCGCACAAGCGCGCCATGCCCACGCACCCCGACTGCACACACACGCACACACACACACACACATGTCTTTGGCTGGACCCCTGCAACGCCATGCTGTAGCTATATCCCGCGCACATGCATGCGACCGTGGCTGTCTGCTCTGCCTGCGCCTGCGCCTGCGCCTGCATGTCGCGCGCCTCGCGCCTCCGTCGTCAATCCCTCACGGTTTCAGGCCAAGGTGATGACAGACGTGACCATCTATACCAAGGGCGCTATTAACACGATCATCGTGCATTGGGCGGTAGCTAGACGGGCGCTTCGCGGCGTCTTAGCTACGCCCGCCCACTGACTACATACCATGACACAAGCTCGCTCATCTCGCTACGCGCGCCGCGATAAGCTCAGGGAACTCCCCGCCCCAGCGGGGGGTGCACTTTTCCAAAAGCAACACTGAAAAAAAAAGTCACAGACAATAACAAGAATAGTAATAACAGGAATACTTGTCTAGCTTATCACCGCCACCAACACTACCACCTCCACTATCACTATCACAGTCACAGTCACGATGACTCCAAAACAAAATTAATATAGCCAGCAACATGGCGCCTTTTCTGTTTGTCCATATAGTACTAGCATCTACTGTAACAAAAGCCTTGGATGCCCTAGTCATGGTGGTCCGATTGCTATTATACAAGGGGGCCACGCCCACGTCGGCTTGTCGGATAACAGCATGCCTGTCCATTCCAAGAAAGCGAACCAGGTCAAGGGAACTTGGGAAGGGAGAGGGGGTGAACAAGACAAGGGTGGGCTGGTTTGGAGGGGGAAGGGTTCCCACACACAACCGCAGCAGCAGCGGGAAAACCACAGACGCATGAATATGGAATCTACTGCACTATAGTATACTATCTCTATCAGAGTATGAACGGCACCACATGAACAGTTGCAAGCAAGCAAAAAAAAGCAAATAAAGTTGGACCTCGCTAAGCGAAAGGAAAAAAAATAAAGGAAAGGATGGAAGGAGTTCGCCCCCCTCCCCTCTCCGCTCGCCTATCCATACATATGCACGTATGAAGGTATGCATGTACTCTATGCACGTATGCATCCATGTCCGGAACTAAATATACTTCCGATCGCTCTGAAAAATAATAATAAGAATAATAATAATAATCCCACACCACTTTTAATATTTTCTTTAACTATGGACCACGAGGATGATGAGAGGGAAGGGGAGGGTTGTGATTGGCCTTGGCGAATGCTTGTAAGATTTGCGAACATGAACTTAGATTCTGCAAAGCAGACAGGGCAGGGCAGAACAGGGCAGTTACAAGCGGTGGAACCACGCTCTCTTTGCTTTTTCTGGTCCTTTTCTCGATTTCCCTGGCTTTCCTTTTCGCCTTTAAGTTTGATTCGTTTTTTCGTGTGTAAATGTCGCAAGAATGCTTGTATATAACAACTACACACATATAGTCGAGCATATGGATATACGTGATGTGGCTGTCCATGCATGTGTGGCTACCAACACTAAATAAAAACGGAAATTTGGTTCGTCGTAATAACACACACACACACACCACCGCCGTGCAGCAAGACAAGGCAAGACAGCCCAAGTCCCAAAAAGGAAATAAAAGAGGCAAATAGTGGGGAATGTTTCTTCTTTTAAAGGGGGGGGGACAGATACAGCAAAAAATAAGAGAGAGAGAGAGAGAGAGAGTAAGCCCCAAGAAAAAACCAAGACACATAGAAAGCGAGAGTGAGTGAGAGAGAGACAGAGCACAGAGCAGAAACAAGAAAAAACAAGGCCCCGAGACCGAGATCAGATCCAAAAAAGCCAAGACCCCCCGCAGTTCCTCCAATCACACACTCACACAGACACACACAGAGAGAGAGAGAGAGAGAGTGTGTGTGTGTGTGTGTGTGTGTGTGTGTGTGTGTGTGTGTGCGTGTGTGAGACAGACGCAGGTAAGGGCGGAAGGAAACCGCCGCTATCCGCGCATCAGGGCTATACTTCGGCATATCGGTCACAAGCGCGTTTTTTTTATTTGCGCCTGCGCCCGCGCCCGCCACGGGCTCTCGGCGGGCCTTTGCGTCACGCGGAGGGTGGTTGTTATCCCCACCCCTCCCAGGTAACTAAGTAGCACTAGTACGTATGTAGTAAGATTAACTCGTCTTCGGTCGGGTGGGATATCTAGGGGGGGGGGTCTATGCTGATCACACTTGTGACTGAAAGGGGCAATAACGCATTAGTTGGGAAGGCAGGAAAATAAAAAAAAAGAATAATCTACATGGCATTCGATGCAAACGGTTGGACTAATCAGTCAAAATACGCGAATAATATCCCCAAACACAATGGGAAAGCCCCCCCTGAAAATGGGCAAATGTTATTTCAAGCAAAGGGAACAACAAATAAAAAAAAGTGGACATTTCCGCGCATCACATCGCATCGCACCATCCCCCCCTACCCTACCCTACCCTGCCCCCTCCCTCTGTCTCTCTTTTCGCCAAAAACAAAAAATAAATAAATAAAAGTTGACAGGACAGGTTACGGTAGGACGGCAACTACCCCAGACAACTTTGCAGCGCACAGCAACCCCTCCCCCTCCCTCCCCCCCTCGCAATTATTCTTTTGCCCCCAAAGCCACATGGCTTGTTGCATCAGATTGTGGCACACAGGCACACAAAGCCAGGTGCCGGTAAACCTTCCTTGGAGACTTCCCCCAAACCAATCTCCTACTCTCCACCTTCCCTCATCACAGTTCCCCCCTCCCCCTCCCTTCCCCTAAGCGGGTCCCCGCTCTAGCACCGCCTTAATCCGCTTTTGCGCGAATTCGCGAGCCCCACTGTGACCGGCGCGGTTGACCTGCTCACTAGAAGCGGTAAAGGTAGTGCTAAGGCCATGGACTGCATCACCACCGTAAAGCTCACTGTCATACACGACGGAGTTGTTGGCCGCTACAACACGCCTTTCGTATATCGGGTACGGGGGGGACATGGCCGCCCGTCGTGGTGGGCCCGGTGCGCTGCTGCGGCTGCAGTCACTCGGGACCATTGTCGCAGGGCTTTCGCTGTTAATGCCGCTCAACGCCAAGTGTTGTTCTGTGGTCCCTGAGCCATATGCTACTTTTGACCCTGGAACCGCTAGGTAGGACCCTGTGCCTTTTTGCGTATTCCTCACCGCTGTGCCTGCAAATGTCCGGTTACTAGTGCCAGAGTACGAGGGCAGCAGGTCACGGTAGTTGAACGTCTGCCAGTCGTTTGCAAAGGCCAAATTGCCCAGCTGCTCGACCCATTTGCCTCGCCGAATGCTTGCATCAATCGTGACATTGCCGTTTGGCGGGGCCTGGTAGGACGATCCGACCCAAAGGGGATATCGGAAACTTCGCGAATAGCCTGTCAAGGCCGCTTGCCGCCCGGTGCTGGAGAGCTGGACAATCTGATCATTTCCCTTGTTGCTCAGCGTCCCGGTAGTCGAAAAGGTCATGTTCTGGCTCCATGCAACCCTGGTGGATCCCCCGGCCGTGTGCAGTGTCGACTCGACCTGCAAGCTGCGCGTCACCTGGGTCGTGTAATCCAACGAAGCCAGACTATCATCTGTGCCGTGATTTGGTGTAGAGTGCACGCGAATGTCGGCGACCGAAGCCGACCTGGGCCCTGTTCCCGTTACGGCTTGATCGTCCGAATCCACCCAGACAAACACCTTGCCAGTGACGACCCAGTTGGAACCAATGGCCGTGGTGAATTTGCCGCTGCCTTTCCCATCATCGTCGATACCGACGACTTGGATTTCAAACGTGTGGTCCTTGCCGTCGTTAAGTAAGGGTATGAATGGCGTGATGTCGATTTCGTCGTCGACAAGATCGAATGCGTCGATCCCAACAACAGGCCGCCAAAGCGCCGGCACAATACCTCCTGTGAAGATAATTGGAAAAGGCCACGCAAGCCCCGCCAGTTGACCGTCAATCAAAAGTCGCACCTCTCGGAAGGGCGAGTAGCCGTACAGCGTCGAGGCGTTGCCAAAGGCGGCCGTGTCGGATGAAAGCACGTTGCTCCACCAAAACTCCTCGTCGCCCTGTCCGCAAGCCGAAATGGAGAAGACTGCCTTGTTGACGTTTTGCGGCAGCACAACCGTGTCGACGGCTCGAGATTGCGGCACGACGAACACGCTGGACAGATTATCAGCAGCCTTTCGAGCCGAGACGGGGATGACGGCATGTGCAGGGGCAATTGTCTCTTGAGCGGTAAAGAAGGTTGCCGTCAATGTCGTATTCCAAGAGGCAGTGTACTTGTCATCAATGAGGTTTCCCAGGTCGAAAATAATCTTTTGTGGCGTCTTCCAGAGGGCAAGGTAGCTGCTCATATCCTTGACATGGCTCCAGACGATGCCGCCTTTGGTGGGTTCAGCAGTCGACGTACGGAAGACCTCGACGTCGCCCAGGAACATGACGGCGAGCCGATCAAACTGTCGGCCAGCCGAAGTGACTGTCAAGTTGATGGTGACCCTGTTGAAGGCGCAGTCGGGCGGCTGGTATTCAGCAACAAACGGCTGACCGTACGATCTGGCAAACGTGTGCTCCATGAGCGTTTGTCGACACTCGCTGGGCGGACTGAAGACTGGCGGCGTGACCTGTAGGCACTGGAGCAGCGAAGATCCGTTGGAAGCATCGTCTTTCAATGAAAGCGTGTGGAAAGGGGGCTCCGTCAGGGCCGCGAGGACAACGGGAGTGGATTGGCATATCGTGATTAGCATTAGAGACATGATTATGAGGTGCAATTTAGGTGCTGCTCGCCCAAGCCATTTCCGTTTGTTCGTGTCTATCAATCCACCATAATGCCATCCCATGTCTCTATTATTCCCGTGACTATGATCACACATGATGTCCCGTACCATTTGGGGCGACGGTCGTGGGTGAGATGACGGGCACAACGCCGAGAACGCCGTAAACCAGAGGTATCTTGCGAAGAAGAAGAAGAACAAGGAAAAAGAAAGTTGCCGGTGTTTTGCTTTTGGTATGACGCTGGGCGTCGGAGCACAAGCAAAGCCAAAATCGAAGCCTGACTGTGGTGCGGGTCAGCTGGTGTGTCGAATGGCACAAGAAAAAGGCGGTTGCGTACCTTGTGAAACAAAGGAGGGGGCCACTACTGCGTCTTGTAGCAAAACGAAGAACAGGTGGCCGAAACAACAACCCATGCGCGAGCGTTCGAGGTGGGCATAACCTCTGGCTGGCTGGCGGTGCAGTGGGTGGGCTGGATTTTGTTGCGAGGGTGTGTATGTAGGGCGGAGGGTTGTGATGGGGAGCGGGATTAAAGACTGGCGTGCGGGGGTCTTCATTGGCTGCCCTTGTGGTTGTCCCAAAAGCGCTTAGTGGCGCTTCTGACTAGGTCGTTGTCGCCAAACCGGGTGCGGTAATAGTTCAAGAGAGCAAACTCGTCTGGGGGAAGCAGGTACGACTGGGGATGGGCGTTGAGTTTGGACCAGACTTCGGCAAGGCGCTTTTCGAGGAATTGGGCCAGGCGCTGGTCGACGCCGCCCTCGCTATTCTGGGCAACGTGGACGGCCTGGCCGAGGGAGAGGAAGCCGTAGCCAGGAATGTTTTCCGTGTGGCCGCCCATGGTGGAGTGGGGATGGGTTGGGGTTGTTGTTTGGTGTGGGGTGGAATAGTGCAGTGCAAGTGCAAGTGCGGTGCAGGACAAGGAAAGAAGAAGAAGAACAAGTAGAAGAAGAAGGAGAAGAAGAAGAAGCAGCAGCGGTACAGTCTATGTAAGGAGCGTCGTGGTTATCCAATGGGTCAAGCAAGAAGATCCAGGCCCGGTTGCCATGGAGTGCGGCCAGTGGTATATATACACCGACGCGAGGGCAGAGCATCCATATTAACAGACGACTTTGTGAGACGCATCCACGTGGAGACACCAGGCAGATCCCAAGCAGGACCTCATGCAGCTACGCAAGGTGTGAGCCTAGACGAAGCCTCAAACAGTTGGCTCCGGGAGCGTGCCGTTTTGGGCGCTGTCAAGCTGTGAGGCGAAGGAATGCGTGTAACACCAAGGCGCGGTGTCGTCGCGCCGAAGAAGGTGAGAAGGGCAGGCGCCCCTGTCGGGCAGGGAAGGCACCAACGGCGCCGAGCACAGAGGAGGGCAGGGACGAGGGGGAGGGGGGGAAGGACAGGGGCAGGGGGGCTCTGGGCAGGAGCAGGCGCAGGGCAGGGCAGGCGCAAAGCAGCAGTGGCAGCAGTGGCAGCAGTGGCAGCAGTGGCAGCAGTGGCAGGCTGGCAGGCAGGCGCAGAGCAGCAGCAGTGGCAGGCAGGCGCAGGGCAGGCGCAGGGCAGGCGCAGGGCGATCAACTCCAGCGAGTGCAGCCGAGCTAGCAGGGGCGGCGCGCCGGGTTCGAAGAGGAGCCCTTGTCCGCCGCCCTGGGACCTCAGCAGCCCAGCGGAACCGCTCGTGCCATGTTAAAGGCCAGGAAGATGAATAATGGGGCCCCCCATGCACCCACGACCTCGTCAGCTCAGCTCCTAGAGCGCAAACTTTGAGACTGGTGCCGTTGCAGGGTTGTGGCAGCGCCGAAAACTCTAAATCGTCAACTTGCAAACCTTCGCCGGCCCTCGCAGGCAAGGCGCCGAGCCGCGTTGGACCCATCCTCTGACAAAGTGCATCATGGCGGAAAGGGGGCGACTTGTGCGGGCAGCCGATGCACTGTCGCTGTTGTCGAGGCCGAGTCGGGCAATGGCTGTGGCCATGGCTGGTAGCGAGCGTGCATGCGTGCCTATTACCTACATGGTATACTGTACTTGCAGTCACTGCCACTACCACTACCACTACCACTACCACTACCACTACCACTACTACCACTACAGGCGTGGATGCGCTTGTCAGGCCGCTTTCGGCTAATCTAGTCAGACGTTTAGAGGCCCGGCTTCGGCCGTAGGATTCCAACGCCCTTGACCGCGCTACCACTACTACACTACACTATGTACAGTACTATACCATGACTACATACGGCCACTACCTACTGTACATACGACTATACTACTATGACTATGCCTACTTTCTGACCCTCCCTACGCCTACTCGGTGCACCCGCCTACTCGTCGCCATCACGGCCGTGGCTTGGTGTGTCTTGTCCCACCGCCCATTCGCACCCCTCCAAAGGGCCCTCCTTGCATGGCGGCGGCGCGAGGCTGCCCACGGGACGATGCCAAGGCCACAGGTGGTGAAACGTTCGTGTTCAAGCAACCGTGGCTGCTGCTAGCCCACCAGCCAACGGCCTCGCAAACAGCCAGACTGGGACGCGCACGGGTCGTGGTGCTGAGGCTACGCACGGTGCCCCGCATTTTAGAATTCGCCATGCAAAAAGACATTGTTACCTGCGCTGCCACCGGACGGCACGCCATGGCCTAACCCATCAGAATCCTTTGTGATGGATGTGATAGAGGCTGCCAGCGGCGCCGCCACACGTCACGTCGGCCGTCGAGCGGCAGCCCGAGCGAGCCACAGCCAGCATGCGAGGGAGTGTGATGTGAGTGTGAGTGTGCGTGTGCGTGTGCGTGTGCGTGTATGTGATGTGAGTGAGTGAGTGAGTGAGTGTGAGTGTGAGTGTGAGTGTGAGTGTGAGTGTGAGTGAGTGTGTGCGCGTGCGTGGGTACAGGACGCGGCCGCCTAGGCCTGTTTGGGACTTGGCCATGGCCTGCAACACATGTTTGCGGGAAACACGCTTCGACCCTTCCCGACAGACAACGTCGCCGTCATCGCCGTCGCCGTCGTCGTAGTCGTCGTAGCCGTCGTCGTCGTCGTCGTCGTCGTCGTCGGTCGTCGGCCGCCGCCATTGCCATTGCCAGGCTAATGCGCGCTGACGCCGCCGCCGCCGCCGCTGCTGCTCCTGCTGCTGCCAGTGCCAGTGCCCACGGCGGTAGGTGTATGCGAAGCCGGGCGCAATGGCAATCCCCGCCAGCCAGACGGCGTGGTGCCGGTGCCGGTGCGAGTGACAGTGCTGCGGTGCTGTGCGGTGCGGTGCGTCGTGTGCCCGGCCCCTGGCGCTGGCTGGTGCTGGCTGGCTGGCTGGCTGGTGCCGGTGCCGGTGCCAATGCCAGCACCAAGACTAACGTCGCAACTCTGCCAGAAACAGCGGCGTCAAGGGCAGTGACAGACGAAACGTTCCTGCATCTTGACGTCGCTCGCGCCACCTTTGCCTCACGCCACCCCTCAAGCACGCCCAAGCACGCCCAAGCACAACCTCGACAAGGGCGTCTCATGCCCATCGCGATGCCGCCCAGCTGCCTCCTTCACACATGCCCGCACACGCACATGCCTGCACCACCACCCACACCACGCCTGCACCACCACCCCCCCATCTGACCAGGCGTCTGCGCGACTCAGGCGCCCACCCCCCGGTGCCGAGCACGCCCGCGCCGCCGACACAAAGCTTCTAGTCGAGTGCCTGTTGCGGATAGCGCCACGGTGACTGCGTGCATCGTTTGCCCGCCACCTCGACGACGAGGAAAGTGTTGCGTGCCTGGCCGAGAGCACGAGACGAGGGGTGCATGCAACGGGACAATCACCCGCTACCACGATGCCGCTCCTGGTCATGCGGCTCCGCGGCGTGACCCTCTCTCTTGCGCCTGCGCCTGCTGCGCCTGCTCTCCCTCTCTCCCTCTGGCCCTGCCCTGCCCTGCCTGGCCCTGCCTGGCCCTGCCCTGCCTGGCCCTGTCCTGCAGCCGCAGCCCGTCCGCCCTCGATACCACACGGCAAGAAGAAGAACAAGAAGAGGAAGAGGAAGAGGAAGAAAAAGCCTCTCAACTGCTGCACCCCCCCGGTGCACGTGTCCCATCATCATCATCATCATCCATGGCCCGCCACCGCCACCCACAACCACCGCAGTGGCAGCGTCAACGCACATGCAAACGTCTGCCCGACCCCCTCGACCGGCGCCGGAAACCGGTCTCGGACCTGGCGATACTGTTGTTCCGGCCCCCCCGGACCCTGGCCAATTTATCGACACCTGTGACGCCGCATGAACGTCGGGTTTTTTGCCCTGGCCTTCTGGAACAACCACGCGCTGTGACCAAAGTCTGAGACGACTGACGCCCACGTGAGTCGCGTTTCGCTCGCCTTTGCCATTGTGCACCGCGCATGCCATGAAGCCACGCGTCGCACCCATTGGGGCCCGCAGGCTTCTCTCTGCCGCTGCCTCTGCCACCAGAAGCTGTCCACGGCGGCCCGCAGCGCCCTCCCTACGCAGCTTCTTCACCTCGACGCCACCCTCCGCCTACCCGAGGCCGTTGCACACCACCTTGGAGCGGACCTCGCTCCTCTTCTTCCGCTATCAGCGCTCTGTCCTCACCCGCCGCTTCCGTTCTCTCCGCCTCAAGAGCGACAAGCCCGCCACCCCGTCGCACAACCCGACACCGCACTTGGGCAGTCCGGACCCGCCTCCTTCGCTGTCGCAGCGCCTCAAGAAGCTTTCCCGCGAATACGGCTGGACAGCCCTTGCCGTCTACCTGGGACTATCGCTTGTCGACTTCCCCCTCTGCTTTTTGGCCGTCCGCCTACTGGGGACCGACAGAATTGGCCACTACGAACAAGTCGTCAAGGATGCTCTATGGAATGTAGTACGCCTAGTTCTCCCCGATGCCGGTAGGAAGCCAGCGGAAGCAGGGGCAGAGGAAAACATTGCGGAAGCTACTGCTCGAGAAGGCTATGTAGAAGCGGGGAGAGCCGTGGGACACAATGGTGGGGCAGACGCATGTATGCCAAAACCTCCGCCCTCAGCATGCAGCCATGGCTAACCATCATTGCAGCAATCTGGGCCCAGCTTGGCTTGGCCTATCTAGTCCACAAATCCCTAATCTTTATCCGCGTACCCCTCACCGCCGCCGTGCTCCCCAAGGTCGTCAAGACGCTACGGAAATGGGGTTACAATATTGGCAAGAAGACGCCCAAGACTCCGCCCACATGAAGGCCACAACTACCCACAAAGTCCACGACCACTCCACTAGAATCGGCGTCGTCAACTCGTTCACTCGCGAGGGCTTTTAAAAATAAACCCCCCCCCATCTGTACATTCTAATGCATTCACGACTCTGTAACAATACACAAATGTAAGATTGTCATACACAAGACAAGCAGTTTCTCTACCCTCCACTTTCTACGCCAATTAAAAAAAATAGCGACTTGTGTCTCAAATTGCACAGCTGTCATCCGACACTTGACTCCGCTTTTCCCTAACGCCGTCTTCTTGGTCCTCGGCTCCACAAGCACTATTGTCTGAAGGCTGTTATGCTAGCAAACACCTTCCCGTATTCGGTCGTCGAATGCTAAGAGGTATCGACGGGGCCAGGTGTGAAAAAAAAGATGATTACCCTGCTATTTGATTAAGAAACCGGACATAGCCATGTACCGTCCAATGCCTTGTCAGGGAGACAGAGACTTGCACGAATCGGCAGCACTTATAGCTGACGGCATAGCTAATGGTAGTGGTGCTGTCAATATATATGACGTCGATGTGCGGACCTTATCGGAACCTAATCTCGATGGCGAATTGCTTCTATGGCACTATTGTCATGAAGGTAGTGTGCTGAGGTACGGAGGTTTTGGCAGCCGGGCTTCCGAAAGGCACACCCCCGAGCTGAAAGCAACTTGTGCACACACGCACACGCACACACACACACACACACACACACACGGAGAGAGAGACTATTGTCTCGCTACCAGCTTGCCTGGACTGCGGCCTCAGGTGCCGCAAACCTTCTTCAAATATATGGAACTGTTGGAGCCAGGTCGACGGCTGTCTGATCAAGGTTGTACCCCGTTGTAGCTTTGTGACTTTGAGTCGCTTCTAATTGCCCATCGGGCCTATTGAGAATAAAACGGAAATAGTCCCTGTTCACGGATGCGGCTTGGGGCCCACGACACATTCACTTACTCAATACGTGCCGGAAAGCCGTTGATTCCGATCGCGATGCCATATGCTCGGGCTCGGAGTATATAGGTGCCAACCCTTGGCGGCTTTGTAATCGATAAAGTATATGGTGCAGCAGCACACTTTGGCCGCCCTTCAGACGCGGGAGGCAGAACCCCCCGTGTTGTAGAACAGAAAGAAAGTTGGCACTACACTGGTGTACGCGTAACCCATGTTGCGCATGGTACGTGATCCGTCCGTCTTCGAGAAGCGCCTCGACGCTCGGGCGTGCAGCGCCATGTTCTAATCGAGCAGTCTCCCGAGCGCTTATTTTCCACACGACATGAAGAATGATTCAGTGCCGTTTCCACCGCTTCACTAGGGCTGCGTGGCAGTGCAATCAATGCCCGTGAAACTCACAATGGTCCTTTCCCGTCGTCTGCAAGCCGTCGCAATCTCCTGGTGGGCCGTCGTCGAGTAGAGAGGCCATGGTGGTCGCCGAGGTTGCGTTTGCCGATCAGCTGCCCGTGACGTACGCTGTCAGTAGCAGCAGGCCGGATGTTGCACCTCACGCACGCTCACGACCGTATACATACTTGGTTCATGTGCATGCGCACATGGCGTCTGCAGTGCGAGATAAGAAATGCCCGAGACGGTCCATGTGCACCGGTGCCGCCGCATCCACCCCGTCTCAACTTCCCCACTCTGACCAGTGGGTTGGAACCGCAGGGTTGAAGTTGCGCATGCACATGGAGCGTCTCGGCCGCACCGTTCCTAGTGCTAATATTAGTCGGAATGCAGGCAGCACGTCGGTCGCTACAAATGCCCGTTTGGCGACACCTGCCGTTAGAGAGCGAGAGCATCAAGCCCGCTTCGACAAGTCCCTCCATGTACACCCCGGATCTGTACCGAGCACCAGCATTGCGGAGGATCCGCGACCCTGAATCGCGTCCCTGTAGGAGCAGCCCTTCTCACCGCTACAACATTGCACACCATGTCTTCAGACACCCATTGTAGTATGTATGAACCAAGTGCTGAGCACTACTCCACTCGGCACCTCAGGTTGCCATGCTACGTCTACTTAAGAGGACACGTCTTCGCAGCTGCAACATGCCTGACATGTGTCACACACACAGTCCACCTCTGGCACCTTGGTGCGAGAGCACATATGGCAGCGGTGCATCTATATGTATGGACGCAATGAGACCTGAGTAGCCATTCCAAACGAGACAGCCAAGTCAATTAAACGTCCACGGGGTCGTTCTTGGAACATTCTTAGAGGGCCTATATCGAAGGTGGAGCTGTTCGAACAAGCGTGACAAATTGGTTCCTGTCTCTACATGTGCACACCACGGCTGCGGTTGCCATCACCATGCGCTGCTCTTCTCATCGGGATGCGTGGATACAGTGAATGAGGCGAAGGCGTCTCACCAACTAGAGAAGATGCAATCAAGTCGCCCCCATCCACAGGGGAGAAAGGGAGCTGCGCCGCACAGCTGTCTTGTCGTTTTCCAGTATCACATCAGCTTCGTCGGAGAGAGTGTATGTAACCCGCAGGAAAAAAAAACCCGCAGTTGTGGTGTAGGTAGAAGGTGTATCGAGGAACAACAGAAAACTTTCCAGTGACAATTTTGCTGGCCCATGCTTGCACGTGTTGCGCTAATCCATATTAGGAACCCATATCCGTCCCTAGCTCCCCTCGACCAGCCTCATCCACCTTGCTCAACACCAAACCTTGGGCTCCCAAGACCGAAGTCGTTGGTCATGTCAGCCCTGGCCTGTGGCTCTACGCAGGATACCCTTCACTAACATCAACAATTATGTCCTCTTTGGGCCCGGAAAACCAAATACAACACGGCATACCATGCCCCGTTTCCCGTTGCGCATCTTCCGCCTCCCTTACACACGCGCGGCACGCCGGCGCCGCATCTACACCATGCTGGTTGTCATAAGCGTGGTGGTTGTGTTCATCATGCCCTTCTACGTCATCTACAAGCCCCCGAACCTTCTCATCTGTTATTTCCAGCGTAGGTGGCCCGACGTGCTCTGGCACGTGCCGGCTTCCGCTCTGCGCCGGAATGGAAAAGAGACGGAAAAAGTGGTTGCTCTAACGATTGACGATGCACCGTCGACGTACACGACAGAGATCCTCAAGGTGTTGGGGGAGAACGAAGCACAGGCGACCTTCTTCGTCATCGGAGGTCAGGTCGGCGGACGAGAGACGATTCTGCAAGATACCGCCAAAGCCGGGATGGAGCTAGGGAACCACGCCATGCATGACGAGCCGTCCCGCTCTCTGACGCCTTCGACCCTGGATGACGAAATCCGACAAGTCCAAGGCTATATCAATCGGAACTACGATGCCGTTGATCTGCCGCATCCGCCCAGGTATTTCAGGCCTGGCTCGGGTTTCTTCAGCACGAGGATGCGCAGACAGATCACCGAGATGGGCTATCAAATGGTACTCGGAAGTGTATACCCGCATGATCCGCAGATTGCTTACCCGTCCTTGAACGCCCGCCATGTACTGAGTATGGTGCGGCCTGGGAGCATCATCATATGCCATGACCGACGCCAGTGGACGGTCCCGATGCTAAGAAAGGTTCTCCCGGAGCTGAAGAAGAGGGGTTACAGGGTTACCACTGTCTCTGGACTATTGGATGCAGCGGGGAGGACCAAGGCCGCGTGAGCTATAACAAACCGCTGTAGACATGGGGGATTTCGGTCACAGGATCAGTTTTGGGCACTGAAGCCGATGTGTCCTTGTGACTACACCACCAACAACGACCGAGGATACGCTATGTGGCTACTAGTCTTTGCGCGAAGGCTTATTCAAACCGAAGAAGCTTTTCATCACAACCATGTCGCATCTTCTGCCATTTCCGGCAACTAGCGCCCTACGTGCACATCAATGGGTCTCTTCCTCTTATAGTACCAGAGGCATTGGTTTCACGATTCCGCGGAAATGGAATAGATTGTGGAATGTTGACATGCCGCGCTCCCAAACCCAGCGTCATGGCGTTTCTTTTTCACTGCGTCTTATTGGTAGCTGCGGTCCTTCTCGTCTTGATCTGGCAACAGTGCGCCGATTGATTTTCTACATCTGGCATGTTTGCCTGCACTGCAGGCCAAGTAAAGGCGCCATCGGGGGCGGGTGCAGTTGAAAGTGCAATCTATAAGCTTCTTTACTGATGGCAGCCTGGACATGTGCTTCTTGGTTCGTCTTCTGCAAGTGCACTATCTCGATTGAGTTAGGAATTGCTAGTGCAGTAATCAACACTTGATGCTGCCTTGTGAGCACGTGAGTGCGGGACTAGCGCCATCGCGTTCCTTCCGCCTCCCAGTGCTCGGCGCGGCGCGTCATTCTCAACCACCAGGCTTCTGCGACAACCAGACCGCCGACTGATGACGCCCACACCGTGACAATACGAAAAATGCCTGCGTACGTGAATTCTGCCCTGCGTGCTCATCGTTGCCGTGCAGTACAATCAACGAAGCCGAGTTAATCCTGTTGCAGGCCGGGCGACCAATACAGCGGCGGCAACGTCCAGAATCCATTCGAGGGGCGCGTCGTGAACGGATTTACAGCCTCGGAAATCGCCACACTACAGAGCAGACTGAACAAGCAGCTCGGTCCCGAATACATTTCACAGCGACCCGGTAATGGCGGCGGTAGAGTGGCGTACTTGGAGGGGAATAAGGCGATTGCGCTTGCGAACGAGGTCTTTGGGTTCAACGGCTGGTCAAGCTCACTAGGGCAGGTGCAGATTGACTATGTGTGTGCAGTTTTTTCTGTGGGGCAACAAAAGAGGCTAATAAGCGTAGGTGGATGAGCTCCCGAACGGCAAGGTCAGCTTGGGTCTCTCGATAGTAGTGAGGATCACATTGAAGGACGGCACATACCACGAGGTACGTGTGGATACTTGCAGTTCTCGAGTCATGCTGATACAGTCCTAGGACATCGGATATGGATCTATAGAGAACGGCAAAGGCAAGGCCGCATCATTCGAGAAGGCTAAGAAAGAGGCCGCAACAGATGGGCTGAAGCGCTCTCTACGCACCTTTGGCAACGTCCTCGGTAACTGTTTGTACGACAAGGAATACCTCAAGAAAGTACAGGCGATGAAAGTCAAACCCGTCAAATTTCAAGAGGACAATCTATACCGACACAGCGACTTTGCACCCCCACCACAGCCTGAGCAGCAGGCCGTAGTGAAGCAAGAACCTCAAAAGACTCCGGTCAGGCCCGACCAAGTTCTTCGAACACGTACCGACCAGCTTAGTAATGAGTCTTTCGGTGCCGACTTTGACGATGAAACCGACGAGAACCTATTTGACGGTGTTGATGTGAGCGAGGGCCACGGCGACGAATTTCCCCTATCAGACACCCTGTCTGCTTCAGATACTACAGGACCCCGCGTTGCTGAGCCGGCGAAACCAAAAGGCGTATCGTCTGGTCGTACATCCCCTGTGAGAAATGTAGGACCTCCTCGACAGCCCAATGGCAAGCAGATACAAGCAGGCCGTGGCCAGCCAGTAGCACAGCAACAGCCGTCCAACCAAGTACCAGGAAGGCCTTCACCCCAAATGCAAAATAGTCGACAGCCGCAGACACCAGTTCAGCAGCAACCTCGACCAGTACAAAACAACGGACGTATGCCTCCACCTGCTGCAGAGAATGGAGCAGCATCCAGGCCTATTGGTCAACAACCTCAGAATCAACACGCTTCTAACAACCAGCCCTCTCGACCCACACCCCCACAAGCACAGCAACCACCTAATCAACAACGCCCGGGACCGCAAGGTCAGGCAGTGACTACACCTGCTGCAAATCAGCGGCCATCTGTTGGTTTTGTGACATCCCGCGCTGCTGAACTACTCCAAGCATCTGAAGTGCCCGCACTGAACAACATTCCGCAATTCAACCCCAATGCGGAATCCCCCATTCCAAAAGAGAAACGCACTCCTGGCATCGACCACGCACGCAGTATCCCCATCAAACGCGAAGCAGTCGGCGCTCCCCCTCCCCCTCAGCCTGCTCAACAACGACCTGGCGTCACATCAACAGGCTCTTTCAATCGCCCGAACATAGTGAACCCACACCTCGACGCCAACCGACGAATCGGTATGCCTGGAGCGCCCAACTACGCCATGAGTCCTAGTGCAAATCGTGGCGCTTACAAGCCTCCCACATTTGCCAACGGAGCTGGACCGAATGGCGTCAAGAGAGAGAGGGCAGCATTACAGGATGTCAGCAACGTAGGTGTCAATGGCAATGTCCCCGAGGGTCCGGACGCAAAGAAACAAAAGGTCGACGCGCCGGGTGCGGAGAACACTGCCGGCGTTGCCAACACATAGCAGAGCAAGCAGCTTATGATCAATACGCGAATTATCAGAGAGGAAGAAAAGCGCTTCATTTCCATATAACATTATCACTATCATGATGAGCGAGGTGTTTGGGCGTGCGGGAAGGGGATAGGCAAAATGGGCTCTTTTTTTGGGCGTTGAGACCGTATGAGGTTACAGGATTACAATGTATTGCAATGCAGTGAGCGTTTAGGGAATCAATCACAGTCGACACAGGCCTACAAGGTACTCAGTTATTGTTGGTGTAAACATGACACATACTCCATGTCGAAGAATTAAACGGTATCTTTTTTTTCCTTCAACATTGCTGCTCAATGTCCAAGTTCAAAGCTGTGTTTGTTGCTCCTAGGAATACTTGTTCCCTCTTGCACCATGTTATCGAGATATCTTTTCTCAATCTTATCTTATCTAAGAAGAAAATAAACTTGAACTCTGACTATGTATGAAAGCTCTAGACGGAGTGAGTTAGGTTAGGTTAGGTTAGGTTAGTAAGATGGTCAAAAGTGAAAGTGTCTCGGACGTATATACGCATGACAATATGAAGACTGCACCGGCATAGGCACAGGTACGAGGAAACAAACTAGGTTAATCTAACAATCATTTCTCTTCATCTTCATCTCTCTTTGTTGCCATCGTTTCCCCATTGTTTTTCGTTGCTTATCCTGATATATTTTTTATAGTGCATGCGTGAGTGTGTACATCTCCAAGTAAGTATACTTTGAGAAAAAAAAGAAGAAAAAAAAAGAAGAAAAAAAAGAAGAAAAACGCCTGTTTTGCCTTTCCACTAGAACGAAGGAAAAAAGAAAAAAAAAGACACGAATATAAATTGAAGAAAGAAGACGCTGATACCACATATACGACAGACGACAAACTAGAGTGACCAAAGTCAAAGATAACATAACATGACTGTCTTGTAAGCAAAGGATAAGGATGGGACAACCATAATGACAATGACAACGACAACATGACTGTCGACACATCCTTCTCTAGAGTGTGAAGGATATATGAGAAAAAAGGGAGGGAGGGGAGGAAGATGGGAAATGGACGATATAAAGCATCTGCCCTTTTTAAAGTTGATGTGTGGTTTCATTCTCACAGCCACCATTGTCATTGCCATTGCTACTGCCATTGTAGTTACCATCGCCACCACCATTACCATCATCATTGCTGCCATAAATGGGTCTGCGCATTCTCCAGGGAAAATACAAGTGTCAGCACTAGAATCACGGGACCTCTTGGAAAAGAAATAGAAAGAGAGAGAGAGAGAGAGAGAGACAGAGAGATCGAGAGTTAGAGAGTTAGAGAGAAAGGAAGAAGAAAGCAAGTAGACCCCTAAAATATCTAGGAATTATCTCTTCTTGCTTCCTGGACGCGGTTTACATTCATCACCTAGAATGGGATGAAGCTTGATCTTGATAGGGTACTGCTGGTTGTTTCCTCCGTAGCCTTTGCTCCAGTCATAACTGACTGCATATGCGAAAATGTTTCCGTCTTTACTGAAGCTCGTGGCTACGATGCTGCCGCCCACTTCCGGGTAGCCCTTGAGACGGTGCTTGGCGTCCTTGTCCCAAAAGTGGAAAGTGCCGTCGGAACCGGCCGTGGAAAAGGTGCCGTGTTGTGGGTGGAAGGATATGGCGTTTACCGAAAAGACCTTGGCGGTTTCGCGGTTGTTGGGGTCGGGGTGGCGGTGGCATTTGAAGGAGAAGTTGAGGCTGGACACATGTCAGGAAGGGGGTGGTATGGGCGTGTTTGGAAACAAGAAGTGCTTACCTGGTGTCCTTTTCCTCGACGTACTGGATGGCGCATCGGCCTTCAATGGAGCCAACGGCGAAACCAGTGGCATCGGTAAAGCAGCTGACAACTCTTGTCTGCCACTTGAGCGGACTGGTAATGGTCTTGTAGATGGTGGTTGGGTTGGTCAAGTTCACCATGTGGATGTGGCGCTCTGCTGTCGCAATGACAAGCAATTGGTCCTTGACGTCCATGCTATAGACGCGCTCTTGACATTGCAGGGTTCCGACGGGCTCGGCGCCCTGCAAGTCCCAGAACTTGACCGTCTTGTCCCACGAGCCCGTCGCAACATAGTCTTTACCGCCAGTCTGGAACCAGCGTACGCACTTGATGGCATTCTCGTGGGCTTTGGCTTGCTGGGCGGGCACAGTGCCGCTGGCTGGGGCTGTGCGAAAGTCGACAATGTTGAGCATGCCTGTTGAGTCGCCGGCTGCTATGCGTGTGCCATCCTGCGTCGTGTTAGCGCTCTGTTGCCGGCTCGGGGTCCTTGGTTTCGAAGACGCACCTTTGACCAGCCCACACCAAGAACATGGCCCTGGCACTCAAACATCCACTTGCCCATTGCCCCGTTGTTGTTGACTTCGTAAATGTAGACCTTCTTGTCCCAGCTGCCCACGGCGAGAAAGTCGTTGGTTGGCGAGAACTGGATGTCGGATATGCTGTCGCTGGGCACTTGGCCGGCTGGAACCTCGACATCTTTGCTTGTGTCGCCCGTGGTGGAGCTTGCCGCCGCGGGCGCTGCGGCTTGACCAAAAAGCGCCATCGTGTGCGTCTATGTGTGGCTTGTTGCGCACGTCGAGATGCGGTGATGTCTTGTTGTGGAGCTTTGCGCGAGCTGCGATGGGCTGCCGTCGAGGAGCGAGGGGACGCGGACGCGGACGCGCTCGAGGGGCGGGTTTGGGGCACGGCAAAGCGAGTGCGAGGTGGGCAGAGTGGCGGGAAGCGGTGCGCAACGAAATACCAGAGTCGGTTCTTATCCTCTTCACCTCCAACGCGCCTCAGCAAAGAAAGAGCGGCTGCACCAAAGCTTCCCAGGCACCCTTGCAGGCACCAGGCCGCTTTCTGCCTAGCCTGCCTAGCCTGCTGAGCCTGCCTAGCGCGCGGCCTTACGATTGCCCGGCCCCGTGCGCCCGTCTAAAAAGTTTCCCTCCAGCCCGGCCGCCTTCCTCTCCCCAACGTTCCTCGCTCGAAGAATCGCAACGAAGCACACGCACAGAGCGCACCCGGTGCGTCTCGCCTCGGCATGCTTTGGGAGAAAGTCCCCGGACATCGGTCTTCGCGATCGCACTTTCAGCAACGAACCGCCATAGAAGCAGCGGCTTCCACCACCGACTACGGCGCCTTTCCGCGTCTCTTTATCCGCCTGCACTCTTGTCCATCGGTTCTCCTGACGCTGCGGGTGGAGGGGCTGGCACCTGGATGATGACACGAGTCCGTTGGCTACCTTGCTCGCGTGCCCAAGGTGGCTGGGGATAGGAGGAGGAGGGAGATGGCGGCGAGTGCCAGGTATGGAGGGTCGTCTCGTCCAGTTTATGGTTATGCGATTGCCTTTCGTGCGCTTTGGCAACACAAGGCGCGCTGGAGGTAACTCAATGGGGCTCATTCTCGACGCGAGGAACGTTCACCTCCCACATTTTTCGGATCTGAGGGTAGCCGCTCTCTGGCTGCTGCCGGAGTCGACGGGCTACGCCGTGCTTGGTCGAACAAGCCAGGTTCATGCAGCCATACAAGGGTTCACATGATGAGAAACACAGAAATAGAGTCAAGCTCTGAGGCTGTCTGAATCCCAAAGCGGTAGGACGGCCTTTGCTGAATTTTCTACGACGGTATCTGAAGAACCTTGTGGCTTAGATAGTCTTGGTCTGAAACAAAGCAAGTTATGCCCACTCTTTTGTCCAGTCGCGCGTGAGTGGTATTGTGCGCGTGTGATGTAGTTGCTGTGTGCGTGTCGGACACAGCCTATGCGTCGGCGCCGACAATGAAATCCCTGACCTCCTTGTACGCCTTGTCCAGGTCCTCGTTGATGACAATCTTGTCATGCGGCGCCTCTCCGCTGTGCGCAAATTCCATCTCGACCTGGGCCTGGTTGAGCCTCTTGAGAATAGCCTCTTCCTTGTCCGTCGCCCGGCTCCTCAGTCGCTGTTCTAGGACCTCCATCGATGGTGGCTGCAAGAACAGGAATCGCGGACGGGGGAATGTAGGGTGGTTTGCGACCTGCTTAACGCCCTGTCGACTGGTTAGCCATGCGGCACTTTGGCACGACAGTAGTGCTGCTCTGACCTCCATCTCGATATCCAGAATGCAAATCTGGCCCTTCTCGGTAATATCGTCGATCGCCTTGATGCTGGTTCCATAGTGGTTGCCCCCGAACTGCGCATGCTCCACAAACCCCTTCTTCTCTACCAGGTCCAGGAACTCTTCCTTGGTCACAAAGTAGTACTCCTTGCCATTCTGCTCGTTCCCTCGCGGCGCCCGCGTCGTGTGCGATATGCTGAAGCCGAACTTTCCAGGAAACTCTTCAAAGAGGCGGGACAGGATGGTCGACTTTCCAGCGCCAGAGGGGCCGCTGATTACAATGGGCTGGTTCGCGGAGAGGGCATCCTTGGGGATGGCGGCAGTGTCGGCGGGGGCCATGGTCGAGGCGTGGCAGGTGAATGTGCGCGAGGGGAGGCTTCTAAAGGCGCTTTGGAGGTATGCGGCGCGCGGGGTTGAGCGAGCGGAACACGTCACGCGCGCAATGCAGCTTCGCGAATCAAGCAGTAGGCTCCTGGATACCCGCGAAAGAGTCAATGGCATGCCTATCGTGGGCTGTGACGATGCGGGGTGTTGATTGGCGGTGAAGCCTCGGGGTCTTTGGTGTTTGGTGGGGGCACTCAAGCTGGCATGGCGGGCGGGACTGGTGACATCGCGTGTTCGTGTACTTATGCGACTGACCTCATCGAGCTGGAAATTTGGTCGTTCCCTGCTAAACCTCGCCCATGCCGCGCTGATTCGTGCGTGGATCGAGGACCTGGAGTCAAGAAGCAGTCAACATGGTATGCAGCCCGCAATTCTTCACGAAACCGTTCCTGACAGCCAGCAGTCAAAGCAGTATCTCACCCTCCACACAGTCGAATCGGCACACCCCAATGCGAGCGACATCTTTGCTGTAGCGCCGACGAGTACACAGCTGCTTTCCGCCTCTGGCGCCAGCAGCATCAATGTTTACGATACCACGAAACCCGACTTTCCCATTATACAGACACTCGACAAGGCCCATCCCCTCGGCATACACCATCTAGTCACCGCGCGCGAAGACAAGGCACGGCGCGCTGCGAGTGCTGGCTTCGAGGGCAAAGTCAAGATATGGAGTCAGAATGAGGACGGTGTGTGGAGCGAGGACGGCGAGATTGTTGGTGGGTACGCCTTGCGCCTTCTTTGCCGTTGCAACACGGTGGACGTCATTGCGGCGGATACTGACCTGTGCCCCAGACCAAAACAAACCGGGTGAGGTATGGGCCATTGCCATGAGCGCAGATGGACAGTATCTTGCTAGCAGCAGCATCAATGGCAAGATCAACGTCTGGAGCCTCAACAAAGAGGAGGGCATGCCCCGGATACGCGAGTACGAAACCAAAGGTAGTTTCGGACTTTGTGTGGATCTGGTATGCTTTGGCTTCTGCGAACGTTACCTTCACCACGACTGACCAGCAATTAGAGTCGCGACGGTAGTTTCACAGCCTCGGGACATGAAAATGGCTCGATATACGTCTTCAACAACGACACTGGACGTCTTGCGCACTCTCTAGCTGGACTAGTACATCCAATTCGTAGCGTTGCCTTTTCTCCAACCTCGAAGCTGCTAGCAGCAGGGGGCGATGCCCGTATCATTGCAGTCTACAATGTTTCTTCGGGCGAGCAGGTGGCAAACCTTACGGGACATGGTGGTTGGGTACTCAGTCTCGACTGGAGCGATACTGGCGAGTATTTGCTATCAGGGTAAGAAATAATTACGAACATGTATACGCTATCGTTGACTTCTTCAGATCCCACGATTCCAAAGCAAAGGTCTGGCGTTTTGAAACCAAGACCTGCGTCACAACCCACTCACACGGCGACAAGCCCCTCTGGAGTGCAAAGTGGTTACCGAAGATCCCGACAAAGAGCGAGATGTTTGCGTTAGCCGGAGGAAACAATACCATCAGCTTTTACCGTGAGGCTGCTGGTTGATCAAGAGTTTGTTAGAACCGATCGCACTATGCTGCAAATGCATGAAGAATGCCCTTCAATATCACTCCCAGGAACATGGCATACGTGGGGTTATACAGCTTCCGATATGAAGTTTCTCGTGGTAAAGACCAAATCTAATCGTTACAGATATATCTGCGGAGAAACTGTCCTGCATTAGACGGCAACTCTAATTGTATAATTACCGTTAACATGTGACTAGCTCAAAGCAGCAAGGATATAGCGTTAGAGCATTTAGGCTGCCATACAGAGAGCCTCGATATCCATGAAAGCATTCACATCCATGGAATGAAAGTGCCCAATTTAGGCAAGCCATGGTGAACAAACGCCCTTTCTGTCCGTTTACGGATGTGGAGATCACGGACGAAGATGCAACAACCACGGTTCGACGCTTCTTAAGCCATCAATAGCACAGGTTCTCGCAACATAAAAAACATACTCGTTGCCCCTTTCCTCTTCCTCGCTACTATCTAAGATACCTTGAAAAGGCAAAATGCAAATCCTCAAAATCCCGTACAGCCTCGTGGCCGCATCGTCCTCTGCATCCACAAACGACCTAACCGACTCCTCCCACCCAGAATCCCCCTCGCACTCCTTCAACACAGTGCGCCACACGCTCTCGGAGATCCTTCCTGTTGTCCCCGAGAACCCGCCATCCTTCACGCACTGTGCCTCGCCCACCTGGAAACCCTACAACTACACGTTCTGGCACGCCCTCATCGCGCGCTCCCAAGGGTTACAGGAATCCCAACACCACATCATCCAGCTCCCGGGGCTCCTCTACCAAGACCTCACCAGATGCTACAGCAGCTGGCTATCCAGCAGTCGCATCCGCGAAACCAGCATGCGCGAGGCCCTCGAGACACTGGCGAGCACGCGCGCTGGCAAGGATTTAGCCGTGCTTTTAGATGGACGTCGCAAGTGGTTTATCCGCCTCGACCAGATGTCGCCGAAAGACAGTGCGATGCGGGGAGCGCTGCCGGCGTCGACGCCGCATCAGATGCTGCAGATGCTGTGTTCGTCGAATCGAGCCTACACCTGTTTATTGCATGAGAAAGAGGACGCCGAGGCCGAGGGGAGAGATATGAGCTTCAAGCTCGTGCTGAATGTGTGGAGGGACGATATGAATACGAGCAGGGAGTTTAGGGTGTTTGTGCCGCCGCCTGGTGCTACTTCTACCACTAGTGATGCTACTATGGATGTTGCGGGTGTTGCGCAGCGGCTACAAGACTTCAAGATCAGTGCAATCAGCCAGTACAAATGGACAGTAGTGTTGGAAACGCCGTGGGCATTTTCGCTAGAGCAGACAGTGGCAAAGGTAGAAGCTGGCGCGAAAAATGTACTCGGGGAAATCGTGGCGCATGCGAGGCATAACCTGGCCAACGATATTGCCGAGTTACTGCTAAAACAAGGCTTCACCTTTGACGTTGCGCTGCAGCAGGACGGCAGCGTGCAGTTAGTTGAGCTGAATCCGTTTGGTGCCACGTCGGGCTGTGGACCCTGTCTGTTCAACTGGGTGCGCGATGGCAAGATGCTTTATGGATTGGACGAAGCAAAGTTCGCTGTGACGGTTGCATGAGAAGGATTTGCAGTTGGGCCATGCATCCTGTTCAGTATCCCCACGGGATGTGTGCTGGTGGTTTACATGGCCTCGTTGAAGCTTTGATTCATGTGGCACTGTCGTCATCCGCGGCCTGCAATTGATTGCAATTCTATTATAGTTCTTGCAGACTGCGCACTAAGTGAGGCAATATCAATGCTTGCCTTTGAAGCTGAAAGCTTTCATAGAGTCTTTCTGAACCATTGCACAACCCAATACCTCAGGGTCTAGTCGTGACCTCAGAAATTTCCTCAGATGTTCCTGCATCTTTCTGACTCTCCTGGTTTGGGGCTTGCTCTCTCTCCAGAAGCTCTTTGAGCTCTTTGTAGTTGACAGGCTTAGTCATGTAGTGATCGATGCCCGAACTCCATGCCTCGAGTCTGGCACTTGACGATGCGAGGCCGGTCAGCGCAATGATGCAGCTACGTGGGAGATTGTTGTCCCGTTCATACTCGCGAATCGCGCGGGTAGCTGTCATGCCGTCCATGACTGGCATGGACATGTCTGTCATATGATAAGCATCTTTGCAAACAAAGTCGAGGGCAATGTTTTGATGAATTAGATAAGCATGGTGTTCACTGACCCATTAGTATCGCCATGACATTGTGTGAGCCTGCCTGGTACTTGTGTAGTGCCTCGAGTCCGTTTGATGCTTCCTGGAATTGCAAATTGTTTTTCTTCATGAATGCAACGAGTAGCTTACACTGTCAGCGCTTTCATAAGTTGAAAACACATCGGACCTACCCTTCGGTTCAATACATTATCATCCACGATTAGCATATGAGACACATCCAAGCCCTTTTCCTGATGTGGTGTGGTTATGGGTTGTGGTGTGGGTGATGCGACTGGAGATATAGCTGGATGCTCTGCAGGCCTAACCGTCAAATAGGTAGTGTCGGGTTGCAAAGAACTGGGCGGAGGAGTGAGACTGATCGGCCCTGGAGCTCCGGGAGATGCAGCTCGGGAAAGTGGACTAAGCATCCCTTCAGGCTGCACGTTCTCATCAGGGTGATCATATCGATCCAAGCACCGATTGAGAACAAGGGCTAGTTTGTGAGGTCCGCATCTGACCAATATTAGTAATATTTCCAGGCCATAAGGGAATTTTTTTACTAACGGCTGTGTCATTATCTCGACCACAGATTCTTTGTTCGTCACACGGACGTCTGAACGGAGAGTCGCTGCTTCAAGCGCATCCATGCCAATGAATATGATAACAGGAGCTCGTTCGCCGCGAGTTCGGCGGCGGCGAATGGCATCAAGGTAGTCGAAGGAAAGTTCAGGACAGATGACCATGTCTGCGTCATGGTGTTCCCAGTCGGTAGGTCTCACTACGTCCATCTTCAAGTGCTTCTCAAGGGTATATGCGAGAGCATTGGTGAAGCGCAAATACCCATCACCCGTCTTTGAGATATCACCATAATCTACAGACCCGGGATGTACTATTTTCTTGCAAAGTATGCATATCTTCCGGCCCTTTAGTCGTGGGAGAAAGGATCCAAACTGTTTGCGCTCGGCCGTCACCGAGTCAGAAAATTCCGGCTTGGTCAGTGCGAGCTTGACGGTCACCTTGCTTCCAACTGAAGGCTGGCTGCTAACTTCAATTTTGCCTCCGCTCATGTCGATAATCTGTCGAACTATACTCAACCCGAGACCGATACCAGGTGCGTATGGATTTTCTTGAGAGAAGGGTTCGAACAACCGGTTGGCAAGGAAATTGGGGCTCATGCCTAAGCCAGTGTCCGTGATAGTCAAAGTGACCGCTGACGGCGCATTGGTATTTTCCGTGGGTTTGTTAGAACGCAGGGAAACATGGATGTCTACGAGACTCAGTCAGCCAATTGTCTATTTCATAGATTTCCGAAGAGTAAAAAAAGCAAAGGTCGCGTATGCAACGGATCTCTGCGTTGGAGAATACATTAAGCTTGTACTGTCGCCGTAGAAGGCCATGTAAGTAGCCCGGTTGGCTATTACGCCCATTAAATAACCAAGAACCACGTTGACTTACAGCCTGACTCTGTGTATTTCACGGCATTACCAAAAAGATTCATGACTATTCTTCTCCATGAGCCAATCGGGAAAGAGAAGACCCAATCCTCTTCCTGTGCCACTTCGAGTATGACAAAGCGTGCTCTCCGCCTGGGGTAGTGAACCAGCTCATTATTTGTAGAAGACGAAGCCTCCTCGATGCGTTTGGCAGTAACGGGGATGTATGAGGATCCCGAGAATACAGCCTCGACGACTTCCTCTGTTGCGATGCCCATATCGAATGCGGGGTCTTTCCTCCTACTGCCCCTGAGGGGTTTGGAAGATAGCCTTACTGTGTTCTCGCTCTTTATTCTTTTCGAAGAAATTCTGTTCTTGGATTCACTGATTTTGGCATAGTCCATGACGTGGTTGATCGTATCGAGCAAGGTAATTCCGCAACCGTGAAGAGAGGTCAGCATGCTGGCCTGAAATGAATCCAAAGGCGTATCCTTGACGAACTCCAATGTGCCTAGTATTCCATGCAGAGGCGAACGTAATTCATGTGAGATGGAGGCTACAAAGGTCGACTTGGCCTAGAGGGTTGTCAGTTTATGACTGTTCACCAGCATATCTTAGTTCTTTCCTCTTACCTGGCTCAAGGTCACAGCATCTAACCTTGACAACTCTCTCATGATTGAATTGCTGAAGATCTTGAAATAAATCAAATCAACAGAAGGGGAAAGTAAACGATATCGGTCGTTACTCCAACAGAAACAGCCCGCAAACCACCTAGACCTCTCAAAATCCCAGAAGGGTATGAAAGCCACGCTACAAGCTTCAGGAAACATTTCTTGGATGATTTCTGAGCATCTCTTTGACCAGTTTCTCGTCAGGCGCTTGGAATGCAACGTTCGCGGTGGTAGCTGCTCAGTAACGTGAGGACTGGAAGAAGCATCGTCGGTAGATGATAGAGCCATGCCGTTGGCCGTGAAGGTAAAGATCTTACCATGAGGATATTCACGGAGCATACGGGCAAGGTTGGACTCCAACAATGTCCCATATTCGGCGTTTTCCTTGCCGTCTGGAGTTGCCACTCCAAGCAACTGACCTAGGTTTTGGTGAGTGAAGTTGGTCATTTTGTCATTATCTAAGCGATGAATTGGTTGCTCTTACATGTTTTGGAGCTTGAAGAGGACGTGCTGCGTGAGTTGTCTTCTGTGCTATTTGAACTATCGCCCTCACTGGAAGATCTTGACTGGTAGGATTCTGATGGGGAATCGGTCCCGTTCATGGTTCTAGGTGTGGTATGGGCGCGGCGTTGGCCTCCATTCGCCGCAACACTTGCATCGAGTATGAGCACGCCGTCTAAACTACTCGAAGCCATCATGACATTGGCAGCACGAGAGAACATTGACTTGGAGTCGGCCGGCAGAATGGAGTCCTGAAGAGTTCTTATTGCCCGATGACGTGTGGACCTTGGCGTGGTTGCTCCAGGCGTCGCATAAGACGAACTGTCAGGCGCCAGGTCGTCCACTTCCTTTGTACCTCTCTTGTATAGAGGGTCGAGATCTTTTTCAGTGGTTGGGGATGAATTGAAAGACATGTCGGGTGTTGTTGATGGATCGTGCTGTTCATTCTGCTTGAAAGGCAACAAGGCAGTGACACCCTCGGCAAAAGAGACCAGACCGCGTGTAAATCTTTCCCCTCGACTGTATTGATCTCTAATGGTGTATGTGTTGAGGTAGTCGATGGTAGTAGATGCCAAGTCTTTGAAAAGAGTAAGCTGCTCACTGCTAAGGCCATTGTGCGGCTTGTCGTCGAAGATGCTCAACGTGCCAACCACGGCGCCTTCTGGAGACATGAGTGCAATGCTCGCATAAAACCGCATATCTGTGTGATTTTGAACGTGGCGCCCAAAGCAAGGTCTGTCATCTGCCTCAAGATCGTCAATGACCAAGACGTTGTTCTCAAGATTGATGTGCAGCACGTTCTCGCATAATCCCAAGCTACGCGGAATGCTCGCGTTTCCAAGCCACAGCACATTTTGGGCGTCTCCCGGCGCTTCTGGGCGAAGGGAGAGATGGCAAGTAGCCTCTGCCAGGATGTGCTGCCTCTGGTCGTCGAGAAGGGAGACCATGGCCCGCTGTGCGCCCATGCGGATAGCGGTAAGTTGACACAAAGCCGTGAGAGTCGAGTCCCGAGATGGACGGGCGACATGGGTGGCCAAATCGTCGACGTGTGGTATATTGCAAAGGGCGGCTCCATAATGAAGCCGGACATCGCGTTCTCTTTTCATATCGTAGCGCCTTGTTTTGGTGGTTCCGCGATGGGTAGGGGACCAACTCATGGTAATAGATGCGCTCTAATGCGCCACGCGAGGCAAATGACGTCGACAAGCTGCCCCAAGCCTCATGCTGCGTCCTTGGGTGTTCAACGAAGATGCAGAGACGACGATGTTTGCTGATGGGCGCGCATCGTGGGGCGGCCAGCTGAAAGTTTGCAGGTCGCCACAGCAAAGGAACCATCTCGACCACCGATCGTCTCGCGCCGCGGGCATGCACATTGCTAGCGCATTTCTGTATACTGCATGGTCTACTTACTACCTGCATCAGGTGACGCACGGCAGATAGCATGGCATTGTGTGATACGGATGTGGATAACCCATCTCCGTGCTGCTCAGTGGCAACCGTTGTCATAGGCTAGTCTTCCGAGCCGGTGTGGATCTGGGAGAAACCGCCCTGGCACTGAGTTGAGCTACTGGCGCCTCTGCTGTTTGAAGAAGCCTGCAGCTGCAATGGCGGCGGGTTTTCGAGTGGCCTATGAGCATGAGTGTGAGTAAGCTGTGAGTTGGGCATGTCTTGGTTTCCTGATATGCGTCTGAAGATACCCCTAGAAGCCGTTGCGGCATGTGATGGACCCAGGCCAGTTGCTCTGCCATGGACAAATTCGGCTGGCCAGCGTAGTTTCCGACAGGAAATTCTCAACGCGCTCCACTCGAATGCGTAAAAATGGCATTGGCAATGGCATTCGAGCGCAATTTCGCAGGGCGATCGTGACGGCATGTTGGAGTGGAGCCATGTCCCCTATCGATAAACCAGCACAGACCACCGTGCCCGTCTCGCGCGTCCAGTCGCGCCTCTGCTTCGCCTCCCGCGCGCATCCACGCCAAACCCCTCCCACCTCAACTCTGTTACTTCTCGCTGTCTGCACAATCACACCTGACCTACCCAACTAAACACACACACACACACCCCTCCAACCAAGCCCTCGCAACATGATGCTTACAACATCTTTCTTTTCGCATCAAGTGCCGCATCACTCTCCATACACGCCACCGCGATCATCCCCGTTATCTGAGCGCTCTGGAAATGTACAGCCCCGAATCTTCGACTTTACCATGTCATCGCCCATCAAGGAACAAACTGCGGCGCCGCACCGCACTTTCAAGCCCAATCCCGTGATGCAAACACGCGATGCGGCGACAAAGAGACGGAGGGACATGTTCTTCAAGCGGGTGCAGAATAACCGCGACGACAAGAAATGGGAATCGCGTGGCGAGCAGGTGTGTGGTTGTTGATTACGCGTTTGCAGAAACACAAAGCTAATCCTCAGTACAGATACAACAGCTAGACTTTGTGTCAGAACGCAAACGATGGGAGGCGGAGAAGGCGCGTCAAGCACCACCCGAGAACGATGACATCATTGAAGAACCCATTGAAGACACGCCATTGCCTACACTGTTCAACAATGCGCCGCACTCCAACCCCGACGTGACCGAGGCTGACTACCTCGCCGCTCAAGAAGAGTATGAGCTTCAACAGTTGATCGCGTCTATAGAGCAGGAATCGGAAACGCCGTCGCAGCATTACGGCAGCGACGATGAAGACTACGATTCGATATTCATGGCGTGTGCAATGACCGAGGATGTCCAATTACAGCACCAATCGTATGTTTCGCAAGCGCCATGTCCGCACGAGGATCAGATGGATACGGACATGATGGATTGTTGAGGTATCCTTGACTTGGGGCGTTTCCTCTCAACAGAGATCAGCTGGCACGCACAACCTCCCAGGAAGCGCTGCTTAGCAGCATTGTATATTTATATCATGGGAACATGAGTAGATTGTCACATACCATCACACATGTTATGCGGGCAAAAGCATCATACGTATTGGATGGGTATCTGGAAGAATGAAGCAGATAGGTAGCCTCCCGAGGAAAGATTACTGTGTTGGACAACCCTGGTCTATATCTTGTAGTGCTTCCTGAGCAGCATTCATGTCGCCGACCAGATCCGGCGGTGGAGAGCCGGCGGCTTGCATCTGTAAACCATTAGTAAATATCACATTAGACATTGCATAAACAAGGCCATACCTTCTGCATCCTCTCAACAATGTATTCTCTGTCCTGCGCGTTGTCGTCACTGTAACCTTTCCTTTCAAATCGGCCGACAATCTCTCGCACCAACGTCTGCTGCTCCTCGTATCGCTTCAAGTCGTCCTTGTCCACCTTTTCCTTGTTCTCCTCCATCCACTTGGGAAATTTGTCGTCCAGCTCCTTCATGGGCTCGTACAAGATGTCCTTGTTTGTGAGCTGCTCCATCATGCCCATGAGCACTTTACTAAAGTCCTCGTCGCCTCCCTCGCCGCCAAAGCCACCGGATTCCATCGACGCAAGCATCTGCGCAAGAATGTCGTCTTGCGCCGAGGATGCCGCAGCCGACGTGGCAGTATCGGATGAGGATTGCATGCGTTCCATGGTCTTTTTGATGGTCTCTTGGAAGTTCTTCTCGGCCTTTGCGGCAGTCTCCTTCTCAGAAGAAGTCGCTGCAGCCCCTTCAGCCTTGGGTCCCGCAGGTCCAGCGGCATCTAGAGGGTTTGCTCCGCCGAGCTCGGCGCTCATCTCCTTCATGATGTCTTCGAATTGCTTCTGGAAGTCACCCTGGCCAAGGAGCTGCTCCATCTCTTTCTGCAACTGCTTCTGGAACTCTTCTTGGTCGTCGAGCATCAGCTCCGCCGGCGAGACATCCTCAGGCGGCCTACCAGGCCCGGAGGACGAGGGTACATTGCCAGATTTGGGGTACGCCGCTGCTATGGATGAGGCGGTCGGTGCCTTGGCATCGAGCTTGGTGTTTGCAAATTCATCGAGCACATCGTCGAGGTCCGACAGGTCGTCTTCTTCGGGATCTGATGCTACCTCTGGCGGAGGAGCGGCGGCGGCGGGTGTGGTAGCGGTGGGCGTTGCTTTGGCTGGCTGTGCCTCTTCTTTCTTCTCCGTCGTGTCGGCCATACCTGCACTCACGCGCTGTTGATGGGTCAGGTGAAGGGACCGTAGGATAGCAGGCAGGTGGGAAAGTCAAGGGCAAAGGATGTGCCTGAGCCAAACATATGTCATACGTGCAACAAAGCCAGCCTCGGCCCGCGCAGCAACACAGGCACAGGCACAGGCATGCTCAGTCACATAAGCGGGGGCATGCTCTAGCGCGGGGCAAGATCGCCCATTGCACCTTCCCAGGCGTGCCAACGCGATCTAGGCCACAGGGCAATTCCAACGCTGTGGCGCCCCCCCGGCTGATAATGCTGTCGCGTCACGTGCAACCGTAACTGGACTTCACCTTGTTTCATGCTGCAGCTTCACCGTTGCTCACCTTCACCACGACTCTTTGCCCGCATATAACTGCGACGCGCCCGCACCCCCAGGCAACCCGCGATTGACGACCTGCAATACGCCCATCGCGAAGAAACACGGCTCGCTTCCACAACGCCGAGATAGAACCTGATAACGGACAGCTCAGGCGCAAACGCCAGCGTTGCAGCCACTCCCGCCATGTCCCTCTGCATCAACCGGCTCTCGGAAGAGAGGTACGCGCCCGAGCCGTCCCGCATCTTGTCCGTCTGCTAACAGCACGCCAGAAAGTCGTGGCGACGAGACCATCCCTTTGGCTTTTTCGCAAAGCCCATGCGCGGCGCCAACGGCATGATGGACCTGAAGAAATGGGATTGCGGTGTCCCCGGCAAGGAAAAGACCATCTGGGAAGGCGGCCTGTTCAAGCTCGAGGTCACGTTTCCAGACGAGTACCCAACCAAGCCACCAAAGTGTATGTTTACTCTTCTTCCTTGAGCCCGAAGCGCGTGCTGAAATGTTGCCCCCCAGGTAAATTCGTGCCTCCGCTGTTCCATCCAAACGTCTACCCATCCGGAACCGTCTGTCTGTCGATCCTCAACGAAGAAGAAGGCTGGAAGCCTGCGATAAACATCAAAGAGATCCTGCTGGGCATCCAATCGCTACTCGACGAGCCCAACCCAGAGTCCCCAGCACAAGCCGACGCGTTCAATCTGTTCAAGAAGGACAAGGCAGCGTACGAGCGCAAGGTCAGGCAGATTGTCAAGGAGAACCCGGCGCCATAAAAACGTCGATAGTGACACGAGACATGGGCGAGAAAAAGAAAAAAACGTGCAAAGGGGTCCTGCGTCATTGGAAAGAGACAAAGAAATGTGAAGAAGCAGCAACTTTTGTCCGTCTATTTGCCCTGTTTTGTGCTGCAAAAAAAAGACAACCGCGGCAACCGCTAGACTGCCGTCAACATGGCAACCGAAGGAGATACTGCCAGCTTCGTAAGCTATGCCTTGCGGACTGGTCTGTACAAAATTAGCCGCAGCAACCTCGTGTGGTGTGGACGGAGAAATGCCGTGGAATTGCTCTTGTTTACTTGTTTGGACTTGTTTGCTTCAGCGAGATGTCGACATGGACAGCCAGCCGTCCTTTTTGGACGCTATGATTACGCGATTCTGGCGTCTGGGGCTGCATCGCCCATGCGACATGAGAGATAGGGTGCTTGCTTTCAACGCGGGGATGCGAAAGTTCTCCCCTCCTTCTTTAATTTTTTTTCCCCAAAAAAGGTGGAAAGGATTTCAGATATCTCCTTGGATTCATGAGGTACCGTTTAGTATGCAGCATTGACTTGAAACCAGCATATCGCCAGCTCTGGAAATTTTCTCACCATGGACGTGTTCTTCTGCATGCCGGTCAAGCATAAAGCGTCAACGTAAGATGAATTAAAATAGCTTGATCCTTTGAGAAAAAAAACATAAATCAGAGGCCCGGGTGGTAGGGAATATAGCAGCTCGGATGCCACGTCCACCCAACGGACATTTTGTGGTATAGTACAAAGCTCCCCGCTGTTGCAAAGCTTCACCGCGACTCCAGTCCAATTTCATGTGCCCTTGTACCAATCCTCCCTTAAGCAAAACAATCGAAATCGAAAACAGATCCATGTTTTGTACCACCAGACCCTACACCTAGTAAGGGCGGTATGCGGAACCTCCTCGGCCTCCACGATATCCACCTCGGTAGCCACCGCCGCGAGGGGCGTAGCCGTTGTACCCACCACGTCCGTACGGTGAGCCGCGGCCGCCGTATCCACCTCGCGGACCACCTCGGCCGCCACGGCCGCCTCGTGTCATGCCCGGGAGGTTTGTTCGCTTGGGTACAACCTGAGGCTGCATCAGCGTCTGGAGAATAATGCAGGATAGCGCTGCAAGCTTACCTTCAAGTTGCGATTCCGGAATTGGCTGTTGTCGAGCACAAGGGCCTCATTGACCAAGTGTGGTTCGGTAAACTCCACATAAGCATACCTGCATACGCTCATTAGCGTTCCGATCTTTCTGCCAAACTCTTGCCAGGTAGCGAAAGATGATGTTGCAAGTGTCAAAAGAGAGGAAAACAATCAACGCGACCAGCATATCGGCTCTGCGCGCGACGCACTGCGCGCAATTGGCTCAGAAACCCAGGGACGCGCAAATCTTCAAAGAAAACCTCCTCTTGGTACTGACCCTTTGGGATGTCCGGTGAACTTGTCGAGCAATATGGTGACGCGATTGATGCTGCCGATGCTCTGGAAATGCGCCTGGATCTCCTCGGGGCTCGCCCCGTAGTCTACATTGCCGACAAAGACGCTTCGCGCGTCGACGTCTTCTTTGCTCTCGCGCATCTCGTGTCGCTCGTTGTCGATGGCTTGCTGCATCTGACGCAGCTTCTGGGCCTCTTCCTCCATCTCTTGCACGCGGCGCCTCATGGCCGAGATTTCTTCCTGCACGGTGCTGTTAGTGCGTGCCATCGGGCTAGTTTTGTCTCGACGCGCGCAATGCGCCAAACACATGCTGGCGGCGGCAAGTGTCTTGCGTGTGCAGCTCATGGCTCGGGCCGTACCTCCTCATTCGGGTCTTCTGCAGTATCAAGACGCTCATCCTCTTCGCGCTTCTGCTCAGCCTCTACGTCGGACATGATGGCGGCGGGGCTCTGGCAAGCTGGCAGATCAACACGTCAGTGAGTGTGTAGGCGCAACTCGACGGGCTACCGACTTACGAGGTTGCGGTGGATTACTAGGGATGTGGCGGCTGATTGGGCCGGCGACGTGGAGCGACTGGATGTCGTAGATACACAAGCCTAGTTCAACAAGCTAATGCAACAGCGTTGGCCGGGCCGTGAAGACTGAGGTACAAAGAAACGGCACCTGAGGGTGAAGGGCAATGGTGCTCATCGGAAATGACGAATGGCCCTGGGGAAGCTCATAGCGCGGCGCTAACCAAGGCAGCGGAGCCTCACTTATGTCATCACGCGCTAACTCGGGACTTGCGGAGGACAGCTTCACTTCTACTCCTTTTCCCTACACGGTCAAAGCAACGTGTGATTTTGCTGCCGCCACGCAGAGTCATCCTGCTCGTGTCATGCCCGTGGCTTTTTGGGGTTAGAACGGCACCCGCGCCTCTTTTGTAGCGTTTGATCGGCGGGCATGCTTTGTAGCCAGTCACCCCCACATGCCGAGATCGCTCTCGAGTCCCGTCTTATCCCACTGCCAAAAAAAGGACCTCATTCTTCTCGCCAGTGAGTGATCTTGTGGAATAGTCTTTGCCAAACTGAACGCTGTGACAGACGCAGGAATGCTTGTGGCCAAGCAGATTTCATTCCCAGACAGAAAAACTCTCAAGAACCGGGGTATACACAGGAGCAATAACGAGATGAACAAGTGCAAACGCCACAAGAAAAAACGCCGGTCTGCATCAACATGAAACCCTCAGTCCCTCCGCATTCTCGCCGCAATCCACAAAGTCGATGAGCATCAGTCCCTTTGCCCTTGCCACGCCATATTCGACATCTCTTATAATTGTCTCTTCAAAGCTACATGCGTGCTTCCTAGGGTAGAGTTCGTTGACCTGATCAAACGTCTCCCATATGGGTGACCTCAAAGCCTTGATGCTCTTGTACACATCTTCAAGGCTGAATCCATCAAACGGCGCACTTGCTTGAGGCTCCATGACACCGATACTTCTCATCTGCTTCATGAGCGCACCGAGCAGCATCGAACTGCATTCAAACGACATATGTGATCCCACTCTGCAGGTATACGTATCGCTGAACTCGTCGATCCAGCAATTACACGTCTCTATCACTTGCTCGATGGCTTCCAGCCGCCGAATTTCCAGTGTGCCTGCCGAGAAGGAAAAATCAGTACTTTGTCAATTGTGTAATGAGCATACGCTCGGTACTATACGCACGAAGCACGGCGGGTGGGATTCCCAGTCCCATGTCTTGGATCTTTGCCTCGGGACAGTGGCGCAGCGTTATTGCAGTCGACTTGCGGAATTCCTTTGGGAATCTGAATACCCAAGCAACGAACATCCACAAGATCAGGTCGCGGTCGTACGTCTGCGGCATTGGATAGCGTACCCGCGCGTGTCGAATCCACGTTTCGGATATGAGCTCGAAAGCCTCGCCGCATCCATAATGGTTCACTATTGTGGCTACTTTGGCGAGCATTTCCAACGTCAGGTCCTTTGCTACTCGGCGGTAGCGGGTGTGAAGCGTATTGAGTAGTATTTCCAAGGCGTCGGGATCCCAGTTTGAGGCTTTCAAATGATAGAAGCCATTGCTGTCTTTGCGGCCGCTGTCCAAAGATTTCATCTCACTCATGAACCGTGGCGAGGCTATCATGAGATGTGCCGATGACACCTGGTAGATGATGGCTGTAGGAGTACACTGCTGGGATGAATCAACTGCCGTGGAAGCGGGTTGGTTTTCCTCGTTCCATCCAACAGGAACTGAAGGAACTGGTGGTTTACTCCGCTGCTTAGACCGCTCGTCCTCGTCGTGCTCTCCGTCTGTTTCTTCCCATTCCGTACAGTGAGGCGACTCGTCATCGCTGCATTTGCATGGGACTTCTTCGCCATTGTCTTCGGTGCTGATGTCTTCTGAATCATTTGCAGCATCCACGGGCTCCGTCCACACCGCAAAGGTATCAGCTGGATTCTCCAGAATCAGCAATGTATCTCCAGCCGAATCAATGATAACAAGATTGTGCCGAGGCGAATCCATGACCAGTAGGAAGATGATGCGTGAAAAGTAGGGCGTATAAGCTGTCCGGTATTAGTAAAGCCCAAGTCAATATCCCCGAGACGCTGCTCCTTGAAGATGCGAACCATATACGAACATGGAATATCTTGGTACTTCTTTCGCTAGTCAGGTATGAATCAGTGGGAGTGAAAGCAATTGGGTGTTGTGTCTCAATTGTGTCCTGAGACTTGATCGATTTTTCGCTCAATCTAGGACTTCAAGGAAAGCTCTACATATTGGATGGGCACAAAGACCACTTTAACAGCCAACACGACCGCATCATTAATCAAGCAGCCTACAAAACAAACATGCAATCCAGAGGTAGTTGTCTCATGTGGAGACAAAGAAAAAGCGGAAGAACCGAGGTTCGCGCTTTGCCTGGGTTGGCAATCCCTTGTTGTTTTGATGGGCACGTGGGCCGCATGCGGTTCCTCAGTGCGTATCATATCTCCAATCACCGATAGGTCATTGCCTGGCAAAGTTGGTTTCAGCATCGTACGGTTTGACTGCCATGTGCGACAGTGCGGCGGCGATCGCGCTAGTTCGGAGGGTTACCTAAACCTAAGTGCACACCACTGGCGTTGCGCTCACGGCTAACTCTTGGGATCGCAGAAGCATCACATGAGCTTGGCTTCGAGGGTGGTTGTAGCTTGGAAAAAACCATTTGTATGGTCTGTGATTACGATCAGTGCCATAGTAAAGCTGTTTGATTGTCTGAACATTCATAGCCATGTTGAGGTATCTGCAGTCAGCACTGCGAAAAACTTGCAGTAGGACCAGGTAAGATATAATAGCTCTTTTTGTCTGGAATCGCATCTCGCAACAGTCTTTTTTGAATCCATACAATTCCTATTGCGTTTTCTAGTATCGGCGTATGGAGATGCCTGTAGGAAACGACAAATCTGCACTCCGAAGCATAAGCTTGCCAATTACGGCATTGCAGCGACCGTTTACTCCATCTCCGAGGCCATTGCAGCTGGAGTCATCATTTTTCTAAAGACGCTGTTAAGATTGAAGGGGCATGAGCAAGCGCTTGAAGAACTTTAAACTGGCGGAATTAAACGACCAGCAGCGTCAAGAAGCGAGGTGCACAGGAAAAGTACAGGAATTCCAAATGGAAAAATCGAAATGAAATAACTCATCTCTATGTCTGCTCCATGCCCGTGCATGTCCGTTGGTTTAGTTCAATAGTCGTGTCTGTGTGAATATAGTCTCCGTAGCCTTGGACTCGGGAAGCATGCTAAACCCTTACTTTGCACATGCCGGGACATCTCGTAGAGATGGACGGGAATGAGATCTGAAACACTAACAAGCCAATCGTCGTTTCACAGGAAAAGCTTGCTGTCAAGAATTACTTAGCATTATTCTAGTTGGCAGCTGCGCGAGCCGATCGACCACCGTCATCTTGCAGGTCGTCGACACAGGTTCCTCTTTTCCTTCCTCATTCTTCGACCCCAGTCATTTCGCAATATGCCGTGCATTGTTAATTGAATGCAAATTGATTGTACACATTCTGCGTATGCGATGATTGCCCAATGATGCGGCACCACGCTGAAGATTCGTAACACACCATCAAACCACATGGCCAGACTAGCGACTGGTACATTATGCCGATCAGGGCCGTACCACGCTTGTGCCTGTGCTCGCATGTGGAGGGCAACTCCAAGAAAAAGCACAAAAGAGCTAGAGCAGACGGCATGAGGCAAAATCCAAAAGGGGCTAATGGGTGTCATTACTGTGAAGTGAAGACAACGCAGCATCCTGCACACCACAATGGCCAATCTCTCTGTTCGAACCCAGCAAAACCAAATAACGAAGAAGGGCGTAAAAATAGCCAAGATTTGCTGCTGACAAAGAAATGCTGTGTGGCTACGTTCTACCAGTAGAACATGGTTCTGGGCCGCAGTACTACGAAATGCTTTTTCCCCAAAGCGGCACTTGGATGGAAAGCCATGTTGCTAAGTTTACGTAGACGAGCCGCTATCATGCGAGCGAATGCGACAACGAGTCTAGTGAAGAAGAAAGGATCTTCCCAGGAGAGCAAGTCCAATAAGAAAGGGGGTAGACAGCCACATCGGATAGCTGCAGTCGCAGTCAAGCCACATATGCCGTCGGAGAGAGACACAAACCTTCTCAATAAGCACCGCATTCCACGTCGTCGTCCACGTCGGTGTCGTTCCCAAGCTGTCACGTCAAGTACAGTAGCAGTAGTACAGCTGAAGGAATGGCGTGCATAGTGCACTGTGTACTCACGTGCACGAGCATTTCCCCCGATGAGCGCGACGGATAGACGAGCTGATCTTAACAGGGAGTAATCGGTCCGGAAATCAGCAATTCGTCGAAGGATAGTGATATGCGCATGAACGTCATCAGTATCTCTTTCCTGTTCGAGCGAATTTACTGCGTGATAAGCGGAATTGGACCACAAGAGCACTGCTTTACAGCCACTCCTCGTACATGATGTCGCAGCAAAAAAAGCCCAAGCCATACTCGTAGACAATGGATTTCAACCTCTGAGATTATTGTGACTAGGCGCAATTAGTTCGGTGAAAAGTACGTACAAAGAAAGTAGGGAGTAAAGTTTAACACATGGAAGGGCTCCGTATATAGCATGCACCTGTTGAAAATGTCGCAAATAACAAGTGGATAAGCACATGACGCGTTTCAGGGGTTCGAAAGCTGTATACCGGGTCGGCGAACACAAAGCAACGGTCAGAGGACCTGGGCCGATAGTCTCTACTTGGGTTAGATTGTTAAAGTTTCCGGATCGTGGGGCCCGGCACTCGTAGCGCGCGTGCCGGCGCTGATCGTGGATATGTTCAGCCGGCAGGGCTTTGGTGTGAGGGAGATAGTCAGGCATCCAAGGGGACGACTCGGCGGCGGTGCAGTGTAGATTGCCAAGTGCAACTATATTCTGTGTGGACATTACTTAATCACATGAATTGTATTAATTTTTACAGCTGCCATTTAGGCGGCGCTGCTAGTGTTTGGACGTTTGTACTCAACCCGCCGTTTCTCTGCTCCTCGCTGAGCGGATCAAGGCCCACGCTGAACTGAGGTGTCCTGGCCTCTTGCTCTTGTTCTTCGTGTGTCAACTCTCGCGTGCTCGTGGAGTTACTCTTGAGACTGCCCCTATCTCCCGCATTCTTGTGCTCGAGCTCGTATGAGAGGCCGTAGTCGTTTACGCGCTCCTCGACGACTTGCACTTCGTAGCTGACAAAGATGGCGGCCAAAGACTTTTCAACAATCGGCCAGAATATCGGCATGGACGCGCAAATGATGGCCAGGTCGATTTCGAGACAGGAGAGAATAATCATAGTGGGGGTCCACCAGGTGTAGTCGATGTAGGGATACGTTCCGCCTCTGGTTTGTATGATGCCGTGTAGACGGCCGATTGAAGTTCCGACAACACTACAGCTGTTAGTCTGACGTGATGCATGATGGGGCAAGAAACTTACACGGCGCCAAAAGTGAAGACGCCAGTCATGGCAATGACATTCTTCTTCCTCAGGTTGGGTGTTCGGAATAGCACCATGGGTGCAACAAAGATGGCGACATCAAGTATCATGTTGGTAGCCGACTGGGCGTTGTACATGTTGATGAAGCCTGATAGACTGCCGAAACCGAAGCCGTAACAGTTTGCTGTGAAGCTCCGATCCCAACAGCCGCGGACCGGGAAACATGGGAACCAAGCCATGAAAGCAAAGGCCATGCTCCAGAGCACGACTATGGTAAGGAGCCCGAGACACACCCACCGCATGCCGCCGGCCTTGAAGATACGCAAATATTGAAGCAGCAAAGCAACCTTGATAATCCCACAGTTGGTTATGTACACGCCCAATTCGATGTAGTAAAGCTGCAGTGGTCAGTCAGTAAGTAAGGGTTTTTGTGTGTGTGTGTGTGTGTGTGTGTGTGTGTGTGTGGAAGCTAAGCGTGCATACCTTTAGATATGTCATCAAGCGTGGGAGTGGAATATACAGCATGTGTGTACCCAATCCATAATTGACGGCTGGCATGGTTAGCCACGTACATTTGGCAAGCATGATCAACTTACAGATACACACCAAGATGGTTGCTGCCGTGTTGGAGGCCTGGGCGAGGACCACAAAGGCATCGTCCCAGCCCACTTCCTTGACCATCCTGATACGGACCCAAAGACGAAAAAAGACGGCGAGCCATGCCACACTCTGTGGACAGTGTCAGTGTGTGAAGGGGCGGACGAAAGGGGCGGGTGGCTAGCATACCAAGAAGGTGAGGGTGATGCCGTAGATGGTGCCTCTCTTGTTGGCTAGCGGCTGGGGCTCGCTCGCGGACGGCGGGTTCGCCATCATCTGCAGGTAGATGGTGACCCAGGTGGACATGATTGCTGCAAAGGCGAGCGCCGGCGCTGCTCTCGAAGACTCAAGATCAAGAAAGGTATATTCGGGTACGGCCCACTTGAGCTCGAGCGGGGGAACGCATGCCCTAATGACTGCTGACGGGCCGCCTGCCCTTCTATTCCACGAAGCTGGTTCACAAGTCGGGCCCGTTGCCAAGCTCGCGTTATGCTTTGTGTGCAAGGGCAGTGCAGGTGAAGGTCTGCCGGAAGGTCTACGCTAGCGGATAGGCGAGTGTCAAGAAGCGGGTGACAGCATTTGACAGGTTTTCAGCGCAAACTCTCGAATGGCAGCAAGGATGGCGCCCAGGCCGAACTGCTTTGGGAGTTCCGGCGTCCATGTTGCAGGGCCGGCCCACGTCGCTGTGACACGATTCAGGTTTCGGTGGCGCGCGAGGGGAACATGCGCCTCAGACAACTAGCACTAGGCCTAGGACAATGTAAGCAGCCAGTCGGTACGTACTAGCCATGTGCTAATAAGCACTCGATTCCGTCAGCCGCAAGGAGCAGGGGGGGGGAGAGCACCGCGAGGCCCAGGTACTTATTCTCTCTCTCTCTCTCCTCTCCCCAGCCAGGGCCTGCCTGGTCTGCTGTGCACCGCGCTGGGTGCGCGAGGCCCGTCCACGGCGAGCAACTGAGGCGGCGGATGGAGGCACAGCACAGAAACGCAATCCTGCGTGAGTCGTTGGCTTGGGCCTTGTTGGATCGGGGCGTTTTGGGAGATTGTCGTGCCGGAAGTCAGCAGCCGTGGCAGCGCAGGACGTCGAAGAAACAACAACACCGAGAACAACCATAGCAGCCGCCCCAGTCCCAGTCCCCGTCCCCGTCCCAGGCAGTCGACAAGAGAGCACTGGCCAGACACCGCATGTCCATGTCTATACTGCAACTCCTACAACGACGCATCGAGTGCGATCGCCCGTCTCGTGCAGCGCGGCCAATTGCCCGGGCCAATAACCTGCCCTTCTCTCTGGAACCACGAATCGGAAGGGATCGCTCGCAGGATTCGTCTCTCATTTCATGCGCAGGGCTTCATCCGGCGCTTGGCCAGGATGCTGACTACGGCGCAGTCAGGTACCACTTTCTCGGACCTAGGCGGTGACATTGCTGCGTCACCATGCTGCGATTTTAGTATCTGAAGCACCCTAACCACGGCGCGTACATGTAGGTAGCAGCCATACAAAGACACCTGGGATCCCCCAGGGCCGCCATTGCCACGCCACACACGGGCATGATGCAAGTCTTTGCAGATACGCTACTTGCAAGACGCAAATGACTACTTACCCAACAACTGTCACGAGCCGTGGATAAGCACCGGCGCGCCTTGCCGCATCGTTGCACTCTTCCACCAGCCTGCGTGGTCTGAGACATGGCCACCTAGCACCTGAGTATTGTATACTACCCGGCTTCTCGAATGCCGCCGTTCGCTCTTTTCGCCGCTACAGGAAAGACTGCGTTATCGGCGGCCCGATGGCGCTGGCGGGGCCCTCTAAACAGAGACATGGGCCCATGGGACCCATTCAACCTACTGACTCTTTGTACACGCCCCATCCAGCCACGGCCTGACTTCGGGGCCCAGCACCAACGGCCTTGGGCCTATGTAATTGCTCGTGGAAAGAGAAGAAAAAAAGAGGCCCCTCCAGCAACAACGCTACCGCTCGACTCCACCCCAGACGCTGTTTTGATTATATTGACTTTGCGTGCGAGCTCCCTGGGCCTGCTGGCTTGCGAAGGAATTGTACCTGTCTCTGTATTGTACGTGAGTCTACTGAGCTGCCCGTACTCGGACGCCGAGTACCACGTCTGCCCGAATAACACACGTATCCGAGCACCCAGCTTTCAATTGGCAGTCTGTGCAGCTGGCAGAAATGGCGACTTGGACGTCAGCGGCTTACACGGAAAGGCCCAGGAGATAAGTCGTGCGCGGCATCATGCCAAGAGCCATCCGGGCCCCGAAATCCAGCCGTGGTAAAGTCTGAGAGGCATTTCGTGGTGAGTGCGCGCCTACAAGTTTCACCCATCCCCGAGACCGTTCGCGCGCTTTGACTGTGAACAATGGATTGTTCGGCAGACCGGGCGATCAAGCGCCCGCTGGCTCCGCCAAGTGGGGAGTTCTACAGCAATGATAATAATACTACACCTGGAGCTGAAACTACTTACCGGTAAACAGTACGTGGCTCCTTGATTCATGTTACTGGCGTTAAGGGACGTTGGTTATAGCCCGCCCCTCGCTGTGGCGCAGGGGGGCGTGCTGTGTGTTGGATGCACGTGACGACGTCTACGTCACCCACTCTCATTACACCATTCGACCAAGTGTATATACAATACACGTGTGTCTTGTGTCAAGTCGATGCTCGTGACGGCCATGCTGTCGTCCCGGACTGAGTAATACCCGTGTGCCCGCAATGCCGTGCCTCCAAGTACACGCGTACCTTGCAGTACGCCAATCCCCCCCCCAGCCAGGGCAAACTACACCAAGACTCAGCTTGGTAATAACAATGACCAGCCAGCTCGCTCGCAAGAGTCATGTAACTAGTTTGACATGGCAAATAGAGTTCATGCATCATACGACAACTCGTAGCTGAAGGCCACACGTGCACCGCGAGCGTCTCTGTGGTGTTCAGCCGTAAGATTGGCATACTTGAGTATGTTTGGATAAAGGTAAACTGGTAGGTGTAGCGAGCCACTGATCACTCGACCATCTTACCAAGTGATGAGTGATACGACAAGCATTCACAAACGGGGCGTTACATGCAAGGGGGTCCAATAGATATGTACTACCTAGATCGTTATCGAAAACATGACAATATATTACGACCTGTGGATGACTTTCATATTCACTGCAAGGTTTGAAAAACCTGGCTGCTCTTCCTAGTCTCTGACATGGCGTTGAGGATTCCAAAACACACACACCGTCCATGTATCGGCAGTCGACGGCGACGCCAAAAAGCCGCTCGATGCCGTACGCGGGCAGGTCTGAAAAGCTGCATGGGGGCGTCCAACCCAGCATCCATTCAAGTAAGCATCCATCGTCATTGACCTCCACCATGTAAAACGCCCATTGTCCCCACCTTGTTTCCATACCCAGACCACCCACTGCACATACAAACACCTTTCCTCACTGCCGACGTCATGCATCTCGCCACCGACACCAACTACAGCGATAGAAAAAGCGGGTGCATCACATGTGCATCTTCCCCATGCCCCCTTATCTCCTCGCCATCGGGTCCACCATGCCGATCCCGACACGCTGAACGTCGCATCGCCGGCCAGCGCTCACCGCATTGCACCCTTTAGTGTTTGCATTCTTCACACATCCTCACCGGCATCTATATGCCGTGTTTGTTGAGGCTACTTTGATTCGCTCGGGTACAGGACCCTGTGTTTGCCCCCGCTATGCATATGCATGTTTGACTGGGGACCTGACTATGTACACCACGTGTGGGTGAGTCCGGAAAGAAAAAAAAATCCAGCCGGCAATGACTGCCATGTTCATGGGACGCATTGTATCTACCTGGTTGATTTGAGATTCTAGGCAGGCCCTTGTTCTGCATGACTCTGATCCCGCTACCACACTGGGCTTTGAAGATGCCTTGTTTGAACAATGTATGAGATTAGTACTATATACCTACACACATAGCAACGAACAGTATATACACCCATGTTTACGAGTTTTGGACATTTCAGAATATCTCGAGATTGCCTTGTTGAGCATTCAGGACGAAAGGGGCGATATGAAAAGAATGGGAAGGCTTGATAACCACTGGGTATGGATTCCGTTGCAAAATGCCAATAGGCTGTAGAATCCATATTTATGGCATTGCTGTACGCAACCATCGAAGAAGAAAAGGATATGATAGGGATTTGAGAAGCAGTTTCCAACCCCTATTGTGCAGTCTCACTTCCTAGAATTGGACGGTAGGGTGGAAACCGCTTCTCAAGTCCATCACAAGCAACGTATGTGTGTGTGTGTGTGTGTGGAGAAATATGAAGCAACAGCGATGCGCAAGCCAGCGCCTCTGCGGCGCAATAACGGTCTTACCACTACTCAGGCACAGTATATACGATGTCCTATTTTACTGGATAACTGCCTGCTGGTACTGAGTGGATACATATATGTCTATACATGGCTACATTAGATAAAACCCCACTTATTCATTCTTCTTCTCATTACGCTCCTACACCCTCTCGATCCATAATTGCCATTCACTTATGGAAAAATCCCCTTCCAAGCCGTGGAAAGGGACAGAACCTTATCGCTCGCTATTTCTCCTCACAAGTATAGTCTCGGTCTTACAAATATAGTTTATCTAGTACAGTACCCCGCGGCCGAGTCTCACTTTTCCGTGCTATGCCCGACATACAGAGCCGCCGGGAGAAAGAAAGCAGCCAGGAAACCAAGCATAGTCCAGATTGCGATGACAAGTTTCTTTCCACGATGAGAAGTGCGCCAAGAACAAGTATGTGACAGGAGATGGGTATCGTGGGGTAAGGCGAGTGGGTCATTTCAGTGTGTGCGAGTGTGTGGGTATCTGAGCGACTGGGCCGCAGCCACGGTAAATGAAGGACTGTTTCAAGTGTCAGATCAGCGCGCCAGAACGACACATGGCCAAGATTATTCTCGGTCTTTTATACTCCTATCTGGCGTATCTCATGGCGTAACGGCTATATGTGTTTGACCGACAGTTGCAAACGCACGTGGTGCGCCTGTCTGGTGGTTTTTTGTGAGTCAAGGTCCTCACCTCCCGGTTCTGATATGCACGAAACTGGGAATCGCGTTCGCAACCCTGGTCTCCCGTCGCCTCTGTTTTGTTAGGGAGTAGCAAAGCTGCTTAGTATGTGGATGATTAACTGGCGGAAAAGATTTGCGAGATCTGCAAATGACTAGCAGGAGACACCATGCCGTTTCCATCACACAATACGAGTACGCGTACATCCGAAACGTCAGATTATCGTGGTCGATTCAAGACGGCCGTCTGCTATCAAAGAAGCCTGGTCTTCGGGCTTCCAACTGACTCGGCACCAGCTTCCTCAGCACGAGCAACACTGTCTCCAACTCTTGCTCGTCAGCAGTCCACATGTTGCGGATTTCTTCCCAAGCCTTGACCGTCCTCTCTGGAGACGTGCACCTCGCAAAAGCCCTGAGTGCCGCAATGACAGAGAGACTGGATATCCACGTTCGTTCTAGATCTTCGTTGAGCGCCCTTAGATAGCGCTGCCAGATCCTTTCAAGTTTCGAGGCCGTCCAAGAAGAGTAGCGTACGCCACCAAAGGCGTTGAAGCCATGGAACATGACGATGAAGATGGTCCCGTCAAGCGGCACAGAGTTCCACTTCATCTCTTTCAGCAATTCGTGGACGCGATCGATATTGCCTGCTATTCCGGCATGATGACGGATCAAGACACCATAAGTTCGCGAGTCGGGTGCTATAGGCGCAAAGTCCTGCAGCCGCTTCAACTCGTCTTCCTTGCCCTCTTTACTCAGCCTCCATGATTCGTCTCTAAAGTGCATTCCTAAAAGACGACGGTCACGCCAATTGCGATTGAAGAACCTGTGGCCAGGAGCAGGCGAGGCGCGCAGGGCATGGAGGCGCTTCATGCGCTCAAAAACATGCTCCGCAGCTGCAGGCTCTCCTGCGCGGAACAGGGATGCTATCACGGCATTCATGACGACCGTGTCCACTATCTCCCCAGCTGCGACTAGCTCTTGGTACGTCTTCCTCACCGCGTTGCCATTCTGCAAAACACCATAATAGTAGAGGAGCGATACACGGTGGTGCCGATGCATGGGCAATTTTCGGGCTTGCATTTCCTTTAGGAAGGTTTCAGCAAGGGTATACTTTCCCGCCTTCACGGACACGGTGAAGAGCACATTGAACGTTACGTAGCCGCCTCTTATACTAGCTCGGTGCTCCATGTCGCGCCAAATCTGGAGAGCTGACTGGAGGCTGTCTCCAGACACCTTGCGCATTGCATTTCCAGAGAGGTGGATTGCCGAAGTCCACTCTGAACGAAGAATGTGTATGTGTGCAGTTTTCATGTCGTCGAGGATAGAGAGGAAGCGTTGCATTGCGGGTATGGTAGGACGTTCCACGATGGCGAGGTGGTGGAGCAGTGCTCGTATGGTGTCGTTCTTGAGATATACGACTCCGGGCGACGGCAGGTTCTTGTATGTCGCGAACATGTCGTCATGTGGCGCCTCATCGTCTTGCAGCATTTTTTCCAGCTTTTCTATATGCGTAGCGTCTGCGGGGTCGCGGAGGGGCCAGGGCTCGTGGCTGTCTCCAATGTTCCAAATCAGCTTTCCGTCGTCTGGGACGATGTCTTGCTCAGGCCCGGTGTCGAGCTCCATGCCATAGTAGTCGACCAATGCCTGGAGTTCTCTCTCTGCGAAGCTCTTGACTTTGTTCAGCGGGCCTTTTCGTCGTGGCCTCGTTTTGGAGGCACTCTCGTCAGGCCGGGACCAGGAGCTGCTCCGCCGCATGGCGCTCTGCTTGTGTGGAGCTGCGTCTACCCCGCGAAGCGTTGAGCATGGCTGCCTTGCATGCTTGGGGCACGACGCCGCCCGCACCAATGCGCGGATGAAGAACGTGTCCATGCAAGCCGTCGGCGCTGCCCGTGGCGGGGCATTGTCTATCGCCTTGCGGCCGAACCTTCTCGTTGGCGGTCTCCTGTGCAGGGCCGGGCATAGAAAGGAAAGACACGGGCGTGGGCGGGCGGTATTCGAGACTGCGGAGGCCCGATCGAGGGTGCGGAAGAGGGACATGAGAGGTCGAGCATTGTGTCCAGCGGCGGCCGTTCAGACGAGTTCCCTTGGTGGCAGCAACGACAATTGACTACAAGGAGCCCATTGGAGAGCTTGGTAGAGAGCGGCGCGGGGGGGCAATTGGTGGTGGAGCGTCGATGCCCGCACATGCACATGCGCCGTCCAAAGATTTCCCACGTCGCGAAGTCTTGGCAAAAACTGCATGGCCGGAGTTTGCGCGGGCATCCACCTCGACGACATATCGACGACCCATTGTGCCTCCCGCGCCGGCGCTGCCCCCTCCGAGACTCCCCAGGCTGCCGCTGCATGTGATCATTCCTGCGGGCACACAGTCATCGACACTGCCCGCCATGGGCCGCTACGACTTCCGCCCTCTCCGCGTCCGCCAAACGGCAAAGGCCCTCTTCGACTCGAAGCGCAACGCCGACCTGCCGCAATGGTACAATGTCATTGGCGACATACCGCCGGGCGAGACGCTCGCGAGGCCGGTGCTGCGCATACCCAAGATGCGAAAGGCGCGCAAGGCAAGCAAACTATTCAAGCCGCTCCCCATTGCATATCCCGAAGACAAGCTGCGGTCCGACTTCTTTGGCGACCACCCATGGGAACTGGCCCGGCCGAGGCTGGTGGTTGAGGACAGCGGAAACGACTCCAAGAACTACGACTGGAGCAAGATTGTGCAGCCAGGAAAGCAGTTAGACGGCGAGAGGTGGGCCGCCCCGACGACATGCTGCTTCTCGTGACTACCTGTGCTGACCCCATGAAGCGTCGTCCAGCGCCAGATGTGGCTGATGAAGCACGCCTCGCTCTCCAAAGCCTCGGCCTATGACCTCGCCCGCCGCGAATTCTACCGTCACCGCCACCTCTCCGAAATCCGCTCGCGCATTGCAAAGGAAGAAGCCCAACACGTGGGCGCGTACTTTGGCAAGGGCCCTCTGGAGATTGGCATGGAGCTCGAGGACCGACAGTGGGAGAACTGGAAGGCCTGGGCCACCAAGCAGATTGAGGATGAATCGGCCATGCGCGCCCAGATGTTCAGTGGACAGCAGGATGAGGGTGCCAGCGCCGAGATGAGCAGCAACGAGTATGACCAGGCAATCGAAGAGCTGCAGCCTGTTGCGCCCAATAATCCACAGGGACAGAGACCCATGGGCGGGGTTGCGGCGCATCCCTAAGTCTGTATGTATTGATAGTGTATGTTTGTGTAGAGTACGGCTACGGTTGATTCAAGAGCCTGTCAAACGACTTGTGACGACCATTGAATTGAACCTTGTGTTCGGGACTGTGAGGTATAGAATTGGCATACTCTGCGCAATCTCATGATTTTTGGCTTATTCGCGAATCGACCAAGTATGGGTGTCACATCCAAAAAAATACATGGGCAAAGTTGAACGGGCTCCTATCACCCGGCAGGTTCACAAATATTGCGCAATCTCATTACTACATTTCACCCCTTTAATTTTACTCGAATTTCAAGTCGCAGCAGTTTTGAAGTCCTTACACACGGCACGCAGTATACCCTCGTCTCTAGTCACTCATTGTAGTTTGTACGGGATTCGTCAAACCATGTCAACATAGTCTACAACTGAGACTGAGACAACATCACACTCAACCCCAACTCCAAACCCAATATTGAGCTTGACTCCAAACTCTGTAAGATCCGAGGAAGTGGGAAAAAAGAAGCAAAAAAGAATTGTCAATGACCATGGCAAAGATGTGATGAAATTCTACTTTTGGCCGCCCCCCCCATGAAATGAAACGGCTTTTATATCAAAAGCACATTAAATCTATACTGCCCCAAACACGCCACCAACGCTCAACCCTTTCAAGTCTTGCCCAACCCCACACCACTCTCAACGACCCGTTCTACCTGCGACAGCGGCGTAAGCCTGTACCTGTACGGTGCCGTGGTAAAATTGCCGACTTGAGTGATATTCACACCCGCAGACCCAAAGTCGTTTTTCGCACCGAGATTGGCAAACCCATCGATTTCAAAGTCGCCGTCAGGACTCGTATTGGGACTGTCTTCGGGGATGACGAGGCCATAGGTGCTCAGGGCTTCGCGGGTGTTTCCTCTGAAGACGTTTGCTTCGACGAGAACCTGATTGTCGCTTCGCGAGTGGATGGCTTGATATAGGAAGTCGGTGTACAGGTTGTTGTAGATGTGCTGGTGACCGAAGCGACCGGCAGGCCCGCGAGTGCCTTCGTGGCGCCAGTGGTTGTGATGGTATGTGACGTGGAGGTGACCTTGGTCGATGTCGCGGAAGGCGTCGCTGTTGCCGACGAGCGAGCTCTTCCAATGGTCGTGGAAGTAGTTCCACGATACAGTGATCCAGTCCGAGGCGCGGATGATGTCGATTTGGCCGTCAAAGGCGTCTGGTCCCAGCGCGGGGAAGTTGCCGCTGGTGAATTCGTTGTGGTCAATCCAGATGCGTGTGCTGTTGCGGATTGTCATGGCGTCGTCGGCAATGGATGTGAAGCCAATGTTGCGGATGATGACGTTGGTCTTATTGTAAATATTGAGACCTGAGCCGGTGATTTGAGCTCCTTTGCCCACGCCCAGGAGCGACTTGTTGGACCCGACTTGGACTCGAGACGTGAGGTTGAAGTCGCCTTTGGCATAGACGACAAGCGGCTCCGTGCTGGTGACTGCGCTGATGAACTCGGCGACCGTCCTCACAGTGACGCTTTTGCCATGCTTGGATTGGCCGCCAGTAGTGGTGCCGATTGGGTTGTCTATTGCGAATCCGACAAGGCTGAAGTCGGCACCTGCTGGTGCGGCAGATACACATAGAGCGAGAGAACACAGGGAGATGATGGTTACTTTCATCTTGACCTGTATCAGATTGCGACTGAAGATGTGGATTAAACTGATCAGCTCGGTGCCGCCTCACGAGCGATACTAGTTCCATTTTATGGTCCATGATGATGGACATGTAGAATTTGGAGGCGCAAGCTATCGCGAGTGCTGCAGTTCCCATGCTCAATTCTTCCGGCAAATTGCCACTTGGCGCATAGAAAAGCAGATTCAAAAACCTCTAGTAGTAGGCACATGCCATGGCTGTGCTGCTGAATGATCGCTTGGCTCATCTTGGCCAATGAGTAGTTTGCCTTGGGGTTGAAATGAAGATGCCACATATTGAAGTTGTGGCTTGACGTGGTGGTGGTGAGTGGTGGAACTTTGTAGCGCCATGCCTCGCGTGGCTGATACAGTACGTAGGGCTGGGGACACGGGCAGTCCAGATAGCGGGGAAATTTGGGGTATGCAGCTTGGCATCGACTTTTACCCGCATCTTGTCCTTTCCCGCGTTGCTTTTGTTATGGGCGGTGTACTGGAAAGGACATATGTCTTCATCTTTGTTTATATAGACTTCTGTGCAGCTGGACGATAAACACTTGAGCTAGATGTTTACATGCATATCTGGATGCATTGTAAGAAGAAGCCCTGACTGTTGCTGGAGTGTTCATCGCAGCCGGCTATCTCGAGCTCCTCTCACGAATCACTGCCACATATTCAATCACCTCTCTATCTTGTCAGAGGTTCCAACTCACACTTATTTTCAAAAAAAAAAGAGAAAAAAGCACAAGGTCCGTCTAAATGTCGGTGGTAAGAGCTCGTTGGAAGGATGGATGTGGATCCATTAACTGATAAAATCTTGTTCGAAAGATCACGTCTGTCTGCAGTATGCCACAATCCTGTTTTCAGTACGTAGCAGCGTCTAGTGGATTTCACGGGATAACCAAAATAGGTTCATTCCGCTTTTTGTGGCTAGGACGCCATGTTCATAGTACCATACGAAGAAAGTCTCCTTTGTAATGTCACACCGGTCTTGGAATGGCCACACTAGATGTCGTGGAAACTTGCCTGAATTTAAAGTCCACAAAACTGCCTCATCAGTGTCATTCGAGACATTCTGTAAGTATCTTCACTCTGAAAGATGCCACATGCTGGTGTGATCTGATTATGAGTATTTTCCACAGGGGAGGTTGCTGCAGGCTTGGCCACATGATGCCTTGAACATCCAACAAGAGTCACCACTTGGAAAGATTATTGATTGACTCATGGAAGCAAGGATAGAACCAACATATTAGACATGTGGATTCTAGAGTAGAAATTTTGAATTCTTCCCAACTCTTGTCTAGAAACCAAGATGAAATTCAGCTCCCTGCTGCAGGAGATATCCGGGCACTGGTCCGAAAAATCGCCCTAGTGTCTCCCACAAGCTGGGTCGTGCCGATGTTCCCAGGAAAAGGGTACCCTAGTCCAAAACCAACGTCAGCGCCAGGAACCTTATCACAACACGAATGCAGAGTTGCACTGCAACCAGAATCGTGTTTTGCCCTGCCAATTAGCAGCAAGTAACAAAGAGGTTCTATGCCCACGAGCAGCGCCAGTTCAGCTCTCTCGCAGCCCTATTTAAGATTTGCGCTCGAGGTGTTGATGCTCAGAAAAGAAGAGAAACGTTGTAATCAGGCATGATGTATTTTTCTAGGTGATATCTTTGTTTGTTGGAAGGGCAATGCAGTATATCAACTGCGTACTCAGGGCAAGCCGAAGGCTAAGCACCGAAAGTTTGAAGTTCCCAACAAGAAACATGCAGAGAGAGCAGAGGAGATGGGCAGTCAGCGATGTAAGCAATTGCAACCCCAAGTCTGACGCTTCCCTGATGCGAATACCCTGCAAGTCTGCTTGATACAGCAACGCTGCAGGAGGCGTCCTTGTCACGGAACGGAAAGCAATAGCATGATGTTTATTGGCACATGTTGGATGGGTTGAGTGGCACCCATAGGAAACCAATCTCATGGCCTGGCCAGTGAATCCCCACAGCAACCGAATGAGCTCGTCAATGACATGTCAGCTGCCTCCCACGTGCAGAGCTGTCACTGGATACCGCGTCCACGGGAAAGAAGCGGCTCGTAACTTGGCTCAGCTCCAATCGCATTTCATGCCCGTCACTCGAGCAGTGCAGCACAATGCCCACACGCGTCCCCATGCAGTAAGACCCCAGCGCTGATGGCTCGCCACATTGAAATTTGCTCATGGCGGCCCAATCATCGAGTCGTGACACGGCCGTGATGGCGGGATCTCGGTAGGCGGAGCGCCAATGACCCAGAAAATGCATGCCCAAAAGGCAGCTAGGCGGGCAGAGCAACCGCATGCATGGCTTCTCAGCCGGAAGCATGTTGAGCTATTCAGCGTGGCGGCGTGCTATGTCTCGACGGAGCGGATCGAGGGCTGCGGCGTGGGTGGAAGCGCGAGAGCGGTGGAAGAGCATGTTGTCGGCGAGCAGTGCCTTGTGGTTGAGCAAGACGCGCCCCAATGCCAGAGAAAGCCCGCGGCAATGGCATCCATGGATGGGTCGCAAAGAGGCAATCGAGGGCCGAGGCGTCGCACCGCAAAGCTTGGGGGGCGGACAAGCTTTCGCTCGTGTGCGCAGGAAGGGGAATGGTGGGGGGCGGGGGGGGGGAGCACGTGACCGGGGCGTGCCTCGCTAGCGGCCACGTGGGGAAATGGATGGCCTCCAACGTCCATGTCGCCAACGCCTGCAACGCCGCCTTCACTCGACACGGGATCCGCCACAGCCATGACCACACTAAACCATCGGACGGGGCCGATTGAAGGCGCCAAGAACATGCATCCTCCAGCGCCCCGGCGGCCTGGCCGTCGACGAGGGCGTTTTCTGCGCTCCTTCAGCGGGCGCACCCACGATAGCAGGCCAAATCTCGTGCGCGTGCTCCTGTCAGCCCCCTGGATTGGCTGCGCTACTCGCAATATAAGCTTGCCATGCAGCCTTGCAGCGGTGCTTGACCCCAGGTATATAGCTTGGCTGTGCACTCGCTGCTACTTGGCCTCCAGCTCCTTCGCCCGTCTTTTCCGCGACCAAGCTTTGCAGAAGCAACCCCAAGAGCTTGGTGCATTCTTGAAATGACTGCAAAGACGTCTGGCGGCAATGCTGCCTTCCACAATTTCAACAAGTAAGCGTGCGCCATCATGGCTCCTCACGGCCCGCTTTCGCTAACACTGTCTCAGTGACTTTGCCGTCCGTCCCAGTGGCACGCACGCACTACCCTTTGCCAGACACTGACCTCTTGTAGCACATAGAAGATCCCAACGAGCGACGACGCCTTGCGCTCGCCGAGATCGACAAGGCCCCCTTTGGCTGGTACCATGTGCGCGCCATCTTGGTCGCCGGTACCGGCTTCTTCACCGACAGCTACGACATCTTCTGCGTATCCCTCCTGACCATCATGCTGGGCATCGTGTACAAGCAAGACCACAAGGGCACGCTTACCACGCCCCAGGACACGGCCATCAAGCTCGCCACGTCGGCTGGTACCGTGCTCGGGCAGTTTGGCTTCGGTGCGCTTGCCGACATTGTTGGCCGTAAGAAGATGTATGGACTCGAGTTGATCCTGATCATCGTTGCCACGCTCGCACAGTCGCTCGTTGGTCCTGGCCCAGGCACTTCGGTTGTTGGTCTCATCATCTTCTGGCGCGTGCTCATGGGCATTGGTGAGTCTTGCATACTTACACGTCGACCTCTTCTGCCCTGCGCCTTGCTGACTGTACCAGGCATTGGTGGTGACTACCCACTCTCTTCCATCATCACTTCGGAATTCGCTACTACAAAGTGGCGTGGAGCCATGATGGGCGCCGTCTTCGCAATGCAGGGTTTCGGCCAGCTCGGCGGTGCCCTCGTCATGCTGTGCCTCGTCGCCGGCTTCAAGGGCACGCTGGTCAAGGCCAAGGGCTACGACTCCTGCACCGGCGACTGCCAGGTCGCCGTCGACAAGATGTGGCGCGCCCTGATCGGCATTGGTATCGTCCCTGCCTGCATTGCCCTCTACTACCGTCTTACCATCCCCGAGACGCCGAGGTACACCTTTGACGTCGCGCGTGACGTTGAAAAGGCAAACGAAGACGCGAAGCAATACCTCTCTGGCAAGCACGGCGAGGGCAACCCCGACGAGATCACCCAGGTTGCTGCACGCCGTGTGTCTGTTGCCCAGCTCGACGTTCCCAAGGCCTCTTTCCGTGACTTCTTCAGGTTCTACGGCAAGCTTCGCAACGGCAAGATCCTCTTTGGCACTGCCATGTCGTGGCTGTTCCTCGATGTTGCATTTTATGGACTTGGTCTGAATTCGTCGACTGTCCTGCAGGCCATTGGTTACGCCAGTGGCGACGACCTGTACCTCAAGCTGTACAATATTGCCGCCGGCAACGCCATCCTAGTTTGTGCTGGCGCTATTCCTGGATACTGGCTTGCTGTTGCAACTATTGATACTGTTGGTCGCAAGCCTCTCCAACTCGCTGGCTTTACACTTCTTACCATCCTCTTCATCATCTGGGTTCGTAAAAGCCTTGTCATGACGCAAGTGAAGAAAGAAATGGCTAAGCTAACTTCAAACAGGGCTTCGCCTTTAAGCACCTCAGCTCCCACGCCATGCTGGCCATCTACGTCCTGATCCAGCTCTTCTTCAACTGGGGCCCCAACACCACCACCTTCATCGTCCCTGGCGAGTGCTTCCCAACTCGCTACCGCTCCACCTCTCATGGAATCTCCGCTGGTTCTGGCAAAATCGGTTCCATCATCGCTCAAGGCGCTATTGCACCCCTCCGCACTCGCGGCCACCCTACCAAGGCTAACCCTAGCCCCTGGCTCAACCATGTTATGCAAATCTTCTCTGCCTTTATGTTCGCCGGTATCTTCTCCACGATGCTAATCCCTGAGACGAAGCGCAGGACGCTCGAGGACCTGGCACAGGACTGGGACATGGGTAATGAGAGTATTACTGGAGAGGAACATGTGCCAAAGGCCGAGGGAAATAGCGACTCCAAGGTTTGATTTCATAGCCTCTTTACCCGAAATTCACAATCTAATCCTATCATAAATTTTATTTTCCTACGATCCCTTCTACTATCTGTATCAAGATATACTTTCTCTTATTTCTCTGTTGTTATTGTTCTCGTACATGCTAAATTATATAATCGATTGACGAATAGAGAAATAGGTATTAGGGTGTACTAGTATATAAGCGTAATAAGGTAATGAAAGGGTTTCTCTATAGAAGATAGGTAGGAAAGCATAAAAGAAGTATAGCAGAACACTTTAGATATCGAGGCTCTATTACAAATTATAACATGAGATTTAGTAGTGCATGTAATTAAGTAGTGTATGTTTGAAAAGCGGATAAGTAGGGGTGGAGTTAGGGTAGGTTAAGCTTGATATTCCATAAGGTCTAGCTATAACTCTCTAAAAGTTTATCTAGGTTATAGTATACTTAGTCTTAGTATTTATCTTTATATATAATATATTAGTTATTATATAGAAAAAACAGTTAGATAAGGTAACTGAGTTAAAAAAGATTATTTTCATATAGATAAGGAACATCTAATACTTCATAAAGTAATTACCTAATCTTAGACTAGTAAATTTATTACAATAGTGTAGAGGCAGGGGTAATTCATATAATATCCAACTCTACTTCTAATTTCATTAATACTAAGTTTTTTTAGTATAGATATATAGATAACATATTCCATCACCAAGCAGGCCACACCACTAAGTGTTCCACTTTTTCTTAGCATCACGAACTTTATGTATAAAAACTTAGATTACTCTACACTAGCTATAGATGCTTTATATAACTTACTTATATCTAAAAAAGAATCTTCTTCTATATCTTTCTAGCACGTATAAGAGTTATAGCCTGTCCTCCTATAAGTTCTATAGTGCTATTAACCTAGTAGGGCCCTTTCTTAACTACCCTTACTACGTGCCTTCTTTAATATTATATAACTAGCAGAACTACTTTTAGCTACCTACAATGCCTCTACACTAAAGTCTAGTGTTCTACCTATCTAAATTTACTTTCTTTTGCGCCCTTAGCACTTTATTACTACTACTAATTACTCTTTAAGCTCTCTTACGTAGGACTTTATAAGCACATTCTTATATAGCATCTCCTTAGCCCCTTTAATAAGCTTTAAAAGGCCTTCTTATATAGTAGTTAGTAGTTATATAAAAGACTCTTTTATAAGCTTTAATTATAACCTAAATAAATATAAATTACTTAGTATTCTTAATATCTAGAGTCATTCTAGCTAAGCTTTATATAGTAGAGTATAAAGGCGTATATTGAAGCAATTAATAACTTTCTATGCGTTAATAAAGACTAGCTCTACTACCTTAAAGGCCTTCTTATAGTTATTAGACGTAAACACGTTAAAAACGCATTTTAAAAGGCTAAAATGAAGCGCTCTCTATTAATATACTAGATATAGTAGCGTGCTAAGTCTTATATACATTAAATATACTTCTACTTAAGAGGTAAAAAGTAGATAATATTAAGTAGCTAAAGTATATATAATAAATAAGTAAGCATATAGAGGGTAAGAATCTTTTGTATAAGGTAGTAATTCTATAATTCTTAGTTAAGGTAGCTCTTATAGCTATTAAGGATAAGTAGCTTATATAACCCTACCTAACGCGTCTTTATATGCTTATCAAAGTGCTTTAAATACGTAAGACTAAGCTTATTATTTATCTAGCTATTATCTAATACTAAAAGCTTCTAGTTGTATAGTATATCTGCTTTCTTATACTATGTAGAGATATAGACGCGTCCTTTGTAGATAATAAATAGCAGGGTAGCGTATCCTATAGCGCAGATGCTCAAAATTACTATAACTTACTTGTAGTTGCCGAGCTGCGTGAGAGTAGGCCTTATACAACGCTCTATGCTTATAACTACCTTTATTAAGCTATTTACGCCTATCTAAAATCTAGTTTTATTAAAGTTATAAATTCTATTTAAATAAACTCTATACTTCTTAGCTATCTCTTATATAAGCTTAAACTACGCGTTAATAATCTCTAGATCCTCTCATTAAGTTCTTTAACAATCCTTTACTTAACTAAAGGCTATTCTAAGCGCGTCTATATAAGTAATAAACTACTCTACCTAGCATTTACTTAAAGGCTTGCTATCTTATTTACGTAGTATTTTCTTTGCTATATCTACTATTCAATATAGATAGAGGGTAAATCCTTATAAGTCTAAGTTAAGAATGTATTATACAATAGTTTGCTCTTTAGACATAGTTAGCTTTTAGTAATTTAGCTATGTTATAGGTTAAAAAGTAATTCCTTAAAGCTACTAAGAGATCTACTAATAATAGATGTTATAGGCTGCTATAGCGCGTGATATACTCTTAAACTAGCCTATACAATAGGCCTAAATAGCTAGAGTAAGCCTACCTTCTTACTAAGTTAATATCGCGTTCTATTATTAGGGCATTATCTTTAATACGTGAAGTTCGTGATGCTAAGAAAAAGTAGCACACTTAGTAATGTAGCCCGCTTAGTGATGGAATACGTTATAACTAAAATATAACTAGAAGTTAAGTTAGGTTAACTAGAACTAAAGTAGAAGTAAGCTTACGTTAGTTGAAATTTATATAACAATACACCTCTTCATATGGATATTAAGTTATATCAACTAAGAGTTATATTTTATAGAACTTTTTCGATATAGACTTTAAGATTCATTATTAATCTAGACTAAGCTCTGATATTTATATTAGTATTAACGTGGTTCACAAGTGAGTCGCTAACCCAAGCGAGTCGCTAACGCCCCACCAGCCCATAAACTTCATCACTATAACGCGTGATGTCTCAACAACGCAACCGTCTATTAATATATTCTAAATCTAGTCTTTAACTTGCTCCTTTTAACGTCTAGTCGCAACGTGTTTAGAGTGTAAACCGTGCTGCTACTATCTACAACGTCCCACAAAGAACTCTATCTGATCGACGCGCTGGAAAGCGCCCTCGACGCGACTGCGAGCTAAAATCGAAGCGTCTAGATAAGCTAGAAGAGGAGGCTATAGTTGAGCGTATTCTTGAAGAGTCTGCGCGAGGATTTGCGCCTACAAAGCTTGACGTTCGAGTAATAGCTGATAAGCTATTAGAGGAGCGTGGTGGCAACCCTGTTGGCAAGAACTGGGTTGACAACTTTGTTAAGCGGACTCCTGAGCTCCGTACGCGCTAGAGCCGTCCCTATAATCACCAGCGAGCCGCCTGCGAGGATCTAGTAGCTATCCAGCGCTGGTTCGACTTAGTCCAGGCAACAAGGCAGAAGTTGGGTATTGTGGACGACGATATCTACAACTTTAACGAAACTAGCTTTATAATAGGCAAGATTTTATCACAGTTATTAATCACAGCATTAGAAGGATATAAGAAAAAGAAGCGAATACAGCCAGGCAACCGTGAGTGGGTTACTATGATCTAAGGCGTGGGCGCGTTAGGTCGCCAGATACCACCGTTCGTTGTCTTTGCGGGCAAGGTGCTTATCAACGTCTAGTTTAAGGATTTGCCTGCTAACTAGGTTCTTAAAGTCAGTCCCAATGGCTGGACGAATAATTAGCTTAGTCTTGCCTAGTTAGAGCACTTTAATACCCATACAAAGAGCTCTACTGTGGGTGGGTATCAACTACTTATTATTGACGGCCATGAGAGCCACTGCTCTGTCGATTTCCAAGATTTTTGCAAGGAGAAGAATATTATTCTTCTCTGCATGCCTCCACACTCGTCTCACCTGTTGCAGCCCCTTGACGTCGCCTGCTTCTCGCCATTGAAGCGCAAGTATGGCGACGCTGTTTCAGGCTTGGCACGCAACCGCACCCACTATATCAGCAAGGAGACCTTCCTACCAGCCTTTAAGGCTGCTTTTGAGCAGTCTATTACAAAGGAGAATATCCAAGCTAGCTTTAGAGGCGCTGGTCTAGTCCCACATAACCCACAGGCTGTGCTATCTAAGCTTGATGTAGTGGTGCAGACGCCAGTAAAATCACCACGACGGACAGCCGCCTGGCAGGCGCAGACACCACGCAACGCGCGCGAGGTTGAGGCTCAAAGTACTCTTATTCAACAGAGAGTAAGAAACCACCCTGGGTCTTCTGCAAATTCTCTTGACAACAAGGTTGTACAGCTGAGTAAAGGGGCTCAGCAAATAGCACATAAGATGACGCTTATAAGGAAGGAAGTAGCTGCTCTTCGAGAGGCTCTAGACATAGCAAATAAGCGTAAGAGCCACAAGCGGCGATACGTACGGACAGAAGAGACTCTTACTGTAGGCGAAGTACAAGAAGTATTAGCTAAACAGGCGGGTAGCAGTCGTGGTGATGGTGAGAGTGCGTCGAAGAGGGTGCGAGGAGAGCGGCGGTGCGGGCGTTGCAAGCAGACTAGACACAACGCTCGTACCTGCGCAGTTGAGATAGATAGTGTAAGTAATAGTAGCGATTCTAACAATTAATTTGGTATATTGCAATAGTTTATTAACTGTAATAAAAGACTGTGATAACGTGTCAACGTCAACGCGCTGGTGGGGAGTGACCGACTCGCTTGGGTGGCCGACTCGCTGATGAACCACGTTACTTAGTGATATTTGAATATACTTTACTAAAGGTTTGATTTTAATTAATTTTATAGTACTAGCTTTTATAATAACTAGTATCTACTAGCTAAGGATAGAAGTAGACTAAGAATAGGTAATTAGCTTGAAAGTATATAAAGGAAGGGTAAAACACTATAATCCTATTTACTATGCTATAATTATGTTATTCAACACTATTAATGAGTTAGCAAAATCGATATTTAAAGAATAATAATAAATAGTCCCTTTATTAATTCTTTATAATTACCTATATTGTCATCGAATGTTACTTACCTCTAGCTACGCAGGTGGTCTAAGGCTATACAAGTTCTATTATAATTAGTCTGATAGTTATTCAAACTATTACTATAGTATATATGCCTATATGTTAATAAGTATTTAGAGGATGTAATCATAAATTTTTTCTTAATGAAGGTTATGTATCTT